TCTATCAATCACCTGTCTTTCAAATTATCAATCATCAACCTAAAACTAATAAAATGTATTCGACGAACAACTTTAACTTCAACTTTACTTTGTCACGATTCCAATGTTACCGCTCGACATCAAGCCGCTCAATCAACCCGCTACCGTTAATCTAAAATTCATAAAGTGAATCAATTTCTTCTCAATTTCTTATCTTCTCCTTATCAATTATTTTCCCTTCTTATTATTGTTTATCTTAATTCTTTAACATTTACTTTTAATGTCCAACAAAATCTTCTTTCTTCCTTTCTTTCAACCAAATAAATAAAAATTACTTGAAAAATTTCTAACGTGACAATTGGTGGCAGCGGTGGGATGATTTAGGATCGTTCTAGATTCACCCGCCTTCGTTTATGCATCGTTTACTCTTCTTCATTTATGTGACTTCAGTTTTTATTTTTGTCATTTTTATGACGTTCTTGATTCCTTCATTTTCTTTATTTTTTGTTTTTGACTCCTTTTAATTTGTGTTACTACACGTCTTCGAATCATGTCTAATTTTTATAATATTACTTGGTCACAAATTCAACAATGTAAACAACATTTTAACGAACCCGCCGATTCATTTGTCCATAGAAAAGATTCACTCTGTAGGAAACTCTGTTTAAATCTCAACGACAAAGTAAAACTTATTGTTCAAAGTCTTCTTCCTGATCTTCGAGACTTTGTCTTGAGTACATTAGAATATTCACAAGTTTATAATATAGATGAGTTAATTAGAATCATAACACAATGAATACAATCTTTACTTTCATCATCATTCTCCTCATGAACACAATTATGGTTATTATCCCGATAATTATCAACTAACTTCAATTCATCATGAAAATAATCAGTATAATAATAACCCATCTGATCTTCATAGCTATTCTAATAAAATTCAACAAGTAAATTTAGATAATTCTACAAGTATAATTGTAAGTCCAGTTAACGAGGATAATAATGATTTCGTTGTTATGTATCCAAAATTAACTTTTGATAGTGTTAATGATCAAAAATCCGATGCCATCGAAGTTATTATTCCTGATACCATAGAAGATGATATTCCGAATAATTTAGATATTGAATCATCTAATGTTAATTTACCAAACACAGATTCAAACTCCGATCAATGCCATTCCACTTTGATTGCTCCTCTTCAGACTTAGTTCCTGATAACGATGATGATTCTATTTTGTCTCAACAACTTTCAACATTTAATGAGTTAATAATTTTCGTTTCTTTAACTTTAATCAATAATTCCATACAACATCAACAGATTTTATCAAATGCTTCAGAATCTTCCGACGAAGATACTTTACCCTGTTTAAATATTAATGCTGAAATCTCAACTGAAACTTTTCATGATGGAACTTTCACTCTTCAATATCTACCATTTCTATCAAGCCCAATAACAATCATTAAATATTATGACCATTTCTCCAGTTTGATCAACAAAAATCCTGATGAAAACGACGAGTGTACTACTAAACGAAATAATAAAAGGGAATTAGATCCAATGGACCTGCTAACGATTAAAATGGACTACGACTGAGGACAGTCTTTCATCGAACCCAGTAAATTGTGATGAAACTTTTTTCATCAATTAACAAAACCAATTGACCATAACAACAATCACCATATTTATCTTTCTCTTTATCTTAATTACTTTTTTAATTATTCTTTTCTTCCTTTACCCTTTCCCATGATTTGTAATTTTTTCTCTTTCTCTTCTCTCTTTCTACACATTCTTTTTCTCTCTGTCTTTATTTTCTCTTCTCTTTCTCTCTTCATTCTCTCTCTTCACCAACAATCAACAACTACAAAATTGTAGTTCTCTCTCTCTCTTTCTCTTATTTGTGATCTTATTGTGGTCTTTTGTGATCTCTTATGTGATCTTAATTTGTGATCTCTCCATTGTGATCTTAATTGTGTTTTTCCCCTCCTTTTCCTCTGACTTATTCCTGACCATACCTGGTGCCAGATATGGTGGAACTCCTTCCCTTCCCTTTTGTGTTCATAAGTTGATCCGGGTAGCCCGAATCAACTTATTTAGATAACACCAGAATCTTCATTTAGAATCTTCAATCAGAATTTCAACACCAGAATCTCAACATCAGAATCCCAACATCAGAATCTCAACATCAGAATTGAAACTTCAACCTTAACTAATTAGAATTTTAAATTTCAATTCTCAATAATTAGTTGTCATCTTAATTGTCACAGCCAGGTAGCCTGACTTTATAGACAATTTTATTCCATTTGTTATTTCCCCTCATTATCATTTTCTCACAATCCTAATTTATAAAAAGTTAGTCAATTAATTAATTTAGGAAGTTAAACTAATAACAATAACAATTAATTCAATAACCATAATCAAATAGTAATTAATAAAATTCTCAGGGTAAAGAAACGATTTAAACTTCCACCGGAAGATAGATTCATTAAACAATAGATAGACAATTAACCTAACTAATCAAACTAGTATAAAAAGAGTAACAATCGAAATAATCATCATCAGAATGTCTTCATCTCTTTGAGTGTTTACATCTCTTGATCAGTCAAGTTAGTTCAGTGAATCAACTTAAAACCTACTTGTGTTAAATCTAGTTTCTTTCTTATCTTTCTCTTTTAATTTGTGTTCAATCCCATTTCATTAATTCTTACAATTTGTGTTTCGTTCTCCTCTTCTAATTTCTGTTCAATCTAATTTCTATCAATCCCCTTTCTTTCTAATTATTAATCGACAATCTTAATCTACTTTAATAAATTGTATTCAACCAACAACTTCAACTTTACTTTGTCACGATTCCAATGTTACCGCTCGACATCAAGCCGCTCAATCAACCCGCTACCGTTAATCTAAAATTCATAAAGTGAATCAATTTCTTCTCAATTTCGTATCTTCTCCTTATCAATTATTTTCCCTTCTTATTATTGTTTATCTTAATTCTTTAACATTTACTTTTAATGTCCAACAAAATCTTCTTTCTTCCTTTCTTTCAACCAAATAAATAAAAATTACTTGAAAAATTTCTAACGTGACAATTCTAACCTCTTTTAATCATTGTCCGAAACTTTTAATTGTCAGTTGAACAAGAAATTTTTTGATTATTTCAATTGAATTGACTGATTTTTTTTCCCTCATCTGTTATAATAATCAAATCAAAATTGATTGTTGGTAATGAAAACAATTCATTACTCATTGTAATTAACATTTACCTTGAAGCCAATGTAATATTGGCACAAAAAAGTAATCAAATTCAACTGATTAATAAACACATCGTAATGATTATAATCAGTTAATTTGGAATATAACAAAAAAATTGATTACTAATTAACTGGCAACAATTAATACGAAACAAAAAAAAACATGGAAGGTTAATCATAAGTGGTAACAATAAGATAATCATACGGTTAATTGATTACCTTGATTTTTAGTGTAAAATGTTAATCAAATGATATAATTAATTTCCCCTGAGGGTACAAATAAGTGTCCATGAGGTGAAACGAAGGGCTGGAAAAACTTTCGAATTGGAAAATTTGATTTTTTTTTCTATTCCATTAAATTCATTTCATCATCTCAATTGATACAAAACCTAAATGATTATTCAAAAAAAAGGTGATAACTTTAATCGTCATCGTTTTCATGAATGATAATCATCAAAATGATGAAACATTCACCATTGAATAAGTTTCATCTTGATGATTATCATTAAACATTGATAAGGTTTCGAAGGATATTTTTTTAGTTATCTCTTCAGGATTGATTGTCTTTCACTGATCAATTATATTCATCATCATCTTCTTGTTCATCTTACAGTTGAATCATTCTGAGTAGATGGAAATTCATGAGAATACCTTTGATTGATACGATAAGCTACTCGAACCAGGTCAACCGTAAATAAACCCATCCAACCGAATTCAAGAATCTTCATCATCATGATCATCATGATATTTGCTCATTCTATTTATATAATTTTCCTCTGAGAGCAACAGAGAGAGAGAGAGATAAAGTTTCATTTTATTATCTTTTTCCATCAGGATGATAATGAAAATTCATATATATTGTGATGAGAATTGTTGATTAGATATAATTTTATTTCATTTATATTCATCAGTTAATAATTTACCTTTGATTGAGATGAAACTAAATTAAAATGAATAGTAAAAAAATAGTTGCTCAACAATTGATTGCTTTCACTCATCATTTCCGTTTCCGGTATTATTATCACAATGCAATAATAAGTGTAATATATGGTTTACATTAATTCTGGTTGATTAGAAGATGATAAAAGTAAATTGCCTGATATTTAAATTATTCAGGTTGTAAAAATATAATTATAATGATTAATAAATCAAATCTTTTTTTACTCGCATTCATATTATCATGTTGAACGATAAGAAATAGGAAGATAATTGTAATTGTTTTAAATTGTTCTGCTTTTTTTTTGTTCTTCTTGAGTATCAACATTCAATTCATCAGCATGATTGAAATGAAAGTTTTAAATTAGAACAGAAGAAGAAAAATATTCCAAGATAAAAAGGTTGACCTAGTTTCTGAAAGAGGAGGAAGAAGATGATGATGATGATGATAACAAAAAGTTCTGAAGCCATTATAATGTTTTCCAACAGATAAAAGTGGGAGTTTGAGGGTGGGTATTAATACTCATGGGAGGATTGAGATAAAATCGATAGTTGTGATTACATGATGAAAATGATGATTGAGATGAAATCAAATGAGATGATCCTGACCAATTGTTTGAAATGGACCAAAATTGATGAGATGTTATCTTGATTTTCAGAATGAATCAGAATCACAAATACCAATCAACTGTTTATCTAAACATTAATCTGATTTATATGATTAGTAAAATGGAAATGAAAGAAAAAAAATTGACCTTTCTTTTTTTTTACTCTCCCTCTCGACTGGTCATCTCTCTCTCTCTCTCTCTCTCTCTCTCTCTCTCTCTCTCATTTAGCCGGAACTGGACTGGACTCCCGAAACTGTGGGCGTTGTGGACTCATCTTTCTTTTGGGGTTATATTGTCACACAAATTCCAGGCGGTTTTCTAGCCGCTAAATATCCAGCCAATAGGTAAGTCCGAACTTTGGAAGATTCCAACTCAAAATTTCCAATCCAATGAACTTTTCTCTCTCTCTCTTTTCATCAGAGTTTTTGGAACAGCAATAGCCACCTCTGCCTTCCTTAACCTTTTACTTCCGGGAGCAGCTTATTTCGGCTATGGTATGTTCATGGGGGTTAGGATATTACAAGGACTCGTCGAGGTAAGATTGATGGAGGGAAAAATATCCCACTCCTTTTCTCACCACCATTGGAATTTATTTAATTCATTCCATGTGTTTAGATTTACCTTGGTGACCTTTTATCATCATTATTGGATAATCACCACTATCAATTTCACCTCCTACTCTCTCTCTCTCTCACTCCCACTCTAATTCTCATCAATATATTAATAGTAACTGAAACTTGATAATTTACTTTTTTTCATTATTCATATTCACACCAATTCCCTCAGTAAATATTATTGTTATCTTGTTGTTCATTGGTTCTTGTTCATTGAATGAACTTATTATTTGTTATCATTTTAAATGAAATGATGATAATTATTCAATCATCTTCTTGTTAGAAATTAGTATTGGTGTTTAACAGAATGACGCTATCAAATTATTATTATTATATCTTTAGAATTTTGAATCATGGAAATGAATAAGATGAACACCAAGAAAGAAAAAAGTTCTATTGAAAATGGATCGATAGAAAAAGAGAGAAATATCTTTCTCGAACTCTCGAACTTGAAGCTTTGAGAGTTCTAATAGAAAACTTTTCTTTCCAAGTTACAAGAGTAAACCACATGGTACATTGCTATATATTCACCATAGAAATCTTTATCAATGCCCTGAGGCAATTCCGTTTTTATATCAACAGAAACTGAAATATATCCACGATACTGATGATGAACTTGATGGTGTAAGTGATGAGAGAGAGAGAGAGATGAAGATAAAGATAAAATTGAGTTACCTGCCAGTTATCATTAGATGTAACTCATTTTTCATCATGTTAATTTCCTGTTCCTGGGAAACGTATTAATAATATTAACTGAGAATAAGGTTTTCGGTATTGAACTGAATTAATTGTATAATCTGTAGTTCACCTTTCTACCAAATTGTAATTATACTTAATCATTAGATGTACAATACACGCAATTATTGCATGTTAATTGTATTTCTTAATTGCACCAATTCAAAATAAGAAACAACAAAAAAATGAAACTTTCATTTCCATTTTCATTTAATTCCAATATTCCATGAAAACTATTAATACATCTTCATCCTTTACCTTTTCTCCTGATGGTAATGATAGTTAATATTAATCTTTCTCATCTAAAGTTAATCCTTAACCACAGATTATATATTTTTCTAGTTGATCTTAGGCTCTTGTTTCCTCTTTCAGTTAATCCGAGGAAAAAATTTCCTCTCTTCCCCATTTGCTCATCTTCATTTCATCAGATTGCTCATCCTCATCCTCATGAACCAACAAAAATCATGAGGAAAACAATCAAATCCTATTTGAGTCAATTAATCGTATCTGTGAATTAAAAATCTAACCAGAAACTCAACATGAAACAATTACAAAATCCTTTGATTCACTTTCAATTGCCACTTAATTTAATTTTGCTTACATAACATTTAAAATGATTAACAATTGATTATTGATTACGTTTAATCAATTATTCAAAATTGTGATAAAATTGAGGTGAAAATAAAATTGAACTTTTTTTTTCAATCTCATTCTCGATGTTCATTAGTCTAATTGAAGTGAAATGTTTGTAAAATTGATGATGGAAAATAATTTAAACTTTTAAATTGTAATTTAATCATAGTTAATTATCTTAAGTGATTGCTCAATATCAACTGATTACCATCATTTGGCTGAGTTTTATCATGAGGAAAATGTTGAAAGAGAAAAGAAAACAAGTTCTACCAATGAGAATGTAAAATTTTCACTGAAATTTTCATGAAATAAAATCATGAGAGCGAAAGGAAAACAAACAATTAGTTTGAAACAAGAAAAAGTTGAGCCTTCAGAATTTGATGATTGATAAACAACATCAACTGAATCGATTGTGATAAAGTTCAATTGAATTAAATTTAATTGTCATCAAGAGAAAAATAGTAACAATTTCAATGAAAGTTCAGTTGAAATTCTCATCGATTCTGTCGAATAGGATTTTCCAATATGATTATAAATATCATGTATTTGTCTATGTATTTGATAACTTGACATTCACCTTGGCTTTAAGTATTATCACCATGGTTATCATCCTCATCTTCATCTTCACCATGGAGAGAAAAAAAATTATATACTCAATGAGAATTTTGATAAATCCAATATTCGACAAGGAGAAAAAAAAACTTGAAAGAGAAAATAAAAGTTGAGAAGAAAATATTTCTTACCTTTTTCTTATTCCTCATCATCATCATCATCCTTTATCTTCATCATCTTCATCCTTTCTTCTTGATATCATATATATAAATACAGTTAAGCTTATCGATCTGTCAAGAAAATTGTGAAGATAAAATTTCAAATATTTTCTTTCCCATGAAGATGATAAGATGATGAGGATGATAAAAGTTTATAAGCTTGAAAGTAACAATTTCTAATAGGTATACATACATAACTGAAACATTAGATGAGACCACAAATTGAGTCTCTTAATTGAACTTATTATCCTTTCCTCATCCTCATCCTTTTTGTTACCCTGAATACTCAGGAAGAAAAAATTTTCTGAAAAGTTCAGCAAAAAAAAAACTAAGTTAATTTGGAGCTCATTAAGTAATAACCTGGTGTTTTCACTGTCAAAGCAAATGATGACAATATTTTCAGTCAACATCCTCATCCTCATCCTCATCATCATGAGCTTCATGATTTTCCTTCCTCAACTTCATCCTTAACTATTAAAACTATTCCCACTTCCTAATGACAATCTTGATGGAATATGATTTGTGTTTAAATCAATCAGTTCAATTGATTTAAAGGTTACAAGTTTTTCAAAGGCAAAGACTTCTTGAATCCGGAAACAACCATGATATCTTCATGATGAACATGTCTAAATCCCTGTGAGTAGTATTTCTCAGGTGAACAAGATGGGAAGGATTCATATATATACATGGAGTGGAAGATGAGGAAAATGTTACACATGCATATCCATGTTATTATTTGTTGTTACCTTTTTGGAAATAAAAAATTGTAAACAATTTGTTTGCCTGTTTCAATTCAAGTGGGATCATCAGATTTTCATCATGTAACTGTTAATGCTTTTTATCATCATTCTGATCGTCATCATCATCCACCTTCAACCCTTATATTCATCCCAATGATGATGATATTTGTCTAACGCAATTTCATCACATTTAACTCGGTGATATTGTTAAGGTTACAGTCAAAAAGATCTGGATCATCATCATTATCATGCAGAGAGAGAGAGAGAGAGAGACTTTTCTTCCTTCCCTCATCAAGATAATCACTGTGATTACTTGAACCATGAATTCCCATGCAATTGTTGCATTGAATGAAACACTGAGGCAAAAATTGGATTCTTTTTTTTCTCATCTTCCTCATCCTTTTACCTTCCACTTTTCATCATCATTTTTCATTGGTCTTTACCTTTGTTCATTTTTCAATTTCATCATTTTCCAACCACTATTGTTGTATGTATATGAAAAGAAGGGAAAAGTAAGAAGAAGAAAAAAAAACTTTCTAAATTGGAACTTTTTATTTTCTTCTTTACCAATTCATTCAACTGAATTTCATCATTTATTCATATAGATTTTTATATTTCATGACAAAAGATGATGAAAGTAAATCAAAGGTTATTAATCACTAACAATGAATGGCAATCAATTAATTACTCAATAAATCATGAAAATGTCCATCTAAAGGTAACCTTGAAATCTTGGAATAGAAAAAAAAAATAGATCAAATGAGAAGGAAAAAAAAATTCGACAAAAAAAAAGTTCCTAGGTAAATGTCATTCTCCTAACAAAGTTCATCATCATCAGATGATAATAATATCTTAATGACATAATAAATGTAATCAAGATAACATATTAATAGCTGGAAACAATACTAAAGTACAGTTATGGGAGTGTCCACCTCTGTCTCTCTCTCACCCACTGAATTGAAATCACCATGATGAAACTAAAAAAAAACACTGGGAATGAATTAAATGATAACAATAACTGTCTCATCATCATCACCCTTATCATCCTGATTATCAATACAATATACTAACCTGTTTATATTTTTATCATCTCTCTCTCTCTCTCTCTATTCATTTTTTCAGGGTGTAACATATCCAGCATGTCATGGTATATGGCGTCACTGGGCACCTCCCATTGAACGCAGTCGCTTAGCTACTCTGGCTTTTTGTGGTACGTCATGATAAAAGCAAATCAACATTCCCACCCCTGAAAAATTATCTTCACAATCATCATCATGTTATCTTCATACTCCCTTTACTGAGTAACCTATTTGAGCCTTTTCCTCCCCTCTCTCTCTCTCTCTCCTCTATCCACCCTTAACTCTCATCATACCCACTCCACCCTCTTCTCTCTATTGATTATCGAATTATATCTTTGAAAGAGAATAGAAATATCAGTAAAAAAACGAAAAGAAAAAAATATTTTCTTGAAACTCTCTCTCTCTCATCTTAACTTTACCTTTTATTATCTTAAGATTATTTATCATTATTATTACGTCATAATACTGATGATTAAGATAAAGGAGGAATATGAAGATGAAGATTAACATTTGTTTACTAAAATTGATCCTCTATCCCAATACTCAGGTTCTTATGCTGGAGCTGTATTAGGTTTACCAATATCGGGTATGCTTACAGAGTGGCTTGGATGGCAGGCTTGCTTTTATTTTTATGGTAAGAAAACCAACAATTAACTAATTATCTGCAATCAAATTCTTATGATAATATAATCACAATTAAAAGTAAACCCAATAAGAAACAATAGTAAAGCTATTTTCATACAAACTAACATATTATTACATTATTATTATTATCAATTATATATTAATACAATTACAATAACAATGGTTAATGAATAATGTTGATGATTGATGATAAAAATAATACAATTATAATAATTTACTCATTGATTATCACCAATAATCAATATTGATCATGATGAATAATCAGCTTGAATCAATGAAACAATCAATGATCATAATAATGTAGTAATGTTATTATTTAACATAATCGATTAGCAATTAAATTTTTTCATCTCATTTTCATTGATTTGGAAAAAGTTTTCACCACCAATTAGTTGACACAATTGAAATTAACTTTTGTCCCATTTAAATTGTTGTCAATTCTTTAGGTGTGGTTGGTTGTTTTTGGTACTTATCATGGTTATTATATTCATTTGAAAAGCCAGCTAAACATCCGACAATTACTCAAGCTGAATTGATCTACATCGAGGAAAGTATTGGAAACGTTGCCCAAACATCACCAACGGTAAGTTATTTAAAGTTCAATTGTTGTTGACCAATGGTCATCATTTGATGTTCAAACTCAATGAATATAATAACTCATGTCAATAGCAATTATCTTTTCTTCATCTTTAGATGAACATCATTAGGAGATATTTATGTTTTCTTTTTTTTTTATTTTCTTTTCTTCTTTTCCATGATGATGATGATGATGATTCTCATCTTCATTCATCTCCTGAGTTCCTATTCCCATGTTTGTTTCCTTTTTCTTTTCTCTTTTTTTTTCTTCTTCTTTTATCATGATTCTGTTTTTATCTCAATTCTGAGTGTTCATCAATTCTGTCGCCATGTCATTGTTGTTGTTGTTGTTGTTTTCTTCATGTTGATTGTTGATCGTTGTTGATGTTACTATTTTATCATTAGAATGAAAATTTTTACAACTTTTTCTCTTTTCTTTTTTTCTTTCTCTCTCTCTTTCTTCATGCTTTTCGATTTGTTCAATATGAAAAGGAACAAAGTTCTCAACTTTTACCTGAGATTTTACCCTCAGGCTATTTAACTGAACACCTAATATATAACAGTAAATTTTGTTGATTGTCCAACAAGTTAATTCTGTTTCTCTGGCTTCATTTAATCTTGAGACTGATGATTTTTACCTTTTAACCATTTGATTTACTAACAGTAAATCATTGATTAGTTTATTATCAACAATCAAACATGGTTATCAAATTTCATTTAACTCGATTAACATTGAAGCCATTGAGTAAAAACATTGAATTAACAATCAAATGGAAACAACAATTAATTTGATTAATCTTAAGGACCAATCAAACAGAAACCAAAAGAAAATCAATAAAACAATTTAATATTTTTTTATACTTTTACTTTTTAATTGTTTAATAAACTTTTAACATTCTCATTGAAATCTGACTGATTGAATTAAAATCTATCAACAACAACAACAATTAAATTTAACTTTTCATACTTGTTGTTGTTTGTTGATCAACAATCAAATTATTCAAATAAAACCGATTGACAATCAAACTTATCCGTTGGTCAATCGTTGACAATATTTGACAATTGATTGTGATTTGACACAATTGATACAAGTAATTTCTATAATATCGATGACAATCAATCAATCAAACGTACATTTAATAATAGTAACAACAATTTCTATGGTTGATTGTTGATAATAGAACAAAAAAAATCAACAACAATCAAAATTGTGTATCCACATTTACGTCATAACAATTATGAGTTTTTTGCTTCTCTTCATTTACCTTGATCAGTAAGTTAATCAATATGTGTGTGTGTGTGTGTGTACATGATAATGATATTGATTAATTTTGATGATGATGATGATGATTAAACATTGATGATACAAGTGAACATGATATTTGTTAATCAGGTTGATGAACAATCAAGATAATCAAGGTAAAAAGTGTCACAATCATTGTATTCACACCGAGTAAAGTTCATAAGATGATAAATATAAAAGGTTCAACTCTGGTTAAGTCAACCTTTTGATATTCATGTTCAGTATTTTATCATCATCATCACCACCATCATCTTATTATTATCTTCATCATCCTTTTGGGATGAGAGGAAAAAAGGAAACAGGGAGAGGGAGAAATGAAGATGAGGATGAGAAATAAGTTACATGTACAAAGACTGAATCAATATTTAAATTGAGTGTTGACATTCACATGGAACTGGGACATTCAGAGTTGTATATATATTCATATGTAAACATGGTAAGAGAGTGGAAGATGAGAGTGGATGGGGGATGGAGGAAGATTGAAACTCATAATGGATGCTATAGACGATGATGATGATGATGATGATGATGATGATGATGATAAGGAAGATAACCCGAAAGAGTTTGTATGTTATTATTACTTTGGAGGAAAAAATTTTTCTCCTCTTCCTTGGTTACTTTTCAAGTCAAACCCAGAAAATGAAATAAACTGTTACCAAAAATGGATCCAGAAAGAAAACATGAAAATTTCAATAATCAATTCAGGACATACTCACATGATATCATGGTCTATTGTTATCATGAATATATAACAATGAATGTATCATCAGCATCAATAACCATTGATGAAGATAATATTTGCCCGACATGATGATAATGTTTTTTTATTATTATTACCATTTGAATCAATCAATTTTTTACGAGAAAATTTTCATCTCTCTCATATATTATTTTCACCATGAAATTCACTTACCTTTAATATTTCATGAGATTACTGATAACATGATAATCTTGAATCAATTTGAATCAATTACTTATTATTATTATTATTATCGTCAAGATTGTTGTCTCATCAAGGGAGGAATTGGGATGGAAATGTTAACAATGATAATTAACTGGGGCAATTGAATTTCAAGGTCAACTTCTAATTGTAATTCTTTTTGGTTATTCTTGTCAATTTCGATTGACCTACAGTTCAAAACGACACCTTGGAAGGCCATATTTTCATCCTTACCTGTTTATGCTATAATTGTCGCCAATTTTTGTCGTAGTTGGACATTTTACCTTTTACTGATATCACAACCCACTTATTTCAAACATGTTTTCCATTCATCGGTGGGAGAGGTAAGTTAATCATCCACCATCATCACCATCGTAATTATCATCATAAACTGAATAAGAAAGTCCTTTTAATCATCTTTATCTTCATCTTAATCATCATAAATCCTTTGGGACACAATTTACTTTGCTAAATCAAGGTGAAACTTAATTGACTTTCCGATTTACTCATCATCGTCTTCCTTTATCATCTTCATTCACCTTCTAACTCACTCACACACACACACACTCACTCTCTCTCTCCCTCTATCACTTCCTCCCTCTTTGATTTGTAAATGTTGAGTTAATTGTGTCTCGTCTAGTTAATCATTACAATTTATTACTAATGTCGCAGCACAAACAATCAACTAACTATTAAAATAGTGTTTACATTTACTTATATTTCCCTTTCCCCATTCAGGTAATCATATTCAACCTTTAACCATTTCCTTGATAAGTATATATATATTAGTAGTTGAGTACAATCAATTCTTGGTTGATTAACAACAATTGAATCAATTTAATTAAATCTAAATATTTTAATTTAATTTAATCGTCGCAAGTAACAAAAGTAGAACCAAATTTCAACAGAAAACCATAAGATCCCATAGAGTAATTATCTAATTAACTTTTGATATTTAACGTATACAAACAAATTCTCATCATAATAATTAAACAACTCTAATCATTTATTAATTTAATCATAAATTATATCATCATTATTGATTAGTAATTAGAAATTAAAACAGTAATACCATCTAGTGGATGATTAAGTTACTACGATACTTTTGTTCAATGAAAAAATGAATGAATAGTTTTTGGTTTTCAATTGAAATCGGACTTTCTGATCATGTTTATCAATTTAAATGATTAAATAATTAACTAATTTTCATTTTAATTATCAACATTCTTGATTAGTCTGGTTTTTTAGGAGCAGTTCCTCACTTATGTATGACTATAATTGTCCCATTTGGTGGTCACTTGGCTGACTTTTTCAGACGATCAGGTTTACTGACCACTACACAAGTTAGAAAATTATTTAATTGTGGAGGTGAGTTAATTACTATTAGATATAAATTTTCAATCAGTTAATTGTTGAATTCTTGAATCTATTTTCTATCGTCCCTTACAGGCTTCGGTATGGAAGCTTTGTTTTTGTTTGTTGTTGGAAGTACATCAAGTGAAGCTCTGGCGATCTCAGCGTTAACCTTTGCCGTTGGTTTCAGTGGATTTGCAATCTCAGGTAAACAATTTAAATTGTCCAAACAATAACAGAACTGAATTAAACTTTTCCCATTGGTTTTTCTCTCAGGTTTCAATGTTAATCATTTAGATATTGCTCCTCGTTATGCTTCAATATTAATGGGAATCTCCAATGGATTCGGTACATTGGCCGGAATGTTTTGTCCAATCGTAACTGAAATGATGACCACAGGAAAGGTAACAATTAACTGATCATTTCGATTTTAAAAAAATCGATCCCTTGACACATAAAATGTTGATCGTTTATATAAAATGAAATCGCAATCAAATTCATTGCATTTGCTTAATTTCATTTTCCTTTACATTGTAACCATCGTTGTGTATTTATAACAATTAAGATAAGTAAATTAGGAAAATCAAATCTAATATTAGATGAAAAGTTTGATGAGGTTGAAATTTACTCAATCAAGTTTGACAATCAGATATAATTTCTTATGCTTATTTGATTTGATCAATTTGCAATCGATTGTTAAAAATTATCATTATCATGGTATTAACTTGATGACAATTTAAATCCTTTAATTTTGTAAATCAACTATCGATGATGTTGATATTACATATGATATTCTGGAGAGATTGGGAAAATGAATCAACTCTTCATGATTGGAATCATTTTCTGCTCCTTCTCATGACATTTCAACAGTTAACTTAATTTGATTTAAACAATTTATCCAATCAAAATCTAATAGTTTTTCAAGATGAGATAATATTACAGGGGAATCAATGAAATTTATCAATCCAAGGGAATAACATGATTAAGTCTAAGAGAAAATATTCTATCCGTTATTTTTTGATTCTCTTTTTTATTTCTTATTATTTTCAATTTTCTTCAGAATTGGAATCTCATTAAATTCCTTCCGGCGAAAAGATTACCAATCATATAATATTAGATAGAAAAGTAAATCATCTTGTTCAATATGATGAAAATTTCCATGATAACTAAGATGAGGATAATATGAGAGTGATAATGATGTTGATAGAAAAAAAAGAAACTATTTTTTTCTAATAAATTCTGTCAACTTTTTTCATGGAAAATTCTGTCAACTGAACATTCTGATAATACAATTGACTCTTTGATCATCATTAAAATGTGATCATTAACAAAGAAACTGGTAACTATTGTAATCAATACGATGCTTATATTACATATATCAATAGGAATTGAATTTTCACCATCAAGATCATTTAACCATCACCATTATCATCATCATCATCATCATCCCACAAGTTGAGGAGGTAAAATTGATGATGGTGGTAAAAGTGAGTATTAGTTAAACCTAATTGAATTGTGGGTGGAAAATTTTTCCATCATGGATTCAAGTACTTAAAGGTTACCTGGGAGATGATGAATATCATGATGATGATGATGATGATAAAAATTCTGGGCCATGGAAGATGAAATTGAGTTTATAAGACGATGATGAAGAGGCAATTAAATTTTGCTCAATGTTGATGATGGAAAATCAAGAGTTGAAGAGCCTTATCATCATTATCTTCATCTTCATCTTCATCTTCTTCATCATCATCAACCAACATTCAACAATAATGTGAATGTGATGTGAATAATTAAATTATAGCAAAACAATAATGATTAACATGATAATGATGAAACAACTTGAAATCATACCCACTTGATAATAATAATATATCATCATCATCATCATTATTATATTAATAATAATCGTAAGTTAATCAATGAAATTAACTTTTACCAATAGTTAATTAACATGATAATGATAATCAATTGACTAGTAATGTTAATTTAAACTTAAATCTAATCAATGGATGGTTAATGATGGTTAATCAAGTGAACAGCAATTTATATTGTGATCAATATGATGAAGAAAAATAATTCAACTGTTTAAACTAATTGTTGTTTTTATTTTGTAACTTTTTCTTTCGTATGTTTCATATGTGTGTGATTAACTAATTGTTTGGACAATTAAGACTTCAGAGGAATGGCAAAAGGTATTTACCATGGCGGGTTTTATTCATTTGTGTGGTGTCATATTTTATGGTATCTTTGCCTCCGGTGAACTTCAACCTTGGTCCGAACCACCTCCGGATCCTAATCATATACCCAACTGGAAGATAAGACAAATGTCAATTAAAGGAGGTCACCCACCGGGCAGTGGGTCAAGTGAAATGAATGGTGATCTACAGCGTATGGATTCAAGTGAAACCGCTGGTGGGGCAGTTGGAGGTAGTGGACCTGGAGGTTACTATCAACAAGGAGGTTATCCAAATCAACAGGGAGCGGGTGGAGTTATGGGACCACCGATGCAACAATCAAGCAACATGATGATGGGTGGAGGAGGTGGTGGTGGAGTTGTTGGCGGTGGAAATGTTATCAACAGTAACAATCCTTACTATGGGTCAACTGATGTCCAGCAAACCTCATTTTATGACACTCGACCTGAATACTCACAGCCCAGGCCAACTGACCGGTACATGCATGGGTCAGTTCATGATAGGGAATACTAATCATCATCATCATCATCATTATCATCATCGTCTCCATCACAATCACCCACCACCACCACCACCTCATCATCATCATCATCAGGCAACTTCACCATAGATTTAATATAAAAAAATATATTTTCATTCATTGAAAATGTAATAATAACATTTAATCATCTTGCCATCATCTTAATTGCCTCGAAAGTATAAAATTAGCGGTTTTCAATTGAATTGATTTGCTAAATGATTCAACTCTAATCTTCACAATTAATAACACAAATTTGGTCAATCCAAGATTTTAATTTTTCTAAATTCTTATTTACTGTTTGAAATTTTGATTACGTTACAAATCCTGTTAGTTAATTATGATTAACTAATTTTCTGTTGACATTTTGTTTGTTTCAATTAACGTCCGTTGTTTTTTTTCCCGTTTGTTATGGTCAGTTAATTGTTGTTGTTGTTTTCTTTATCCATCACAATTAACCTTTAATTGTTTCTCTTCCTCTTATGGTTTTTTTTAATCAACTAATCTATTGATTAACTCTATACTCAGTGTGTTTGTCAGCGATTTAACTCAATCATCTACCAATCAACTAATCATCAATCAAATCAACCAGTTTAATCAATGAATGAAATTGTAATTCTAATTGTTCAGTTGGGAAAAGTTTTCTAATCACTTTGATTATAACAATTAAAGACCTTTTTTAATTGACAGGGTTAATCAATGTTTTTCTTTGCTCTTCAATATTAATGTTGATAATTAAGTTTAATTAGTTACAATTTAAGCTATCGAACCAAATTAAGTTAATTGTGGTTTTCATTTTCTATGTTTTTATCAAGTGTCCTTTCAATACCAATCATCATAATCATTTAATGTCTTTAATTGTTATAATTTTTAATTATGGAAACCAAATTACATTTAAATTGATCAAAAAATTTAAATGTTGATAATAAGTGATTAAGGTAAACAAAAGATAAACTGTAACAATTAGTCAACAATTAAGCTAATATAATGATAATAAGCTCACAATTTTTGCCACTAATCAAAAATAATGATAATAATTAGTTAATCATATTGATTTAATTACAATCGAGTTATGAAAAATAATGATAAGTTAACAATTAATAATGAGGAAAAAAAATCAATCAATTAATGATTAGATTTAATTGTAAAACCAAATGAAAAACATTAATTAATTTAGTTTTAATTAGTAATAGAAACAAAAGTTTAGCCAAAGATTAAACTAATTAATTAATCAATTATTGTAAATAATTAACTAAATTAGAGGGATAAAAATGATTCAGTTAATCGTCAACAATTTAATTAGCTTAATCTTATTAATAATTATCAAACTATCATCACCTTAATTGTTATGTTTAAATTGCTGTTCGATAAGAAAAAGTTAATTCAATTATCTTAATCAATAATAGAAACAAAAAGCAATTAATTGTTAATCAATTCTTAATATTATCGGACAATCAAGCGACGGGTGATACTTTTTTTTTAATCACAATCAAATGTAACAATTAAATTAATCAATTAGTTCATTAATTTTGTTTCGCTTGATGTTGGTTAAACAATTAACTCTAATCTTTAAAGGATTGATTGAGAAAAGTTAATTATCATTATTTGATTGCTATTAAATCAACATCTCAATATGAAAACAATAATAATAATAAACTGATAGTAATAATTTTAATCAATCTAATCAAATGCAATAAACAATAGACAACAATTAAATTAACTAATAACAAAAAATAAATTATTTGAAGGCATTAAAATTGAAAATGATCAAGATAAACTCCAACAATCAAGTTAATTGTCGTTAATAATTTACTCTTGATTAGTTTTCAATTCATTCACGATTTCATTGATTGGAAAGATTGTTTTTTTTTCTTCAACAATTAACTAATTAACTACCTAATTGTGCCAATATATGAATGTTACAAGAAACCAAGAGTTACAATTACTTTTGATTGTTGATGAAAACAAGTAAAAAAAATCAATAAAAATCAATTTAACTTGTAACTAATTATGAATCAAAATTAATTACAATCAATTTGTCTGTGAAATAGCAATAACCATAATAATAATGATTAACTGACCATTTTGATTAACCTAATTGTTTTAATCCAATTCCTTTTCTAATCACGATTGTTATTTAATTAGTTGGATGAGTGTGTTATTAATAAGTTGCTTAGATGAGACAATTAACTTTAATTGTAACCTAAAGTAAAACCATAAACTTGATTTTTAATTTTGTTCCTGTACAAATATAATTAACTCATTGAAATATGTTCACATTTAATTGTTAATCATTGAATTGATTGAAAAATACAAAATTTGATTATCTGATTAACTCGCAACACACACACACACAACAATTAACATTGATCTGGACAATCAAACAATCAACAATCATCAACTATCAACATCAACAACATCTTCATCTTCATCCTCATCCTCATCTTAATTTAATGGTGTGACCAACAATCAATAATTAGGTTAACTTTTCAATTAATTGTCACGATTGTGAAAGAGCAACTTTTGTTTTTCTAATTTCTAATTGTGTTGAAAACATTTTAGACACTTGACAACAATCAACAAATTTAATCAACTTATTATAATTGTAATTTAATTCTTGTTTCCAAAAAAACCTTTGTAAATTAATCACCAATCAACCAACAACAAACCAGAACAATTAACTAATTCAATCATCTTTCTTTTGATAAAAACATGAAAAGTATAATAATATTATCCAAATTTATTAGCATTCAAATAATAATAGATTGAAACGTAATCATAATCAACTTTTACATGTAAATAATTATGATTAACTTAACAATTTTAACTAATTAAAGGTCATGATTTTTGCTGTGTTGTTTCACCAAGTAAATCTTACAATCAATTCTCAATAAAATCTCAAGAAAATCAGCTGATACCCATGAACAAGTTTCCATTGATCAGGTATTAGAAAAAATTCTGACAAATTCAGAAAATAAAAAATTCGGATCAACAAGAAAAACTGTTGAAATTATCAAGAATCTATGAGTGAGTGTTTTCAATGGAGAGTCAAGTTGAGTGTCTCTGAAATGTATTCATCACCATGACGATAATCATGGTTTTCCTATCGGAATCTCAGTTAGCCGGTGTAAGAGATTTTATCAGCTGTTTCAATCATCACTGGCTTTCAAAAAGATTCACAGCTTAGCCGATTCATAGAGTGACTAGTTGATTGTGACTGTTGTTGGATAAATTAAATACGTAAATTAAGATTAACTTTTCAATTAATTGTCACGATTGTCAATCATCATCAAATTATTATTGATAAATTAATCAACTAACAAAAAATAATAATAATAATAATAATAACAAAATGATCTAAAGATCATCATGTTTAGTGACTGAGTTTTTTAAGTAACCAGAAAAATTATTTCTTCGCAATTGGATCAACATTATCGTTATATGGAGATATATATATATATAAATTTACTCAGAAGACAATAATGAAGAAGTTAATTATCTAGGCATACACTTTTTGTTCCGGTTTATTAATTAATTTGATTGGATATTTAATTTTCTTATCAATTTGTATAAGAAAATGCTGAAAATAGCTATGGTGGAAATTCCTAAACCAGCTTTTACCAATGCAGGAGTTCCCGTTGACCAGGCATTTTGAAAAACTCTGAAAATAGAATATGAAGAAGAGAGAGAGAGAGAGAAAAAGAATTAAAATTAAAGATTCGATTGAAAATAATAATTGGAAAGGGAATTTTTTTGCTCACGTCAAATGCTCTGATAGTTCAGTATTGTGCTTGGTTGGATTATCTGGAAAAGGGCGATTATGAAAGGATTCATCTTCGAGTTCAACTCTATCATTGTAGCCAAATTTTCGTAAAACTGCCCAAGTGGCCTCATGTCGACCTCTTTGAATGAATAGACAATGAAGGAATAAGAAACCACTGAGTGTTATACTATCTTCGAATATACCATCGGGTAAACTTCTTTTAACGATGTTCTTAATGTCTTCCAAGGCTTGAGATTTTAATGGAGTGTTGAAACATCTTTTTTGAAATTTATTCAGTTCATCGTCATTCAGGAGACCGTCATTGTCTTCATCACATAATCTAAATATTCGACGTAGGGCTTTTTTACATTTATCGGTGAGCTAAAGGAGAAATTAGAGAGAAGCGTTAATAATTGATTACAAAAATGGGAGAGAGAGATATGTGGAAATATAGAAGTTAATTACATCTCTTTCGTAAGACGAGTAAAGGGGTAATGTTGGGTGGAGAACAGCCTTTTGAGCATAAAAAAAAAGTTCGGAAATATTTTTTAACGTCTTTGCTGAACACTGCAAGAAGAAAAGAAAAGAAAAATAGAAAATGATTAGTAATTTAAGGAATAGCACAAGTTAAGAGACAATTGCAAATGGTGCAATTAAAAGAGATACAATTTCAACAAACCTCAACGCAAGTCTCTATTTCATTAAATTGATTCATAATAGGTAATATTGACTCTAATGAACTATATTCCACCAAATCAACCTTATTACCAACCAAGACTACCGGTACATTATGATCCTCTCCTAATTGGTCACGAATTAAAGGTAACCAATAAGACGAAATCTACATAAATATTTGGAATAAAGAGAGAAAACAGTTGAATAAAATTGGATCCAAGATGACCAGTTAATTGTAGAAGAAGAGAATAATCAATACCTTATCAATTGAATCATCATCATCAACTGCATAGACGATGCATATTACATGCGATTTACGAATTTCCTGGTAAAGATTTTCATCATTTTGTTCTTGAGCTATGGGAGTTTGAGAAAAGAGTAAAAAAAGGGTAAAGGTGGAAGAGAGAGAGAGAAAATGATTAATAAAATGATTTTATGGGCCGAGAGGGAGAACGGTTTCTTCGCTTGAGAGAGAAAAATGATAAACATACCGGAAAAATCAACAATCTGAGTTGTAACCTTTTCTGGTGTAACATCAGCAGGAATTGTAATCTCTTCAGCACGAGGTGGGACCTCTTCAGCAAACTCTTCACTAACCAGTGAAAATATGAGAGAGGTTTTACCAACACCAGGATCACCGACCAGTAAGATCCTTACATCTTTCTTACCATTCAATCTTCCCATGGAGATGGAGTGAGAGAGAAAGAGAAAACAAATAATCAAAGAAAATGACAAAATAAAAAAGACACAAAAACAGAAAATAACAATAATAATAATATAGGGAAGAGAATTAGATGAAAACAGTTGGTAAAGATGGAGAGAAGAGTAAAAGAGTTACTTTAGTTGATTCTAATTATTCAAATAGTTAATCAACCAAAGAGTTAAATTAATTGAGTGAAGGTAATTTTCAACATTTAACGATTACAATTAAAGAATTAAAAATAAAAACAATCACGATTTAATTGATTTAATAAATAAACATTTTCAACAAGGAAAAAATTAATTCCAATTTAACATTGCCAATGTTACGCTAGGGAAAATCTCCACCAACAGATGGAGCCACTTTATAGATTTTCGGTTGAAACGGTTGAGTTTTTGCTATTTGTAACACTTATCCTTCCAATAGGAACCAATCAAAACTCAATCAGATGTTTTCTTTTTTTTAATTGTTTTGTTTACTTTTGTTGTGATTTAATGACAATTAAATTGATGATTGAAATTTTGTTTTTTTCTTGTTTTTAATTTGATTGGAATATTTTCTCACCTTTTGATCATCTCTCGAATTTGATTAGTGTATTTGATTGAGTAAATCGTTTTGTAAAATGTTTTTCCAACTTTAATTTAATTGTTTCTCATTTTTTTTGTCACTTCTTCAATTGTGACAATTTGATTTTTTGTTTCAAGAAATTAGCTTGATCTTAGATGGAAATTAAGTCATACGATTGTAAATTAATTTTATTTCTGTTAATGTAGACAAACTGAATCAGTGTCAGTTGGGTAACATCAAGACAAAGATAGAAAGTGATGACAATTAACTGATTTGAATTGGAAATATAAAAACACATCTAATTAACTTTTCGTTTCATGTGATCAAAACAATTGTGAAATATTTTCATCATTAATTTGATTAATTGGCTTACCTGATTGACAATTCTCCTTGTTGTTCCTGCTGTTGATCATTAATAGTCACCATTTTTCAATAAGTTTACATTTATTATCACAAATGTAATGACACAATTAAGTTTTAACATAAATTAATCAACAATTAACACCAACTCATCTCAAGGAAAATTGAAATGATATTCAACTAGACTGAAATTGGCCAATCTCATTTACAAGATGGGGAAGCAGTTAAATCATCACTTAATCAGCAGAAATTAAAGTTAACAATCAATCTAATCAAAAACCAAATAGGTCACTGATTATGATTAACCAGAAAGCATCAACAATCAAACAAAATCAATATCCAAACATTGGTAAACCTTTTTGTTTACACAAATTTAAAAATGGAAACAAAAATCAAAAGTAAACAATTAGTTAACAATAGTAACTCCAATCAATCGTCAATAATTAAGATACAATCAAGTTAATTCACTGAACAAATTAACTGAATGAAATATATATTGGACTGTTAATTGTTTACTTTTCAATCAGAAAAATCAACAGGTGAAGAATAAGAAAAAAGGTAAGAACAAACATTTCCAATTAGATTATTCTAATTAATCTTCTATCAACTAATTCTGAACTAATTAAGTTAATCACGATTCTTTTCAACCCTTAACACAAGCACAGATAAACTCAACAATCAAGGTAACAATTAAATCAAAAGCCTGACGGTTAATTGGTTATGGTTAATATCTAATTTTCACCTTCACATGTTTGGTCAACGTTTCATTTTGTTGTTGTTTTTGTTAATCATTACAATTGATTATCAACAATCATCAAGTTAATTAATTCAGGTAAGTTAATTTTCACCACAAAATTTAACCCATGTTGTTGTGTAATAATAATCATTTCTAATTACAATTAGACTAAATTTGCCCTCAATCATGTGTTCATCTAATTTTCAGCTGTAAATTATTCAACAACAATTTCAATTAATCAGCAATCATCCTAATTGTTAATTAGTAAAAGGGTATTTTCTGTTAACTCATTGTTACCCTAATTTAGATTTAAACAATTAATTGACCAATCAATTTAAAAATTGATTACAATTGATTTTCATCAATTAATCGTCAATGTTACGTTGATCATTTTCATTAACCAAAATTGATTTAAAAATACAATTTAGATAAATAAATTGTTAATTATTTGTTAACAGTTTTTGTGATTGAATTGAAAATAATAATTAATCTTTAAACTAATCAACATATCATTTCAACAGTAGACAAAATTAACTAGATTAATTAGTCTAACAATTGTGATTTAAGCAAGAAATTAATTATCATCACTTGATAATCAACACATCAATTGTTTACCATCAACAACAAACAACAACAATTAACCATCAAGTGTTGATTAGACTAATTATCACTTGATTACTAATTATTATTGGTTCATTGTCTTAACCATAAATTTCTGTTGATTAAGAAAATATAATTTCCTTTAATTGTCTTCAATCAAAATCTCTTAACAAGACTAGAAAAATGTCACCAACAAGTTTACTAACAATTAACTTGATCGTTATTCTGTTCACAGTTACACAATTAACTAATTCATCTCTAAATGGAGAAGATTGTAATTGTAAAGTTAATTTGCTCGAAGACAATTTAAAGATAATCAATGGAACCCAATATTATAATAACAAATACCCTTGGTTGGTGTCACTTCAAATTCAACGTGCTGACGGAAGGTCAGTTAATTGATTAAAAGTTTTCTCGAAAATTAATTTTCTCTTATTCTAATTACAATGAATACCTTTTTCTTATAGAAATGTTCATACCTGTGGAGGATCATTAATCAATGACCAATGGATAGTTACAGCGGCTCATTGTGCTCCGACCAATATAATACGATTAACGGTAACAATTGGTGCTCATAATTTGACCAGTTCAGGAAAACAGTACAAAGTGTCCCAATTTATCCGACATCCAAGTTATCAGACATCACCGATTGTCCGAAATGACATTGCCCTTGTCCAGTTATCGGAACCAATTTCACAATTTACCAGGGAAATCAAGCCAGTCTGTTTATCCTCTCGTAATATTTACTTTACGGCAAACGATTTATACGTGGCCGGTTGGGGTGTTACCGATGAAACTGACCACAAGGCAACGGAAATCCCATTAGAAGTTCGTATGGACCATGTTAATCATTTTCGTTGTTCCCTCTCATGGATTGGCCTTTTAACCTTTTCCGCTCACATTTGTGCTCAAGCGACATCATCGTCTCCCTGTTTCGGTGATTCCGGTGGACCGTTAATGGTTGACAATGGTTCAGGTACCATGTATCTCGTTGGTGTTGTTTCATTTGGTAATTCGTGTGGTGATTCAGTTCCGACAGTTTTCACTCGAGTTACCTCTTACCTTGACTGGATTAACGAGACAACTACTACTTCAGGTTATTGTCGTATCGATGGTCAAGATGTCAACTCATTACCACGAAAGGACAACATAAAGATTACAAATTTAAATCAAATCAACTAATCAGATTAATGAAAATCAATCAAAATCCAAGTACAAGTTTAATAATAAACTGCGAAAATTTTAATATCGTTTATTTTTTACCACTTTTTCAATGGTAGAAATTCAATAATCAGTATCGATAGAAATCAATTTGATGATAAGTTTTTTCTTTTTTCATTTTTTCTAAAAAATCAGTTATTCAAAAATCGAAAATTAATCCAACGATTAAGATGATAGTTAATTGATTCCAATCATTTAACCATAAGAATCTAAAAGTTTCAGAGTCTTTTTGTTCAAGAAAACAGGTAAGATGTAATGTCTATGGAAATTATTAGAAAGGAAAAGTTGAGAAAATGGAAAACATTAGATAATCATTGCGACTTTAAATTATTACTAAATTGTTACCTGACGGGCATTAGAAGAGCGATGAAAACTGGAAAGGCCATTCTCAGGTAAGCCCATGGAGCGATCAATCCAACAAAGACCAAAATAGCGAGTTGAATTAACTCACATAAAGTGAACATATGAATGACTCGTTGACGAACTCGACGAACATAATGATTAGGTGGATATGAAGACTGAAAATGGAACAATTAATTTTCTATTCTATTCTTATTTTCTAATTATTAAGTCTCTCAAAACTTACCTGCTCTTGGAAGAGTAAACAAATCCTTTGGAACATTGAACTTCCCCTGAGTGATGCAAAAGCACAGTAAAGGAAGAGACCATCAAGAACCGGAACCGGAATAAGATTAAGTGGATAAGGAATCATGAATAAAGATAATCCAATGAGTATATTTGAGACAAGAGCAGTTATCCGAGTTTCTCGAACTCGAATAATTTGAGTCTCTATCAGTCCCTGGTTGTTTCTCTCCTCAGTATCGGCCAAAGATCGTACATGAAGCGGTGAATGAGGCAAAATCCCGTGCATCCAGGGAAGACCATAAAAGGATAAGGTACAGTTAATCACGGCGATAATCAGTAAATCCAAATGAGGAGCTGATCCTTTCTTCAAGTGATTAGTCGGTGCATTAACTATTTGACCGGTAATATTTTGGTCCATAAAAAACAACAGGGACAAAGCGAAACCCAAGACGATACTTGTCCCGATAACTTTGAACGAACTGAAATCGACATAAGCTCGTTCAACCGAAATGGACTTGGAGAAATCAAATGAATCAACTGGAAGAAGAAGAAGAAGAAGAAGATTCAATCAAATTAAAATGTTTACTTCTTTAATTACTAATCACTGATCACGAAATTGACCTTACCTTCAATGTCGGCGAAAATTAAATTACCAATTGCAGCGAAACCAAGTACACCGATTGGAAGAGCATAATCCGATACGAGCTCTCTCATACCTCGACTTAAAAATGGACTAATTGGAGAATTGGGAAGAAAAGAAACAATTAAAATTATCGAATTGATTGGAATTAATTGTTACCATTATTTACCTTTGATTGAATTTGTAGATTTGCAATGAAAGCCAAACAGTTCCTAAGGTTAATAGTAAATGTAACAAGGCTCCTTCTCGTTGGCAAACAATTGGCTCATCGTTAATTGTTGTAGTATTTAAATTGTTTGTGTTGATTGTTGAGGATAAATTTTTACACACATCAGTGTAATAGTAATTATGGAAACCTGTTAATCAGTAAAATGCAAGAAGTAAATAAAAAGTTAATTGTCTTGTAGTAGGTTTTGTTTTCTACTGTTAAATTGTTAATGGGCAATGATTTGAATTGTTTACTTTCAATGCATCCGTTAATTGCATCATAGAAGAAGCAAATTGTTATAAATTGTGCAAATATTTCCTCAACTGATCGAGTTGCAAATTTGATCAATTTACTCCAACCAAATATCGCATAGGCCAAGACGAAAAGGGTATTCCAAAAGCCGACCGATGCATACATGATGAAGAAATCGACCTCCAATTGATTACTGATTTCGTAGACAACTGATTAAAGAAACGAAACAATTTCGCAATTAGTGAATGGAGATGAGAAGGAGAAAGTTTGATCAATAACAATTAGTTGATTACCTTTGATATACAATGAGACGAGTGCGGTTGTTGCGATAATTACCAAAGGTTGACCTCCGATTAGAGCGAAAAATATTCCTCCAAGAGCTTGACCAATTAACGCTCTTTCCGGACCTTGAGATAATTAGATTGAAGATGTTTACAATTAACTGACAATTTCCCTGTTGATTGTTGTGTTTTGTTTTCTTAATTACCAATTAATCCGTTGGTGTTTTTGGAATTTAAAACACCGAAAGCAATGGAAGGTAACAAACAGGCGAAATAAAGGAAAAGCGAAGTGGCCAGTGTTTTGTGGACCGTTTTCTTGCCCACGATGCCGTCGATAAAATCAGTGTGATACCAACGAGCCCTTCGGGTGATATTTTCCCAAAGATTTGTGTCCAACCCGTGGATTATTTTAACCTTAGAACTAGATGATTCCTTGATTGAAAGTTCTTCCGCTTTCTGTTTAATTGAATGTTTAGCCGATTCTTCATTTGGTGATTCGAGCAGATCAAAACGAAGCGAACTGTCCATAAGAAGAGTTGAAAAGGTTCGACCAATTTCATAAGAACTTTTTGTTGGTTTCTTTCAAAGAAAAACCCAAAAATTATCAATCAATTAGAACATAAATAAAATTCGAAAATCAATTGATTCTTTTACCTCAATTGTCGGTGTTAATATAATTAAAATAAATCTAATATTCTCCATGGAATCGCCCAAGTTAATTGGACCAGTGGTTCGTCCCAAGCCGATCATATGTTTCTTCACAGAGACACCCGAACCTCTTAGGTAAACAATTAGATGAGATTAATTAGAAATTGCTGATCAGATTAAGAGATAATTAACTTCGCACATGAACTTACAATAGGCAAACCCATGATTGATCAAAAATGGTCGAACCAGAATCATTTGTTGTCACTCCTTGAATACGATTAGTGATCAATTTATCTGTTGGATTAGTGGAAAAAACTTTTTCGGTTAATCTGATTTTCCTTTGGGATAATCTCTTGAAAACCTACACTCTTTGTCTGAAAACAATGTTCCCATCACTTCATCTAAATCAAATTTAGATTTAGATTTAGATTGTTGATTCATCTAGAAATTAGTAAATTAAAATTCCAAAAAGAAACAATTAGTAAATTAATCAAGAGATTTTAATTAAATTGAATAAACTTTCACCTCGAAAGGTTGAAATTTTGTTACATGATACAAACTAAATCTATTAATAGAAACTGAAAGTGAGATGATTAATTAGTAATTCGTATGTTATAACAATTAATTAATAATAACCATCATCAATTGTACAACAATTAACACATAATATAAAATCAATTCCATTAATAGTTAAATTTTACTAAGAAATTGTTATAAATAATACAATTAGCCGGGTTAACAATTAACCTTCAATAGGTTTTATATTATCATTGATTAATATCCTTCAGGTAATTAGGTTAATTGTGAACAATTTACCTGAGTATAACCTTGAATATCATTTAATCACAATAAATATCAAGAGATATTAAATTGATTTAAGGCCTAAAATATTGATTAACAATTAGAAACGGTAACAACTAAAGAGCAAAATAACACAACTACAATTTCAAATTGTAACAATTAAAAGCCTAAATCACATTAAACCTTATCAAATAGTAATTAACCTGTTAATCCAATAAAAGAAACGTTTAATTACACCAAGTGTAATTGTATTTCTATTAATTACCAACCACTGAGAATTAGCAAAGTAATTAAATTAACAACATGCAAGCAATTTAATAAGTAAAACAGGTAAAAGGGTTAAATCATCTAAATATCGAGCCAACAATTAACTTAAACTACTATTTAACCAAAAATGAAGGTTGTTAATCTTACCTTTTTAAGTAAATGATTAGTTAAATTGTAAAGATGACCATCTAATTGTTGACACTCTAATTCAATTGTCAAATCACTGAGATAATGTTTAATATCTAGAGTCGCTCTAACCTCTAAGGTGAAATCCTTAATTGGTGCTTTCGATGTTGTAATTAAATGTAACGCCTCCGATTGTCCATTTACCTGGTCACCCTTTTCAGCCCCATCTCGATGACCACTACCATCATTATCCTCACTAATTGCAGGTAATATTGTACCTGGAAAATCAACTTCTGACCATTTGGATCCACGGCGATTTCCAAGATCACCATCAACTAAATCACTTTTATCAAAATTTAGATTAACATAACCACCGGCACCATCAGCCCCTTGACCATCAGCCCCTTGACCATTAACACCTTCACCTTCAGTGGGGTTGGTGATGACCACTTTGATGAGCCCACCTCCGTTGGTCAGTTCAATCTGTTCAACATTATCTTCATCCTTATCATTTGGCATCTTTGATTATCTTAAACACCTCAGAGTAAGTTAATTGTTGTTTAAACAATTTAATTCAATTCAATTCACTTGTTGACTAGTTAACGAAATGGATTTACTTTGAAACAATTTAACAATTTAAATTATAATTAACACCAAGACAGAACATCAAAAAAAAAAGATGATCATAATTATAATTGTAATTTGATGATGATGCTCACATTGGTCCTGTTAATCAAGATTAATTGTAATTATGTTATAAAAAAAACCATAGACACAATTAACTAACTAATCATTGAAGAAATCATGTTATCCTGGTAATCATCTAATTTTTCCCGTTAATCAACAACTTGATTCACATAATTATCATGGTTACCATTTCATTTATCTCTCTATTAATTAATTATCTTATTTTTCATCTAATCTAATTAACAATTAATTTTATATACATGAACAGTTTGTTCAAATAACAACAACAATTAACTGTACGATAATCATGAAGATAATGATTAACTAACTATGATAACTTTTATTAATAATTTCAAATCATTATTTCAAGTGAACAATTAAATATAATAACTCATTAATTCAATTCAGTTATTGGTAATTAATTGAATTTCAAACAATTAACTAATCATAAATCAATAGTTAGGTGACCACTTGATATATTAATTTCAAATAATTGATCAAACACTCAAATCAAATCAAATCAATTTACTTAATCATTTATGATTATCACAATCAATTAATGATTATCTTATAATTGTATTAATAGTTAATAACTTTTGTCTCTGACAATTAACTGAATTGGTAAAACAACAAAGCTCAACAATTTACTTTTACAATTTGTGACTTACCTTTTAATTGCTAATTAAACTTAACAATCAGTTAATTATTTCCTTTCTCTCTCAACAAGTTAACTTGTCCTTTCATTCATAATTAATGAGTAGCAAGTAATTAACCTTAAATTAGATTACAATACAATCTAGAAACAGTAATTAAGTAACTAATATGATCACTTAAATTGTAAACAATTAACCATTGGACCCAATAATTTGCATGACAAAATAATAATAATGATAACTAGTTGATTATTTTTTTTTTTTTACTAACCAAAGGTAAAGTTTAATTACTTTAGCTTTTTATTGGATCAGTAAAATTAGACCAATTTAACACATTTGAAAATGTAATTAGCAAAAAGCAACTATTAATTTATATATATTAATATATATAAATTGAATTACGATTAGTACAATTAAACGATTAACAGGATCGATTAGATTTTGTTAATCAGTGAACATCATTATTAGGGTTAAGTTGTCGTTTCTTTCAATTCTGATGTGGTTGGAACTTTTTTCCCAATCAATGGAAGTGAAAAATGATGAGCAGTAATTTTAAATCCATGATTAAGGTAAAATCGGTGAACTTCATGACGGGTGAAAGTTGATTCAGTAAGAATATTATCACAATGAGATTCCTTGGCGTATGAAATGATCCAGTTAATTAATAAGGGTCCAAGTTCCTCGTGAATTGTCCAGTTGAGGGCACAAAAATCTTCCAGGTAAATTGTTTTACCTGAAAGTAAACGTTCACGTAAAGTGAAACCAATTACAATTAACACTTTATCAGAATCAGCGATGTAAAACAATCGATAACCTTTTGATTGTTGACGATTTACTCTTTCAATATATTCTTCGATATATTTAAGGTGAGGACGAAGAATTTTTAAAACTGGATAACAATTAAGTAGTTCAATCTCTGTTTTGGCTTCACGAATTTCAAATTTACGATTCGATTCGGACATTTTGGTTTCCTTCAGCAAATTGTTACAATCGTTGTTGTTGTTGGTGGTGATGTTACTCTAAGGAAAAGTAATTAAGTTAATTAGGTTGAATGGAAAAAGTGTTTACAGTAAGATTGAGATTGTGTGTTAATATCAATAAGTCACAAAGATATTGAAATGAATGAGAAAAGGAGAAGAAAATGAAAGAGAAAGAGAAATTTATCTCTCTCACTCTCTCTTTTTATTCCCCTTTAGGATGATAAATGATGACTTTTTTGATTAACATGCTAATCATAAATTGTTACCTTACAATTAAAGACAATCTGAAATTAATTAGCAACAATTTACTCTTGATTGAGAACAAATGAAAAGGGATTAAAAGCAAAGTCTTAATCGATCCTTAATCATGAAGATAACAAGCTAATTAAAGATACATTTATATTAATATCTCATGAATCTTGATTGTGGCTAATTTTAGTAATTGATTATTAATTGTAACAATTAACCAGAGAGATTGGTACCAAAATGTTTCGTAGAATCCTCGTAAGTTTTGACTCAGCCTGTTTCCAAAATTGTGCTCATCTTAATCTCCTATGAAGATGATTATCTTCTAAATGATTGTAATCCAATTGATCTAAATTGATTACAATTGTTAGTATTATAAAGAGTTAATGGCTTCAAAATGGGTTATCAAGTTTAGATTGACAATTAACGGAACAATTTATTAAATTTACTTACTTTTCCTTCTTAAATTGACTAAGGCCTCATTCTAGTTTATCTTTACCACCATGATAACCAACAAATCAGTTAATTGTCATGCTTAATTACCCAAATTTAGTCATTGAGTATTTTCTAGTTGCAACATTCACCATTGGGACAAATCAAGAGATCAACCAAATAACTCTGATTCTGATTGAGAAATTCACTTTGAATCCCCAGCATTGTACAACCATATCCAACTATTATCAGCACCAAAACAGGCCAGTTAAACTGTGACAATTAGATAACTAAAAGAAAACAAAAAACAAACAGTTAATTAAATGTTACAATTAATGATTTATAAACAAACCTCATTTTCCTGATTCACTTTTCTCACTCACTTTTTATAGAATCTTTCCAATGACCAACTCACAAAGAAAACCAATCAATCTTCCTCATAACTGGATCTTTTTATATCAATAATCAATGAATAAATTGTAACAATCAAAATAAAATGACAACAATTAAAATTAAATTTCAATGAAAAAGAAAATAATTTTCAACATTTAACTAAAATGGCGCTCAGAAAAAGTGTCTCCATCTGTCGACCAACAAACGAACCAAAGCCCGACCGGTTTTAAATTCTAATTCTATTTCCGAATATCCAAAATTCGGGTAACCGGACTGTTAGAAATTAAATTTCTCACTTGTTCCAACTAATCAATTCAATTCCAATTAAATTAATTTCTTCAACTAACTGATGAAATTAATTAATAAAACTATTCTTCCAAATGAATGGAAACGTTTTTCTGACCAAAAAGAAAAAGAAAAAGTCTCGCGGTACCGGAATTCAAATTTTCGAAATCGGTTTTATAGCGAACTTTTTGTCGGTTCGATTATTAAGCGAAAGGTTTTCATTTTCTTTTTGATGGAAAAAGATGAAAATGAAAAACAATTGTTAATTGTTTCTAATTAGTTAAAAATTTAATTTTCCCTTTAAATTGTCTGTTTATTTTGTTTTTGTTTTTTCCTTCTTAATTATTTGGGAGTGTTTTTATTTTCGTTTAAAATTACCATGTCAGAAGAGACAATTGCAAATTCAAATGATGAGGTAAACATTGGTGAGATTAGTGGTAAGGTTGATATAAACTTAACGTCGATGCCTAAATTGATTCCAATTGAAGAGATGGAAATTTGTACTCCACCGGTTACAGTTGAAGAAGAAACAACCCAATTAACAACAATTAAACCCGATTTGAGAACATTTAATGGTTTGGTATCAAATTCTTGTTCATTGGTACGATGTTTATACATTTTCCCTGATTCATGTGATTCCGAGACAAATTATATTGTCCTAATTCAAGATGATTGTATTTCAATTTGGTGGAGAGAAGATAATTCAACAAAACATTGGCTTGTTGCTGATCATACAATTGAAAATGAACCTTCAATTGTTGAAGGTTCATCAATTGAAACGGAACAATTTATCTGGATTGTATTGGCTTATGATGGTACCAAAGAATTAAACCTGATTCATCTTAAATTTGATAAAATTACAAAGGAAATTAAACTTCACCTACGAGAATTATTTTCCATGACATTTATCTCCTGTGAGATGATGCACAAGTGCCAAACTTTTATCAAAATTACCTGTTTACCAAAGGAAAAAAGTGCCCTCAGTTTACCTGGACCATCAAGTACAATTAGATTATTTTTATATGATCTACCAACATCAAGGAAAACACTTTTAACTGCATTGAAAAAAGATGCTTCCCTTAATCACTTATATCCTGTCGATGATTGGGATAATGTTTTAATTGCTCTTTATGACCATCAAATTCAACTATGGTAAATATATCAATCTAATTCTCTAACAATCCAATTTTCTATTCTAATGTTTTCATCTTTTTTTTTCCTCTTCATTTTCTTCCTTCTTTCTCTTGCTCTCAAACAATAGGAACACAACTGACAAATCAATCATCAACTCAGTTTTAGTAGATAAATCTGTCTTTCGAAATAAATTTTGCTTCAATGTTTTGCATGATAAAGTAAGTAACAATCATTTGAGAGAGAAAATTTTCTATTCTATTTTGTAATTATAACGGGACTAATTTATATTTCCTTTTCTCTTTTTCTTCAAATAGGGTTTGGTACATCTATTCCTTGGAGATTCTCGGTCAAGTGCAATAGAAGTGATTGCTTTGAATCCCAAAACCGGCAGATATGCCACCCTAATGAGCTGTAAACTTTTTGATTCCGAGGTGACCTCCACCTCCACCACAAGTACCACCGACACTACTACTACTAATAGTGACACAATAACTGCCACCAATCAAGTCAATATAAATAAAATAAAGCGAAGTGGAGATCAGTTACTTGTTATTAAAGATGATGGACTAATTGTTTATGATCTGGCCAATAATAAATTGGTTCTTAATTGTGATCAAGGTTCAATTGCAGATTCCTCGATTGGCTTTGTTAATGATGTAGCCGTGATATTTGCTGCTACTCTTAATGGAAAAGTAATTAACCTTCTCAACACTTAATAAGAGTTATATCATTCAAAGATTCAATCAACATTTTCAACTCAAAAGAGAGACAAAGAAAATTTCAACAAAAAATACAAAAAATAATCTATTATTTTTTATTTCTGTAACCAATTTCATCCAAAATTCACCAGCAAAAAACACACACACACACTCACATATACTGAATAAAACTTTTTTCTTTCCATAATAAACACAAAAAGAAAAGTATTGAACAAAAATTGAAGAGCAAAATTAACAGTGAAAACAAATTCACTTGAAAGTAAAATCCATGAAATGAAGCAACTTTTTCCAATAGAAACACCAAATAAAGATGAAAACCTACACAGTTGATCAATTAATTCCATGATATAATCCCACTAATTACCAGAGAACTGAAGGAAAAAATCAGTGATAAATAATGAGCACAAGACCAAACTGGAGACAATCGGGTGAGCAATCGTTCGGGACACATTGGGACGACAAAAATTGATGAAAGATCTAATTGGATTAACTAATCATCTTCGACTTGCATTATCTTGTAAATCCATCTCAAGATTAATTCACTTGATAAAATGAATCAAACATGTCAACTCCTTTTCCAAATATAGTTTCATCTCCATCCCATAGTTATGATACAAAGTAAACTCTATTAACCAATACAATCAACAAAACGTACGATTAAAGAAATTTGATTTAAAATGGAAACTACGAATCACCAAAGAACAAAACCAACTTACCTTTGATTATAATCCACTAATCCAAACCAAAAAGACCAAAAATCTCAATTAACTAATTACACTTGCAAATGTCAACAAACCAATAAGAAAAAAAGAAAAGACCAAAAATCAATCAACATTTAGATTAACCATTAAACAGAAACAACGAGAATCGTAAAACACTCAAGACTTAACACTAATTGTTAACAAAAAGAAAACAAAACAAAAAATTATCAACAATTAATTACGAAAATTAAAGACAATCAATTAAGAAAAACAACTAAACCAATGGAAAGAAAAAAAGAGAGAATTTCAACCAATAGATGGAGTTGGTTTCGTCGAATTTTCGGTTTTCTCTTTTTCGAATTTCGTTTTTTCTTTTCTCTCATCACATTTTTGATTCTTTCTCTTTCCTGATAACTTACATCATTTAAGGAAACGTTCAACTTTGCCTTTTCCTTTTTTTATTATTTATAAATATGCGTCTATTAACCTAACAGTAAATTCACTGATTTCTGTGGTTGAGTGTGTATTTTTTTTCGTGTTTACAAAGAGAAACAAAAAAAAACCAGAATCACCATCTTTGTCTCTGTTGCTGTTTCTTTTTGATTATGTGATTACTCATCATCATCATCGTCATCACAGTGATTGGATTTGTTCATGTGTTGGTGTTTTTTTCTTCTCTTCTTTGTTAATCTCTGATGATGATGGTTGATATTGGGACGATTAACCTTCTTATGGATCAATTTGATGTTAATCAACAACAACAACAGCAACATAAAAATAAAGCCTCTTTTTTGTCAACACACTAACGATTAGTGACACTTTTCATTTGGTACTTTTTTTTTCCTCTTCCTTTGGTGGACATTGTCATCTATTATCTTTGTAGATATAATTAATATATAGATTGTTCTCTTTCTACCTCTGTAATTCCAATCAATCTTCCATCTTAATTTACTACTAAACATTATGGATCTTAAATGGGAGAAAATGTCTCCTGCAGAGTTTGAAATGCTTCAAGATTACATCCAATGTAAGTTTGTTTTTTTTTCATCTTCTTCTTTTTCAATCATCCCCTCACCCTTTTCCTTTTTATCTCTTCAGTGTCCAGTTATCTAAACAATTTAATTAAATTTAATCAATTGCCAGGTATTGATTGATGTTCAGTTAACTTTATTCTCCATCTTGAAATACTTTTTTCTCCTCATCAGTTTATTAGAATTCAATTGACCAAAAGACAGTTAACCCTCTCTTTTTTTCGCTTCATTTTCTTTCCATCGTCATTAACATCTCTTTTTTTTCTCTCTTTACGTTTGCTTCTCTTCGGACATCTTGCCAATAATCTTCATCTCTTTTTTTTCTTCGACTTGTTCTCTTCTCTCTCTCTCTCTCTCTCTTCCTTGTTTTCTCTTCTTCCCTCATTTTCTTTTCTCACTCACTTACTCTCTCTTTCACTTTCCTCCCTCTCTTCTTATCAATTTCTATTCCTACTTTTTAGCCTACATTCACATCTCCCTTATTATGTGTTTTTCCCTCTTCGTTAACTCAGTTTCTCTTTGGTGTAATATTTACATCATCTTTTGTTCCCAATCATCTTTGTTTATAATTTCTTCTTTTTTTTCTTCCTTTCTGGTTTTCCCTTTTTTTAATGCTCTTCCTTTCATCAACAGTTTTTGAAACAAAACAACCTTAATTTACAAACGTTTCTCTCGGTTGTGTAAATCGTTAATGTTTCTAAGGAAGATGAAGAAGAAGATGATATAAGAATCTACAACATACGATTAAATGTAATGAGAGTAAGAGAAAAATGTTAAGAAATCGAGAAATGTGTAACCTTAGATGAGTTTATATTATTTTCCTTTTCTATTAATTTTTTCATGTAAAAAATTTTTATATATACTTTTCTTAAGAAATGAGACAATGATCATCATGTTAGTGATAATTAAAATGATAAAAAGGTTAGAAAATGAGTTATAAGGACAAACACAATGACAACAAGAAGAAAAAATAAAAGAAAAGAATAAAAAATGATTGAAGAATCAATTGTTTTCATATTCTTGCGTCTTATAATTTTCTCATCTCATCTCATCTCATCTTATCTCTCTCTCTCTCTCTCTCTCTCTCTCTCTCTCTCTCTCTCTCTTCCCTCACCCTTCTCCATGATCATCTTTTATGGAAGAATCAATAACGTCATTCAAGGAAAAATATCATCAGATAGATAGAAGAGAAACTTATTTGCCTTTGCCGGAATTCGAATCAATTGTGCAAAAGTCTTAACCTTTATCTTGATCAATATGATGATTATAATTAATAGACACTTTATCATTTTATTCTAAATACAATTAATATCGTCATATTAATAAATATCATCTTTTGCATGCTAAAAGATTCAGAGATAAGATAATACATCATCCCAAACAATTTAATATCTCCCATCTTTAAGTGCAAACAGTTGACAGCTTGAGTCCAATTCCAAAACAAATCATTGACAAAACTAGTCCATTTCAACACTCGAGGGAAATTTCTCTTCCTCGTTTTACAAGACAATTCATAGTCTAAAATTTAAAATACACCATTAGAAAAAAAAGAAAACAACAATAACAGCAACATTGACAAATCGTTGATTACTTATCTACAATGAAATAAAAAGTGATCAAGCAGCAAATTTATCAATGGTTATTGCTTAACTAGAATATGATAAAGAAAAATACTTAAACTTTATCCAATCCTTTAAGGTTCAAGAGGTGAACTTTAAGGAAGATATAATATCATTCTTGTTGGAAGATAAATAAGATGAGGATGGAAAAATGACTAGAGTGAGGCATTAATATCTCTCTCAATCAAACAATTGTAATAACTGCTTTTTCTTTATGATCACATGCATGTAGCTGAATCACATTCTCACTGCCTCTTCACTCCCTTTATCTATGCGAAGATACAAGGTAAAGGTAAAAAAAGATGAAATCAGATAATATGTGTCACGAGAATTCAAAAAAAAACGATGATGAAGCGCATCAGAAATATTATATATAACACAAGACCATTATCCATGAGAAGTTATTGAAAAAAAGAGATTCTTACATGGAGAAAACAAGTGCATCATTATCGAATCTGACCAAACATAAACACCCAATCATATGAAAGATGATAATCATCTCTTTATGAAAGAAGATGAGAAAAGAATCTACTGAACAATAGTTTTGATGATACTTTGTTTTTTTATCTAAGGTGTAAGAAGATGATTGCTTAATATTGTCTAGATGATGAAAGGAAAAAAAGAGACACTAGATCAAAGTTCTTGTCAACGAATTTTTTCCTCACCTTAATATCTATTGTTTCCCCCTTCTCTCTCTCTCTCTCTCTCTCTCTCTCTCTCTCTCTCTCTAATATTTATTATTTATTATTATCACTAAATAATAATCGAAATGAGATAAAAATTTGAAGATGATGAATGATAATAAATGTACTTATAAGATTTATTATATTCTGGGAGTGATTACATATCCATAATGTATTCATTTTTATTATCTCTTTCTCTCTCACTTCTCTCTCTTTTTTATGATTCAATCTCTCATCTGCTATTGGGAGTAAAAATAACGCCACTGTCAAGTTCTTGATGATTTTCCTGTGTACTCATCTTTCATCACCATCATCATTATCATCATCTTGGTGATAATGATGCATCTTTATGAATTTCTGATTTCTGTCTCAACGTCAATTAACATGATAATTATGACGATAATGAAGATAATGATTATAGTGATTAAAGAAATAGACAGATGAAATAGTTGAAACAAACAATTACATTATAATCAAATTCTGAATAACATGTTGATTAGATATTAAATTACCTTTTCAATGTACTACATTGTTCATCTGTCAAGTGAATACAAAATAAATACTTTTGTCATTTAACTTATTACTTTTGTTAAATTGTGAACTTTTCATTTCGTCAACAATTAAATTAATTGTAACGATAACCAATTAAATGATATCGTTATCTATTCTATCTAAAACCTGAACAACTATTGATATAACCTTGCAAACCCAATCTTCCATTACCAAACTACTTCTATAAATGTCACGATAACTTCCAATGTTTATGATAATAATAATTTTTACCTTTTTTTCTTCGACTTTATTTTTATTTCTCTCTACTATCTAGATACCTCTAAAAAGCTAAGTGATGTGATGATAACTGAGTTTAAAGAAGGAGGATCGTTGTCAAAATATAATCCAGAAGAGGTAAAGATGAATTTTCCAAATATTCTCCACCAAAGAGATAAGTTACAAAGGGGGTGAAAAGAAATAGAGAGAATAGTGGAAAAAAAAGGATGAGAATGAATTATTCTGTTGATAATAATACAATTGTATTGTCAGTCAAGAACATTAGCAATACAATCGATGAAGATGATAATTTGTTCCATCAAAAAAAATCATCATCACTTCACCACCATTATCATCATGATAAACCTTATTTTCATCATTATTATCTATTTATATATCTACTATTATCACCTTTTTTTTCTCTCTCTCTCTCACTTTAATCTGACACCGAGGTTTTTTCTTTTAATCTTTGCTCTCTCTCTTTCTCTTCTTGCCTCGTTAAATTCAATTGTACCTGATTAACTTTTCTAGATTAGCTAATTTCTTGTTAAGTGTGTCAGATTTTTTTCCCTTACTTTAATACTAGATGATTACTTAATAAATATCATGAGAAAAGAGTATTAAAACCACATCGAACAATCTGAAGTTACATGATAATCATTCAGAGAGATTATCATGAAACGAGTTGGTTATATAATAATAATGAGAGTTTTACTTTTATCCTTCTTTTCCTCTTTTGCTTTTTATTATTCTGGTGAAATTTCTGTTACTTCAGGATAGAAATTTGAAAGTTATTATCATACTATTATCATTGAATTATATTCTTAAACCAAATTCATTTATAATTAATACTTACCTTTCCTAACTCATGTAGTGACTTTTTTTTTGTTGCTGTCAACTTGTTGCCCCAATTGTGACAAGATGACAAAACAATTGAACAAAATATCACTAAATAGCCTGAAGGTAAAATATATTACCAGTGATGTGATATATTGATCATGCAATTTGGAGTGAAATATACTCTCTGTATATTTATAGTCCATCTACTGATTTGATGAAAAAAAAAACTTTCCAATGAAAATCAAATGACCATAAAGGTTAATGCATCGCAAGAAGAAAAAATCTTAAGCTAGTTTCATAATCTTTCATTCTTGTGTGTGGTCATATTACTTCAATACAGATACAATGTACTCTTGACCATCAAGGAGAAAGAGAAAAAAAGAAAGTAATTCCCTGGTTCTTAGTTGATAACATCGATCAGGCTAAATGGTCATTTTTTTAGTAAAACTCAATTGTTAGAGTCTCTGTTTTATTATTACCAGTTTATTTGGGTTGCATGATGAAGATGATGGAGAGAAAAAAATTAGGTCTTAGGGATAACAATATCAAGTAATCAAAATTTGATGAAACATCAAATTCCCTGGCGAGAGAGAGAGTTGATTTTATTTCGTTACAATGTCCAATGGTCAGATTGATGTAAAAGACGATTCAAGATGAGCCATTGAAAAACCCATAATAACAATAACAATTTACCAGAAAGAATTGGAAAACCGAGATTAACTTTTACGATTTAACCGGTAAACTTTTAAATCACCATCAACTTATTAAAAGAATAAGAAAGTAATGATGATTAACTTGATAATACTTTTTTATTTGTATCCTGTTACTGGTGATCAATTTGATTAAGAAAATAGTGAGATTAAATTGTGACTTTTACTCAAAGCTCATAAATGAATACCTACAAATAAGTCTTATTATATGTTTGATCTAATATTTTTTTCTTCTCTTTTCATGTTTACCTGATTCTCTGTCTTCTTACTATTATTGCCTATTTCTATTACCGTCATCATCATCATCTTTAACAGGACATTGATTTGGAAGGATTTCAAAAATTTGTTGACATCTACCTGGAAACTGATACACCTATTGATTTGGTTAAAAGGTTATTCTTATCATTTGTGAAGAAAAATTTAATCTCAAATCAACCTGCCAATGTAAATAACAACACGAGTAATTCAGGTAACAGCAATAAATCAACAAGCCAAACATGTTACACTATTCCAGAATCAAAGCTTGCAAGGGTAAGTTTCCTATTCAAATCTATCACCTCTAAAACCATCAACATCTCTCTCACTAATTATCATCATTTTATTTATCAACTTCATTAACATTATCTATGATTAATTAATGCAAACTATCAATCAATCACTTTCATTGAAAGTCTATCTAAATTACTATTAATACTTAGGGATAATTAAAGTTTAGTTTTGCTTGTTTTATACATATGATTTAATTATCATTGATAATTGGTGACTATCTGAATATGTTTAGCTATTTGTTTTAATTAGTAATAATCTCTCAATAATTTAAATTATTGTGGCGATTAATTAAAATTTTGTTTCCAAGTTATCATGAGATTTAGGTGTCAATCTAAAGTAGACTTTTCTTTCACTCATTGAGACTTTCAATAGATTTGTTTTGTAAGTAACAATTTCAATCATTTACAGACAAACGTATATGACTGAGACGTAATAGTAAATTGAGTTTAATTAAATAATCAAATGAAAAAGGTCAATGTTTGATAAACTTTTTCTTGGTATTACTGTTTTTCTGCCTGTATGTTATAAGTTTCCTTTGGATCTTTTTTCCCCTCTATTCCATACACATTCACCTATCTCTCTTTTCATCACTTGGGAGTGGAAATTATTCTTACTCCTTGCATTTATTCATTTTATCATCTATCCCCCTGTTATTGTAACATTTCAACTAATGTTCAGGTTGAATGATTTGTCAGGATTTTTCTTTTCTGCATCAATTGTTCACAATATCAAGAAATTCTCTCTAAAAAGTTTCATCTTCTTCTGAAACTCCTGACACTGTGTGTGGATTCAAATAATAATATCACAACGATAATAATAAGAGAGAAAAAAATAGCAGAGTAAAAAATGTCTAAACTTCAGGATGATATGAGAAATTGGAAAAAAAAGAAAGATAGAAAGAGCGAGAGAGAGAGAGAGAGAGAGCTAGAGGCTGATAGATAGACTTTGATGAAAAGTGCTGATAGGATGCGTTTTAAGTAAGAAAATGAGATGTTAGTATATAGAATGATTTAAAGTTTTATCGAATAAGAAAAAAATTAAAAGAGAGTGAGGATAAACATTGAGATGATGAGGATAAGTAAAAAAAGGCTGATAAAATAAAGTTGTTTACAAGCAAAAACTGCATTGGAATCAAATTTTTTCTTATAAGTTTACTGATGATAGAAGTTGAATTTTTTACTCTTTCCTGTTTATCTGATTTTGCAAATCAACTATTCACATGATAATTACATTTGATAGATTCTGCAAAAGCAATCATAAAATTTTCATTCTAAATAACATTTAATATGTTGTATATTTAGCTTAAATGTAATATAAAATGACCAATTTTACCAATCAAACTAATCAATGATACATTTTATTATCTCTTAGATGGCAGTGGTCACTTCCAATACAGCTTGTGCTCCAATAACTGTCCACAGTACGAGTGGATCTCTTCCTGAACTTACTCGAGAATTGATAAACATTGAGATAACACATGAGAAAAAGGAAAACTCATCTTACAATAATACACTTACTACTTCAGGAGGAGGAGGTGGTGGTGGCTCCCATGGAGTTGTAGGAGGAAATGAATCAAAAAGTCATCATTCATCTTTAGCTGAGCGTCTTCATGGATTAACAGAGAAACTTCATAGCATCGGTCATTATCGAAGTGAGAGCGACTCTGGTTCTAGAGGACGATCGGGTACCTGTACGTTAGTTAGTGAAAATCAAAAGCACAAAAAAATAACAGATTAATTATATATTGTGATTTTCTTGCACAAATTGTTTTCCAGAATTGTTTCAATGAAAGTTTTAACCGTCAGGACAACTCAATCAAACTAAATCAAACTTATCTGCACATGAATCACTTACTCTTACACGAAACATACAAAAATCCCAATCGTCCCTCTCTCTAGTCCCAAAGTCACTTTTTAAGTTTTCATTTAATTTAATTAATTGCACTTATCAATCAACATATAATAATCGCATGATTAACGTTTTCGTCTTTTAATTGTGTTGCATCAAAAATTAATTGATGTTTTGTTTCTCTGTTTAAATGTTGATTATGATGAGTGTAAATTACTTATCACATTTTATCCTTAACTATTGTCTTTTCTATCTGATAATTTATACATACAGGGAGTTCATCAATCCATCCAATGGTTTCTGTAGCCCAAACATTTCGTGATCAAAAATCAACTGGTTCATCTCCTAATCATGGACAAATCTCACGTAATTCATCAAAAAAATCCAATACCTCATTACTGATTCATCCAGGTAGGAACAATGATTTAATTACAATTAATTGAAATGGATTAATTTTTAATCAATCATGCGATCAAGACACTTATTACTATTAAGGAAAAAATAACAACATAACACTGACAATTAATTTACTCTTTGTTTTTAATTAATCTTTTACTCTTATTCCTACTTTTATCAATCATCATTATCATGGTATCACTTATATATTTTCATGGAAATTCAGTTGAAATTAAGCCATTAAGAAAAGGAAGCTCCAGTATTGATGTTTTATCTCTTCGTGTTCCATTTAAGGATGTTGTTTGTTATCTTTCATTACTCGAAGCAGGCAGACCAGAGGATAAATTAGAATGTAAGTAAATTAATCAATTAATTAATTTTCTCTCTAATATTCAACAAACACACTCACATACACAATTGATATTCTGCAAAGTGATTTTAATCATGTGGAAAGTACAATTTATATTTAAATTCAATGAATCAGCTCAATTCACTTTACACAACAAGTTTTATTTGGATACATGAAGAGAAAAAAAAAACTCAATAAAATGAACTTTTATTGACCAGAAGTGTAAATTTTGAATCAACAAATGATTAAGAATTGAAAATGTCATGATATTAACAATGAAATGTTTCAAACTTAATTGTATCCTGTTAGTTTTACTAGTTGTCACAATCAACATGAAACTAATCTGACATTGAGAGAAAAATGAATTTATATCAAAAATATTTGCAACACTTTAATAACCATCACTGTTTATGATAAATATTACAATTTAGATGATAATCAAAACTTCAAATGTCAATCTAATCGCAATAGTTTAAGAAGCAAAACAAAAATAATCATGTCTAATAACAGGATTTCCTATTAAATTATTTCATCTTTTTTTTCCTCACTTTTATTGATATACAATCTGAAGGTGATGGAAAAGGTTACTTGATTGTGTGAGCTCCTAATATAAACTATAACATTTTACAATTTAATCTAATGATTAAAAAGTAAAAAGATTCCAGATTTTCATTGATTGAAAATTAATACACCTTTAACCCTTTTACATTTCGTTGCGTTGATGATTATTAAACTGTTATTCAAGTGTATGTGTAGAGATTTGATACTTGGAGGATGATGAAAAAAAAGCATGATAATAATAATGAAGTAAAAGATAAACAAAGTGAAAAAAACACCAGAATAAATCTGAACCTTGAATAGAGAGGAAAAAAAAGTTCTTGTTAAGGTTAAAGGTTATTCTGATAATTTTGGTGTATCTAATTGATTGATGTTGATGTTGATGAGTATGATGATGGTGGTGATGACAAGAGGCTGAAAGATATAAACATTGATATATACGTATTACTAATGGGAAAACTGGTGAGTTATTATTATTATTTTTTGATAGTAACCAATCAAATCAAAAGCCATTATCTCAATTGTAATAAGAGTTGCTTTCCAATTAAATAACCAGTTAACATATAATATTATCTTAGATTGAATTTCAAGTGATCAGATTGACAATTAATTTGATAATACCAATCGAATGTAATGAAGAAAATGATGTGGATAAAAAAAAAGACACAATTCGCAAAGGCATAGGAATATGTTCTAGATTATCTAAGACTGGGAAGTGAAATAATAATAGTTGATGTTATTCATTTTCTTTTTTTTTTGTCGATAAGATTATCTGATTTGATTATGTGTCCAGATTAAATCAGAATTTAGTTTTATCACGAGGAGGAAGAAGATCAGATTGATTCTCTCTTCCGTTCTCTATGAAATAGAGTTGATATTAAGATAAAACTGTGATTCTATTGACATTCAAACTGTAATCAATGAATTTGTGACAATTGAGTGACACTTATACAAATATAAACCTAGATGAAGATTTGACTTGAAAAAAGAGTCAGAATATTATAAAAAAATTATATTTTTGTTGTGCAAAAAAATTGAAACATATGAATTGATGAACACATTGAATTGTTTTTCTAATTAAATGTTTTTGTTTATTTCCTTTCATCTTTCACCATGAAAACGATTCTGAATGATGATTCAGTTATGTTCCGTCTCTATGACTCTGATAGCAATGGATATTTGGATAGTAATGTAAGTGGAAAAAGGTTTTCCATTCAATTTTAAATTCTCCATCCTAATTACCATCTTGAAATACTCTTAATGTTTTTGCATTCCTTTTCCATATTCATCCTAATGTATGCAAATACCTCTAGCCAATTTTATATCATTTCCGTATCCTCAATTTGATTACTGTTTTTTTACAACTTTCTCATCCAGGATTTTATATCATAAACTAATCGCAACTTTCATCAGTTTTTATACTCCCTATTTATACATTTAATTCACCTGAATCCTTTTCCCTCCTCTTTACCCTTTTTATCATTACCGGAAATCATCATCTTATCGGTATTACTTCCGTTTTCATAATAACTTCATATTTCATGCTTCACTCATTGTTTCAAGTCTGATTCATTTAATATTTATCAATATATCACAACCAACCAAACCCAACCCAAATTTTTCAATTGAACCCTTTACCTTTAGTATTTTAATGATTTATTGTATTCGTAATGTTTTTTTGCCCTCATTTAACTTTCCTCATGATTTATGTTTATTAATAGTACATTTATTTGCATGCTAAGCGTTACATGAATAATCATTTGATCAATATTGAGATAATCACTTAACAATAAGAGCTCATTGTCTCATTCAATTAGAGAATTCATAGAAATTGTTTATAATTAGTTAGTTTGAGAAAAAACATTTAAAATGAAGCTACGTTTTCAATACTTTGATGTACAATGAATGTGAGGTAACTCTGATAATTTGAATTTTTCTCCTTATTATTGATATTTTATCACATTCTCAAAACTTTTTCTATTGATTGTGAATTAAATTGTGATTTACTATTGATATTTTTAATCGAGAAAGGAAAAGTTATTAAAAAACTTATTCGATTAGTAAGAGTTTCCCATTCTCATCTGATCCATTCAAACTATTACTACAATGAAACGCTTAAAGATCAATTGAGAACTTTTTTCACCCATACACCTCGAAACGATTATTATTAATATTACAATATTATTATTTGTGCTTTGTATTATTTACCCATAGACTTACAATCACATTTAGAGGTAAATCTTACCTGAGGTGTTTTCATGTTCTCCTTTTTTTTGCCATTGAAAGGACTTCCCCCTTCTAATGCCTTTCAGCTGATTATATGTATGAAGGTCAATTTCTCAGATTGAAATTACATAGACAGAATCTCATGAATGTTTAGTGATCTTTGTAATACACTTTTGCATAGGTAAATTTGTTTTATTTCTTGTAAAAGTTGATTCATTTTCATGTATATCCCTTGTTTTCCTGATTATATTCACATTGACATATTGCCAATTTACTCAGATTTTTGTTTCCTCATAACCTTATTATTAAAACAGATTGACAATGAGTTTATGTCAATAAAAAAAGCAAATTTTTATAAACTTTGATATTTTGTCAACTCAATTGTACAATATTAGCTTTGAATCTTTGTTTTGTATTGACTTGAGGCTATTTTTTTACACCATAACCTTTCCTTATTCCATTATTACATAAAATCATGAAAAATTGAGTTTTCAATGAACAATTTTCTCATGAATTATTTTCAAACTTTACATGTAACTAATTGTTAGATTCCATCATTTTAACAAACACATTTTTCTCTGTTGTTAATTCCGATTTAGACTTGATATTTCATGATTTCTGTTGATAATTTTCACTGTTTGTATTGATAATCATCATCTATACTTCAACTGTAAATATCTTCCTGAGATAACATTAGATGATATTCAATTCTCAGGAATCTTTGTTTATTAATATTAATACATATTACATATTATATTGTACATATTTCACTTGGAGGTCATGTTTGCATTTCTAACATGATCTTATTTTTATCATCATCAGTAAATTAATGTTATCATGTTTGCTTTGCATTTATCCTTTGATTAATTGATTTCAACCGTCAAAAGGAAAAATTTTAATTAACCAAATACTAAGATGTAAGAAGGTAAATTAAATAAGATTTCATTGTATTCGTTTTGATCTCATTCTGACAGAGACCTGATTATATAAACAATAGTGTATTCAAAGATATCTATATAAAGACGTCTAGTTAGATATAATCAAGTATAATATCATTAATACTTACAGGGTATGTCAGACGAAGCCTTCTTTTAGTCTCTGCACAACAATCAATGGATCTAAATTGTTGGACACTGGTCATCATTTCTGTTCTATGTTTTCTTTCACTAGAAATTACTGTTTTCCTTTTCAATCATCATTCACATCATGATACTCTCTCTCTCTCTCTGCATTATCATCTTACCTTAGTCTTCTCGGTACATTTATGATAATCAATTCTAGAAATCTATTCATAAGTTTACCTGCATAATAGCTGTGTGTATGCTGAATGAATAAGTAAATGATATTACTTCCAACTGTATTAGATCACTCAAGTAATACAACTCAATTTCTCTCACAATCAAATCTAATTGCACATGAATTTTTCATAATTTCAATTTCGTTCTGATTTTTGCATCTGCAATTGCAATTACACTCTAACTATGCACATATAGTCTGTAGTTAATATGTATCATTATGAGTCTGATTTGATAAAATTCAGGTAACCTAAAGGGAATTTTTTTCCATCTCTTCGAACAAAAAAAAGAACTAGAACTTTTCCCCTCATTACATTTTATATAATAGAGTAGAAAATAAGTTTCTTGATTCAAAATTCTAGTTGAAAGAGTTATTATCAGTTCTCATTTCATCCTACCTGTTTATTACATGAACCTTTTATTGTTATTAAAACTTTAGTCTTGATTATCGTTAACGATTATCATTAACCGTTTGAATATCAATTGGAATTATTTTCACCCGCTCACTTCCTTATCTCTCTCTCTCTCTCTCTCTCTCTCTCTCTCTCTCTCTCTCTCTCTCCTTTTGATTAGTTTTTACATCTCTCCTCCCAGGAGACAACTTTCAATTATCATCTGAAAATTTGAAAATTCTTATTTCTCTTAGCATTCTGTTCAGAATTTTCGAAAATTCTCTATGCAAAGGTATTAATAGTATATGGAAAGTAGTTCATATCTAATTTATGTTAATATTAACTTTTATTTCTATCTTTTCTTTTCTGTCTTATAACATTATCCCCTCCTGGAGTTTTCCTAAACATCGAGTTTCCTTTTCAAAGTAAGATACAAAGAAGAGAGAGAGAGAGAGAGCGTTACAACGATTTCACCCACTAAATATGAACGCATTTCATCAAATTATCACTTGAGAATCAGCAAGAATATAAATTATAATATTCTAGAGATAGAGATTGAAAGTATCAAGATTGAGAACTAATTTCTGTTCTCAATTTCTATCAACTTTATTCAGTCTATTTCCTGTAATATATTACAAAGAAATTGAAGCAAATTGTATTACATTAAAAATAAAACACAAAATAACATGTTTCAAGTAAAAGAAATAGCAATTTCATTAACATTGAGCACTGTTGAATCCATGATACTGATACAATTGTTTCTTTGTGTATATGCATTTTGCTTAGATGATTTCTCATGCACTTTTATTACCACAAGAAATACTCAGAGTATGCAAAGTTTTTTTTCCTCTTACCATTTGCTTTTTCCCCTCGAAACTCAATGATTATAATAATACATGAAATGAAAATTCCAAGGCTTTTCTTTCGTACCATGAATTTTTCACTTACTTTCTCAACATGATGACGATTTCTTTTTACATTAAACATTATCCTTCCTTCACTCGATTATCGTATAATCATTTATCCCATTTTACATTCTCATCTCCACTCAGAATACCAAAAAGTAATGTTACCTTTTCTTTACATGCTTTTAGGAAATTGATTCAATTGTTGACCAAATGATGACAGTCGCTGAATACCTTGGTTGGGATGTAACTGAATTAAAGCCTGTAAGTTAATGATGATACAATTGAACCAACAATTAGCAGGTTTATGGAGTACGAGATGATTAAAACAAAACGTAACCCAGTTAATTAACTTAATAGTTTCTTTTGAATTGAATAGACTTATGATAACCTATTTTAATAATGATGGTATTAATTGTCTGAGAAATGTTTTTCTCATATGTTAACATTACTTAACCACTCAATTGTTATGATGGTTAAACTAGATTAACGTTAATTGTTTACTTGTAGTTTTATTTAGTGATAATATTGTTTACCTTTATATTAATCACATCTCACTATTATTACATGTGATGCTAATCAATAACATCCAAATATTTATTAATATAATTCTGAGGATTATTGCTTATCATCAATCCAATCAGCTTATTGTTAAAATTGATAAAATTACAATTATTATTAGTTACAGGTATTCATCATTATTGCATCATTTTAATAACTTTATCATCATATTTACAGTTAAATTATAATCTCTGTTAATATTAAGTGAATAAATTTTGCTTTATTCATCTCATTTGGTTTACCCGATTCTAGAATCCACTTAATCTTGAATAAGACTTTGATAGATTATCATGAAAGATTTAATCACTCATTCATTTGAATGATGGTTGTTGATGATGGAGGTTTGAATCAGTAAAAATAGATCAGCAACAATCAAAATGATAATTAAACGTTAACAGTGTTTATCTTTTTCTCCCCCATGACAAAAGTAACGTTTAATAGTCCACATAGATGATGATGATGATGTTAATCATCTCCATCAAGATGATAAGCTTCTTGAGCCAATTATTATAATACTTAGATAGAAAGTCTAACCAAAGGCTATCTTTTAGATTCTTCTTTCTTTATCTCTAATTTTCATTCAATCTTATCTCTTATATTAACTATTATATTCATTTCATCCTCATCCTCATCATCTTTATCTGATTGAGTTAAGTCCTCTTTCAGAACCAAGAATCTCAAGTCAACAGAAACGATGAGTTATAAGAGCGTATTAATAATAATAGCAATAGATTTTGATGATGATGATGATGATGATGATGATAATCTAAGTATTAATAATGATAAACAACTTTACCACTTTTTCAATATTCTGTTTCATATTCAAATATAATAACATTAATTTTCTCATAAGCATTTACCATGTAACATACAGAATTTTTATCATGTGAAATTTTCTCTTTTTTCAATATTGATTATTTTTATCTCTTCTTTCAGATTCTTCAAGATATGATGATAGAAATTGATTATGATTCTGATGGAGCAGTTTCATTGGAGGAATGGAAACGAGGTGGACTCACAACGATTCCATTATTGGTACTATTAGGTTTAGATTCTGTAAGTAAAACTTATCATATTCCTTTCCAATTGACATTCGAGAATAATATTGGAGAGAAGAAAAAAAAATTCTTTTTTTCAATTCCAAATTTTCATGAAAAATTCATTAATTTTAGTAAATCAAAACATTGAAGACCAAAAGAAATAGCAAAAAGTTAAACTATGCATTAATTATTGTATTTATCTTTACATTAATCATATTAATGATGATTCATTTCTTCATGATGATTGTTATTGGATAGAGTCCAAGATAAACAATATCATGGTAAAGTTTTTACGATCTAATTTCACTCTGAATAGTAATTCACTAATGTTGAGTATTCTCATAAGTTTCAAATTAGATGAGAACTGCAAAGTCAATCTAAATCTTAATTCTTGTAACTCATGAATTGAGTTGATTGAATTAGAGATAGTTTATAATAATTGGAAATTAATTTTGACTTTTAATTTGGTCATTTTCAGCATAATGTTAAAGACGATGGTCAACATGTTTGGCGATTAAAAAACTTCAAAAGGCCAGCCTATTGTAACCTTTGTTTAAACATGTTGGTCGGCTCATTGGGACGTAAGGGTTTATGTTGTGTCTGTAAGTATATCAAATAAGTTATTCATATATAAATATTAGTTGTATAAAAATCAATCGATTAGTAATATTTATAACCCTTTGCTGGTTATTCAATTGAATGTTCACCATAAAATGAACAATCCCCTTGAAATGATGACTAGAGTAAAGTTAATATTTGATTTTGATTATTCCCACTCTGCTTGAGACTCAATTATATTATTAGGAGAAAAGATCTCAGGGCGGTAAAAATATTTTCCACCAGTAAATCAACCACCACCACCACCACCATCACCATTCACCACCCAAGTAATTGAATTATTAATACTAAAGGGATTGAGAAGAGAAAAAATCATTAAACATATGATTAAATCTCTTTATTAGTCTAATAATGAAAAGAAATGTAATGTACCCTGTAGATAGATAGTTACAGAGTTTTCCAAATGTTGATTCTGTGAGTGGATGGTTTGTGTGTGTGTGTTGATTGAATGAATGGTGGAAAATGTATAATAAGATGAGAACCAGAAAAGAGAAAGAAATTCAAAGTTCCAAGGAAAAACTAAAGAAACGCTAATATTAATCAACTGTTAATTCATTTTCTTATCGTTGCTTAGCATTAGATTTACTTTCTGTTGTTTTAGATTCAACTACTTAATATATAAATTACAGTTACTATTAAGTGTGCTGAGTGATATTATTACTGTTAGTTAAGCTTTAACCATTACATTATTATGGATTGAATTAACAGTCAAGGACAAACTCTAATTAAAAGAGTTTCGAAGATGAAATTGATAGTAATCAAGATCATTAACTTTATCCTTTATCCAAGTAATAATATCATTCCCTGTCTCTCACCTTTGGCATTCTCAGTGATTAACATTATTATTTACTGATAAATAATCCATTAACTGACTTTAAATTGATTCTAAATTGTTAACTTACAATTGCGAAATGCGAAAATGAGTAAAAAAGAAAAGTTGAAAATAAATCATTTTATTTATCTCATGCTATTGATTTAACTGTAAAAGACAATTCAATTTATCAAATTTAATAAGAACATTTTTTTTCTAGAAAATTATTTCAAGATTTTCCCAACATCTTCTAACTTTCCATCACATACTCTCTCTCTCTCTCTCTCTCTCTCTCTCTCTCTAATCATCATCACCTAGAAAATTGGGATGAGAAAGGTTGAATTTTCTACCTCAAGTATATCCATTGTCACCATGTTATCATTATCCCTTTTTGCTTATGGAAACTTGAGAGTGTTAAAAGAAAGTGAAAGATGAGATGATATTGTTGTCAAAAAATTTTCTCCAAACTAAATGTGAACAATATTTGAAGATTTAACCATGGAAAATCTCACTAAATCCTCTTTCATGGGATCTTAAACACTTCATCTTTAATTTTTTTCCACATGATATATTTTTTCTAATTCTCATATTCTTTTCATGTTATCCATTTTTTTTCCTTACCACAGTCTGTAAATATACTGTTCATGAACGATGTGTACAACGAGCCCCAGCTTCGTGCATTAGTACCTATGTAAAGTCTAAAAAAACTTCCCAGGTAAGTGTTTGCAACTCTCTCAAAAACTGTCCACATCAATATTTTATGCTATCAACATCTTATCTTCTCACCTGTATAATAACAAGTTAATACCATCGATCTAATCTTTGTATCTTTTTATTGTTCTTTATCCTCTCCTTTGATTTATTCATTGGTTACCATCTTCATCTTTTATCTTCATGGCTTTAACATTGTCTTTGATTACACTTTCACCTTAAATGCTTCGATTATTTTGGTTTGTTTGTACCATGATAATGATACTTATGATGATGATGATGATGATGGATCCCAGGTAATGTTGCATCATTGGACTGAAGGAAATTGTATTGGTAAATGTAGTAAATGTAAGAAACCAATCAAATCTTATAACGGTATCACTGGCCTTCACTGTAGATGGTGTCAAATGACGGTAAGAATCTCCCTCCCTCTCCCTCTCTCACTCTCTCCCTTCCCCATGATGAGCATACTGAACATGTCATTGAGTTATCAAGAAATGGTAGTTGATGAGAATTAAGATGATGATGATAACTTGAAGAAGGATAAGAAAATAATGATAATACATTGAGGTGTAAAACATTGAGTTAGATAAAGATGATAACAAGTTTATCTTTCATCATCTTCATCCTAATTTCAATCTTCAATAATAATACTCTTATCAACTTCATTGATAATCATCATCATAATCATCATTTTGTTTGAAAGAGCTCTTAACATACTAATACTATCAAAAGTATTCATCATCTTAAATCAAAAGTTTCTCACTTTCTACTCTATCTCTCTCTCATAAACTTTGATTAATCATCACCATGATCAAGTTAATAAACTGTAATTAACTATTCATGTGCAAACTATTCACATATAGGTCAATGATTATCATTACCATCGTTAAATTGATACAATAATGATTATCATTTGGTTTTCTGCTTCCCAATTCCCTGGTAAATTACTAAAAATAGATAACCTTTGTATCCTATCCTTTAGATTACCATGATTATCACTTTCTATGCTCTTAATTTACTAATCACTTGATCAAAATTCAAATAGTAAGGTGTTACTCCTACTCCCATGATCTAGCTTATTTTTCATGAAAAATTTGACATTTTTTTCAGTTGAAAATATACAATGTTTACAATCCTTTTTCAGATTATTCCATATAATCTAATGCATACCCTCAGGGTATTCATTGAATTTGTGTACACATATATTTATAATAAGTTACCTTTGAAATTTGTCATCTGTATAAATATTTCTCATGATAGTTTTGATAGTGGAAGGATATTAGTTTCATCCACTTTGTGTAGTTACTATTTGAAAATGTTCATATCCATGAAAACAAAACTGTTTACATTGAAACAAATGCATGAAAGTGATAGAAACCAAATCTACCTGCAATTTCATGGTAAACATGATGATTATTGTCACAATAATAAGTCAAACTTGAATCATTTCAACTTGAAAATGTATTAAAATAAATTCATCCACTTGAAGATAATTATGAGATGATTTTGATGACATTTTCCTCCCTGTACACATGATAATTAAGTTATTAATTGAAGAATAGTATTCAATGAGCAATTTCATTAATCAAATTGATTACCTTAATTAATAATAATAATAATAATTCATAGCAAAATTAATGATCATCATGAATATATATCATGAGTTTTGAAGATACAGAATTTTGAAAAATTGTCTAGACAAGTTGATTATTTAAACATTGATTGGAAATGAAGTTTATGATATAATTGATGAAAATTAATGAACATTTCACAATCATCGTGATGATTATCATCATGACTTATTGAAGTTTTCACCCTTAATAATCCAGATTAGGGAATTTGTATCTTTCAAGTTGATCTGTTGATCATTAGAGGCAATGATATTAATCTTAATCTCGATTTATACAACAATCAGATTAATGATTATCTCTTTTTTTGATCTCGTTGCGTTCAAATCCATTTTACCAGTATAAACATTTAGTACAGTTAAGTGATTTGATAAGCTTTGGCAAACAAGTCAAACTAAACAAAAAGCCTTGACCACTGGTCATTTCTTAAGGCATTATGTCTCAATCCAGTATCTTACCTATGAATGACTTTCTTTTCATTCTTAATCTCAACTCGATTTTGCTAAAACTTTTTTTTTCCGTTACCAAATGATTTATTTTATCTTCCATCTCATGATGATCATCAATCTCCCAGGGAAAATTCATTCAAATCAAATGATTCTGCCTGGAACACATGAGAATGATTATCTTTAGAACATTATTATTCTGATGAAAAATGAAGCCAAAACTGTTGATCAATTAATTCATTTAATATAATTATCCTCTTTCATTTAGAATGTCAATCATTTAACTAATTCAATGAATTCAAGTAAACAATTAAATCAATGACACTTTAACTGTTATTGATCAACACTAATTTAAAAATCCTTCATAACATGAATTGATTAATAATATCAAACCTTTAATACATACAGTATCTTGACAGTACGTTTATCGTCAATTACGAAATTTTGATCTGATTCAGATTCATTGATAAACATACAAAAAAAATTTTGTGAAAATATCACGATTTCTCGAAAAGTTATATAATTTTAATTTCACTTAAACCGAACTTTTCCAAACAAAGTGAGCTTTTTCGAGCATTCAACTCAAAATAACATGAGAACCATAGGAGATACGATACTGAGCCGATGATGAATTTTGTTCCAATTTACTCATGAATAATGAAAATTTGAAATTCATAACTAATCTATATATACAAAATACCAATTCTATGAAAAATCGATTATGATTTTTAGTAATAATTAAGATAAAAAAATCTCTTGAATCTTTTAATTCTAACATAATTTCAAATTAGCTGAGTTAACTGTTGATTTCAGAAAATCGTTATTGATTAAAAACACTTATCAAATTATATCTAGAATCTATGTTATTCTCAAATTCATTAAATTGATTAATCCTGATCTGATTACAATCTGAAATCAATACTTGAATAATCTTAGTATAAACGCTACTGATCAAGATACTGTATGCTGGTTATCATGGTTATTGATTCATTCCCATGAGCAATCAGTTAATTGTTGACAATTACATTTATCTTGTTATCGATATCCAAAAGTTCAACTCAGATTCAACTTTAGTGTTCTCAATGTTTATGATAAGTTTGGTTCCAATAATAATCCAAATGATGTAATAAAATGACCATGATCAGTGGTCAGTTTACTACTACAAATTATAATTATTATTTTCACCATCATTTAAATAAACCCACTGTGTATCTAGATGATGTAATTACTTTAAATGGTTATATCAACACTTAATATTAATAATAAACTTCCGTTTCCTTTGATATTTATGTATAAATATTACTTATGCTGAGATTATTGGACATTGATAATATTTATATTTATGCTAATCAATTGTGTTGTAATAATAATAAATATCTTAATCGTTGTTATTATAATAATACTTTTCAGTAATCTCTTATATCAAATAATGATTATTGAAATGTTAGTCCAGTTGGATGAATATTATCATGAAGAATAAGTAAATGAGATTAACATGGAAACATTTTTTTTCCTGAGTTTGGATAACATATTTAAATGAACTTTTGATTAGATTAAGATGAAGATTAAGATAATAACCAAAGTAACGATTGATTATTTCAGGAACAACGAAAATCGTTAATCTAAATCTAATTAACTCTAATCTATTTAATCACCCTGATTGAGACACACCCTTGCCCTCTAATGAATAGTTATCATGTACCTCTGATTAAAACCTTCCCATTATCACCTTTTAAAATTAAATCCATTTACAGGGTGATGATTACCATGAATTTAACTCTGAATTTACCTTGAAACTTATCAAAACTTGTTGATTTATAATCTTATTTATAAGATTAGATGAAAATAATCAAAACAGGCAATGAATTATCATGATCCTGAAATTGTTTACAACTTATGATAAACGATTAATCTAATCCTACAATAACAATCAACTAATTAATTGATAATTTTCAACTCTTTTCCAAATAATAATAATTAAATTGTCAATCCAATAAAAATGATCAAAATCAACATGAAAGTAACGATAACATTAATTAGGGAACAGTTTGTTTATCTACTAATTAATTAATTGATTTAGTTTAATTCTTAATTACAGTAGCCTTGATTTACTAAATAATATCATGGTGTTAAATCATATTCACCTAAATCATTACAATTTATTTATAATTGATTTAAACAGAGCAATTAATTGATTGATTTAAAGGAAAAGCAAAATAAAAAAAAACTTTTACTTCCCTCAACATAAACACACAGGGTTACACATTATATTCATGAATCTATTGAGTACAATTAAAAACATGTTCACTAATTAATGTGGGAAGATAATGATTAACTGGTTACAATTAATTGATGTGTTAATTTTGTCTATATTAACACTTAACTAAATTGTTGTAACATTGTAACAGAAAATAATTGTTGTTGGTAAAACTAAACGTTACCCTCATTATTATCATTCCTACTCTTATTTATACATTGCAATGGTTTCCTATTCTGTTTTCCTGTTGATTTAAATTGTGGAAACAATTTAAATTAACTTTTAATTAAAAATGATCTTATTAATTGTTGTCTCTTTCTTCCTGTTCACAGCTTCATAGTCACTGTGCTTCTCAGGTTAAACCAGAATGTTATTTGGGTGAACATAGAGATCACATATTACCACCTACAACAATTTGTCCAATTGTCTTGGTAAGTATAACAATTAAATTAGTATCTTTATTTCATCCTTGATCATCATCAGAATCCGTTAATCACTTTGATGATTATTGAGTTGCCAATATTTAGAGTAATTAACTAATTTAGTGTTTATCTTATTCTGAAGATAAATTTAGTAATTCTTATCAAATCCAGATTAATCTAATCCCTTAATTAATTTAGATTATCCTTTCAGGATATATTTTCAAATCTCTTTGTATATTATCTGGAGTTTATTTTGTTTCGTTGCTCTTGTTTATTAATTTGATATTTAATTACTTTCTCAATGACGATTGTAACAATTTATTTGTACTATTGATGATTTGTAGAATTGAATTGTTTATAATCATTTAATTGCTGTGAATTGATTGTGCAAACATTGTTGTTGATAATTGATTGAACTGTTGATTATAATGATTTTCTTACGTTAATTGTAACAATAATAATAAATAAGCAACAATTTGAATAAATTGTTACAAACTTTTATTAGTAATACATTGACAATTATGATTATACTAATTGTGGAAAGGGAAAGTTTAATTAAGTTGATTTCTAATCAATTACTTTTGATCATTAATGTTGTGACCGAATCCCAAATTAACTCTAATGTCTCTCTTGTATATATTTAGAGTAATAATAATGTACATAAATAGAAAGCAATTGAGGTTTATCAATCTTATTGATTCCTAATGCATCATGTTGATAATCATCATTATCTTTATTAGTCTGAATGAAAATGGTTATCGTTGATGATTAATTGTAATAATGATTATCACAATAACGAAATTGCATCTTGATGAAACTTTTTTTTGTTGACAACAGTTGAAAATTGAGGTTTTTGTTTTTATTTTCACCATGAAATTCATCATGATTCATAAGAAAGAAAAAAGTAAAAGTTATCCTGATTTAATTTTTAAAACTAAGATGAAAATTATTCATTTTTGATTAATCATGTTCATAGTAAATAATGTATCATGAATATCATATACATGAGTTTCTACCATGAGATGATAATATAATGAACAGTTTGATGAGCAACATTCAAATTGATTACTCTGTGAAACATTAATGACATCATCTCAACGAATCATCATCAGAATTATCATCCACCTCAAATTGAACATTGGATAAATATAATAAGTGAAAAAGTTCTGAGCATGAACCATGATAAAGAAACCAGGAAGTTATATTGTTCAGGGATGAACTAGAGAGAGAGAGAGAGAGAGAGAAAATCTCAGTCATGTATCAGGAACCAGAATCTACGAAAACTTTCCCAATGGATTAAGAGGTGGATTAGATTAGCCAGAAAATGTCACCATGACCTTTAATTGTGACTATTGATCAATTGTCAATTATATCATCAGATTAATTGGTGATTCTTTATCTTTTTCCTTTCATTTATAATTAATCTTTGTAATTTAATTACCGGATATTAATTGATCGTTATTCCTTTTTTTTCTTCATACCAATCAATTAATCAAGTAATTCCTTTTCCTATTCTAATCACTTAATTCCTTCAATTTATTTTATCGTTACATTGAAATAAAATACATGATTGAAAATGAATAAACAATCAATTTATTTAAGACATGATCATCATCTCAATTTTGGGTTAATCACTCAATTGATTAGATAAAATCCTAAATCCTGGTTCTTTCTTGATTCTTTATGATTAACATTTAGCATATACTTTGTATATGCTAATCTCATTAACTCTGTTGAATTGGCTGATTAAAAGTGATTAGATTATCTTGTGTTTTTTTATGTTACTTTATCATCCAATTGATTCTCAATTTTCAAGCTTGATCTCATCTATTATTTATAAATAAACTCATCATGAAGATGACAATCTATCACTTGGTGTTGATTGATTAAACTTTGAAAATGAATTCACAAATTAATGTTATCAAATAATCACAATCCTATCAGCTGATTTATCAATAATATATAAGACTTGTCAAATTGTAACCATATGATGTTTACAATTTGATTTATGCTTGTGAAAAGTTTTCTCATTACTTATCTGTATCTCCATGTTTTGTATTATCCATTTTCTTATTTGTTTTCTTTAGATTCAATCAGCTGATTTGCAACTTATTCTTTTATTCTTTATACTCTCTAATACTTTCGAAAGACCGAAAATCTGTTGATCAATTGTCTATGGACAATTGACCATTAACCACAGGTTTCTATTGTGGTGTTCATCTCCCATGTTTATTATTAGTGACCAGAGAAAGTGTATTAATCCAATCTCCATCTCTATCTGTTTAGTATATTACAGATTAAACCAAAAGATATTAATACCCATTCCTTACCATGGAGAGAGAGAGTATATCATATTCACTGTTATATCCAATTCTGCCTTGTGAGAGATAAATATAAGTTATAATGGATTGACCTGAGAGTGTAACTAAAAATAGATTGAATGAAAATATAGTAAAATCTGTAAGATTAGAGATTGTACTCATTTTTTTTGTTTCCTTTTAGTTTGTGATGTTTGATTATTACCCAAATTATAATAATAACAGTCAACCAACAATAACAACAAAAATCTAGGTCAAACTTAGGCAACGTTTTCATTTACGTTTTCATCATCATCATCATCAAATGATATCGTCATAAAGTTGAGAGTTCATTGATAATATCTGAAACTATTAGTCAAAGACTATCATCAATCCTTTTGGATTTGATTTATGTGTAGTGTGTGTATATATTTTCACTCCCACAATCAAAAGACAATAACAATTTATTATATTACAATTTGAGAGAAGATGATTTATCACAATCTTCTTGCCCATCTCAAATTCATGATAAATTTTAATCTGATTTCTTGCAATCTTCATGGTGATGATATATTATTATTATTGTATTAATATTAAGTTGATAGTAACCTAGAAAAAAATAAGGTTAATCTTAGCCAGAAAAAAAAATTCTGTTTTCACTCCCTTTTGATTTTTTTTGTTGACGATTTTCATGATACCAGAAAATTGCTCCCATCATCATGAACATGAATGAAAGTAGTTGCTGGTAATAGTTCAGTAACCATGATATTTCATGCGATATTATCACACTGTCATTGTTGCTCTTTTTTTTTGTTATACTATTTCAAATATTATTTATAAGTTTTTCTATTCTCAAATTGTTTTTAACCTCGAAAAGGTTAAATGATGGATTCGATTGAATGAAATACAAGGTGTAACTTCCGTTTCCAGGTATTATGATGATGATGTTCCTTTGAATTGAGAGGGAAAAGTTCATTTCCCAGAATAGTTCATCTCTATGTATATTTAACCTTTTCTTTTACCAGGGAAACTCAATATCTTTCTATGATTTAATTTTCATTTCTTTTGTTTATATTAATCAGTTCGTATATTATTTTATGTGTTTATTTTTTTTCTCTCTCTCGTGAAAATTAATTATCTCACCGATTCGAGATGAAATGTTTCAAATTATCGACCCAGTTAAAAAATAACTCGTAATCTGATTCTGTTACCATCTTTTTGAATATATGAGCTCATGATGATGAAAATTCAATATTATCATTGGTATTATTCATTTGATGATGATTTTACCTTTCGATTTATTTTCAATTGCATTTCATCATCAATATTATCTGAATTTTCATTAAATGCTGAGTGAAATTGCTGCAAGCTCTTGAATGGAAAATTGAATTTCCATGAGAATTATTCAGATACTTGATTATATTTGTTTAAATATATGAGAATGATACAGATGATAAAAGCATTCACTTCGGAAGGTAAAAAAACGCCAGGGAATTTGTATTAATTAAATGAAAGAAAAATTATTCACTCATTCAGCTTTCAACAAAGTGAATATAAAATATAACCAATACACAATTTCCATGGACATTTAATCAGCAACTAACCAGGGAATGGAAAAGTTTTAAAGCTGATAAACTCTCAGATAATGAATGACCAAAGTTTAAATTCTAGTTGAACTGAACTTTTCCTGAGAAACAAATTGTTGGGTCAGATCTTACTCTTTATTTTCTTTAGGTTTCAATTCCGATTCTTGTATTAACTGAATTTCTCTCGCTCTCTTGATTTGAATTGAGCATCAATCTTTGCTCTTTTGATGGAAAATTTTCCTTCGCATTTATCTTACCTTCTTATTTCATCATTTCATCTTTATCCTTGATGATTCAGTTGAATGAAACAAAATATATCATTCTATTGTGTTAATTAGATTTATAGTAGAAAGAAAAGTGAAGATGATGATGAAAAGATGAAAGATAAATGCAAAGACAAAGGAAAAAAACTAAATAGATCAGGAAAAGGGTGGAAACTGTCAATGTCAAAATGGTTCATTGTTGTGATGAAATATCGGTTAATCAATTAAACTGTTAACATGGGATAAGTTGAACATAGTTAGATGTGAATATAATTAATGGTTCAGGTCACCATGATAACAAATAGATGAAGATGGAAAGTAAACTTCAATAGATTGGAAATAAAGTTCATATCATTTTTCATTCATCTTTTACGTATTCATGATGGATTATCAGGGAGAAAATTTTCCATTCTAGAAAAATGCTCTAACTTCACGAGTCTCTCTCTCTCTTTCTTTTGCCATTTGAATTCAGGGCTTTTCCTACAATATTTTTCATGATAAATATCATGGTGGTTATTAAGATTCACATTGACCTCTTATCCATAATATTTGTTATCATAAACCATTTGAATGGCCATCATGAATTCATAATCATTGACACTTTTATTGGTCAATATAATTATCGCCTTAGTTCATGGTGAATTAATCTCACCAAGGACCTTTTTTAGTCCAAAAATTGATGTTATTAAATTGTGATTTGATGATCAACAAATTGAATGAGTTATTTCACCAATTATAATGATGATAATGATCTAATACTAAAAGACTATTCAAGTTAATTGCTCTCAACTAATCAGATTGTACATTTTTTTTCATTATCTCCATTTACAGGAACGACAGAAAAGTTTAAATAGTGAGAGAAATCAGAAGAAATCATTATCTCGAAATGATTCAGATTCCAAGTCATCTGTAAGTATTATGAAAAAATTTCTATTCTTTTTCATATTAATATCATGATGAGATTATTTTCATCATTATTTTTCAATTGAATTGTTATACTGCTTCATACCTTTTGGATTTTGTTTCTATTGTTGTTATTGTTTATATTCATGAATTCAGCCTGGTCTTGAAGTGTTGCATTTATCATGACAATGATATATGTCCCCATGTGTGTTACTTCGTGTGTTGGTAAGATGAAATAATAACATTGGTAGTGGTTTACAGATGATTCTGATCCTCTGACGATAATGATAATGATGATAATGTTAAGGGATGTTTGGTAAAGAGAGAGGAGGATAACATGAGAAAGAGAGAGAGAGAGAGAGAGAGAGAGAGATTTAAATTTGGTTCACTGAATATCATGAAGATAACAGACTGGAAGAGATTATTCTGAGGAGGAAGAAGAAAAAATAATCAATGGGTTATCCGTTTGATGTCGTTTGCTACTTATCATGGAAGGAGAAACTTTTTTTTGTCGTTCCCACTTCTTTCTTCATCATCCTTTTCCTCCCATAGTTACATAAGAAATTGAAAAAGAACAGAAAATTATTGTTACAGATTCTGATTCTTCCGATGATTCTGTGATGCTGTCAATTTTATCATCTTCATGTACCACCAACCAAACTTGAAAACATGTTCCATCCTCAATCCAGCTCACATCTTCATCTAGAATATAATACACACACACACACCATGTATATATATACCACCATCACCACCACCTCCTTCTTCCTGATAAAATGAAAGGATGATGAGAAGAAAAAATTTTTCATCTCTCAAACTCCATAGCGTTATATTAGATATACACAAAAGTGTCAAGGGACTTTAAAAGAAGATCAATTTTCAGGTCAAGTGAGCCAAATGAAGAGATTTGAATTGAATCTCTTTTCATCTTACTCTCATTGATGTCATATCATTTTCTTAATGTGTGTTTCATCCGCCTCATCTTTATCTCCTTCTCCCATTGAAATCCAAGTATAATCCAAAGTTTATACTTACTTTTCTTCTTACCAGACTGGAAATGATAATAGACAATCCCAATTCCTTACCTTTCAAAATTATAAGACATCAAAAAGTATAAAATACAATCTCTGAAGACAGGAGATGTTAGTATTTTACTCAGTAGATTATCATTGAACTTGAATCATGAATCCAATACATGGTAACAAGAATGATTGATTTCTCATCTTTTTTAATGAAAATATCAAAATGAACTGTTAGCATTTTTCCTCCATTGAAAGTTAAATATTGAGAACTCATGTTATCTAAATCACCTTGTCTTCAACCATGAACATGATCGTAAATGAATTTGATTCCCAACTAATGAGAATTAAAAATTTACTTTCCGAATGAACGATTTTCTTTAATTAAAAACGATTATCACACAAAGTATGTATCAGATGATGAGCTTCTGAGTCTCAGGTAAGTTTGAAGGGATTGAAACAATAACAACAAAAATTTTGAGCAGAGAATTGACGAGATTAATCATGATACCAATTGAATTGAGTTCTTAAGTTGAATAATTAATTTTCTCATTGTTTTTTTTTCTTTTTTCGTAACAGGTTAGTCCAATTTCGTTCCAAATGACTCCTCTTCCAGGTACACATCCTCTCCTGATTCTGGTGAATCCTAAAAGCGGTGGAAGACAAGGAATGCGGTAAAAAAACGAAGATTTCTATTCAAATTATTATTTTTCTCATGTTCCTATTTCATCATCATTTCACTTTTCTATTTTAATAACAATGATAACATCACATTATCACTATAACTACACTGGAATATAATTTCTTTAGCCTTTAACCTTTGCCAAAACTTTATTTGGAACAATCAAGTTTCTCAGTTGAAGAATTTTCCTTAGTTACTTTTCATCCGTTCACCCTGAACTTTTTACCTGTTCAACTGTTGAAAAGTTCAATCAATAGAAAAGTGAACTTTATTATAATATTTGTCTCACTTTGATATTTGTTTTTTTCTTTTCTCTTTTCTCTATCTTATAGTCTTTTGAATTTTACAAATTTAATCTAATTTTACAAAAATTCATTTTTCTTATTCAATGTTTGCAGAATTTTTCGAAAATTTCAATATCTTCTCAATCCAAGGCAAGTTTGTAATATCGCCAAAGGAGGTCCAGCTCAAGCTCTTCAATTTTACAAAGATATTCCAAATTTTCGTGTCCTTTGCTGTGGAGGTGATGGTACAGTTGGATGGATTCTCGATTCCATAGGTGTGTTTATATAAGAAATTAATGATAAACAGTAACTTGGCTTATTCGTATTTATATTTACCTTTATCTCATATTAGATATAGAGTTTTGTATCTCTATTTATTTCTGGTAATCATTTCCTTATGAATTCTGAATTGCTTATGATCTTATTATTTACTATCCAGATAAAATGAGCCTTTCTCTCAATCCACCAATGGCTATACTCCCACTGGGAACAGGTAATGATCTTGCTCGTTGTCTTCGTTGGGGTCCAGGTTATGATAACGAAAGTTTAAACAAGATACTCAAAAGGGTTGAACATTCATCAACCGTAATGTTGGATCGTTGGAAGATTGATATTTCTACCTGTGGTGGTATGGAAACAGAAAAAGGTGACCCAATACCCTGTAATATATTCAACAATTATTTTTCAATAGGAGTGGTAAGGGTGACACATTTATCTATATAATATATAATATTATATATTTGATATTCTCTCGATAACAATTTATTATCTTTATCCAGTTTCTCTTTCCACTTATTAACTAATATAATCCAATAACATGGTTGTGATCATTCTCGTCATCATTTCAACATTTATCATGAATTTCCTCCTTTTTTTACTCTCATGATAATTCAATGAGTCCATTGAATGGGGAAAATGATATTGTAGTTATCAGTTTTGTATTTATCATCATCATCATCACCAGGAAATGTTGTTCTGGATTAAGAAATAGCATTTCCGAGTTAGATGATTTCTTTTCACTTGCTTGCAATTGAAAATTATGCATGGTCAGTTTTTTATCATCTTCTCTCATGATATTAATAGAATTTTTTTTTTCGCCTTCCAGACTGACCCTTTTTCTCATCTTATGAGTATATTATTTAGCATTTAAGGGATTTAATGAAACGGAAGTTTTTCTCTCGCTTTCAGGTAACTAGAATTTTCCTCAAATTTTTCATGTTTTCAACGTTACGAAGTGATTGTCGTTGCAACGAAACTTTTATCGATAGATTATTAGTTGGTGTGTCGAGATTGTATCAAAGTGAACCTTTAGAAGTTGAACTTTTCGAATGCTGTTTCGAATCGTTGAAAGATAAATGTCATCTTAATGTTATTCAACCATGGAATTACCTTACGACTTTTATCTCGAAAAGAAATGTATCCTTTTATTTAAAGGATTCATAACTTGATAAAATTTTGGAAAATCAGTGATCCATTATTTTTCAATTATTCATTCATTCAGAATTCAGGTAAAGAGTTTGTTGATAGTCTTGAGTGAATTTCCAGAATCAACTAACCAATTCCATTTATGATTGAGTCTCAGAATTATTGGGAAAAAAAAACTTCTATCGAGTTTATAAATATTGTAATATCCATCAGTTTGATATGAAAATTCACAATTTAAGAATCAATTTTTTGTTTCTCTTTTCTGCTTCCGTCAGAATTAATTTGATAAAATGAATATTGACTAAGCACAATTTAGATATTGAAAAGTTCAACAATTCAAGATGATCAAGTTTACCATGTAAAAGCTTTCGGCTATCAGCTGATATCTTATTGGAAATTATCTTGTTATCATGAAGGATATTTGAATTACATTATTCTCATCGTTACTGATGATCAGTTTCTTAGATAAATTAGATTTTAATTGTTACAATTTAACTTTGCGATGATAACATGTTATCAAAAATCGTTTTATCCTCTTAATTTGATTATCATTTATTTATATTGTTCCATCCTTGGGAATCTATTGATTTCCATTAAACTGATGAGTTTGATGATGAAAATCTATTACTTTGAATCTTTAATGATTTACTAATTGTTTCTGTAAATATTTAATAATATTGAAACAATGATCAATTTATTATTAATTAATTGTGATCCTTTCAAAAACCAATCATCTTAAATTGATTCTGAGTGATGATTTAGATTATATTTATCTTGAGATGTTGTCAATTTTGGTGATGATAATCATCAAGTATTGATAACTGATTAACTTATTAATATTATTATTGTGATTATTTGTCTCTATGATTAACAGTTGAGCTGATTTTCATCAAATTAATTGTTTATTATTATCGATTTAGCTTTCAAAACATTTTCATCATACTAAAAATCCCAAATGATTAACTAGATCACGACAATTGATAAATAACAATCCAATTGATGTGATTAAAGTTTTTCCAATTTATTTAAGTTAATGATTATAATGATGATGAAGATGAAGATGATTAAGCTTTGAACACTTTGTCAACAATCAAATTAATTGCTGTTGACAATTTATTTAATTTATTATCATGATAAAACTACTTGATATTAATACAATGTCAATGTTTTTATCAATAGTTAATCATTATTAATGATAACCAATAGTTGATTCATTTTGACAAGCAATCAGTTTAATTGTTATTATTTTAAATTTTCCAATTGAATTGCCCTGAAAAGATGACAATTAAAGTTAGTAACTTTTATTTTTATACCAAAAAATCATGTAATTTAAACAATTAACAGTTAATCACTTTTTTCAAACGAATCGAAATATTAATAGTAACCAAAATACACACCAGATGGCGTAGTTGTTTTCCAAAGTTTAGTTTGAATTTTTGGAAAATTTGATTAATAAATTAGACAATCAAATCGATGATTAATGATGAGGAATGATAAATTAGGCTGATTAGATGAGATGTCTATTATGAGACCGGGTTTCATTTTCTTAAACATGATTAGTTTCATGATGAAATTTCCAAACTGAATTAGTTATTGGGATTTGGGAACTTGACTGAACATTGATGATGAAGATAACCTTGAATAGGATTGAACTTTATCCTTTGCTAGACTGACCATGAGCTTTTTTTATATTGCTACTAACAAACTGATAGACAAAGTTTCCCTTCATTCACCAAATCATCATGATGATGATGATGATTTACCAATCATCAGAATCAGAATTATCATCTGAAAAACTAAAGAGGAACAGAAAAGTTCAGCAATTTGTTCAAGTCACGAATACGTTACGTGCCTGGAAACGATTTCCAATGACTTTCCTATTATATAAATTATTTGCTTTGAGATTTGCTCTTTTTTTTAATAGATGACAATTTATCTGAACAAATTATTTATCATTGATTATTTACTTCATTATTATCGAAATAATTTATTCCCATCCAATCATCTGTTTATTGTAAATAAACAACAATTTTTTAATAATTCACACTTTTTGTTTACAATCCAATTGTCTAACAATCCGTCAATGTGATAAATGTTGCTTACTTTTGTGTTACCGTTATATTGATTAACGATTTATATTATTATTGAGATGATGATGCTTTTAGCCTGTTTCCCTCTCTATCTTGTCATCATTCACCATTTTACCATGAAAAATGAATGTAACTCTCTACCATCTCATGAAGAGTATGAATTTATATCATAACAAGAATACATAAAAATGATTATATTTCATCAATCGACTCAGTCTGTTGATCGGTGAAACTTTTTTTATGTGTCCATTTTTATGAGTTTTGCTTTCTGTTGATGGGAAAACATTACCATTAGTAAATTGTTCATTGTTATTATAATATTATAATCAGATCAGAAATCTTCAACTTTCAGGGTGATTCAAACTTAAGATTCAGGGTAATAGTTGAAATATGAAACAAAGTGTCTATTAATTTATGTTTTTCTTTCATGGAAGACAAAGAAACAATCAATTCATTGGTAAATCAATGTTCAGAACTTTTCGAAACTTTTTCATTACATTCTTAGCTTTTCTTTTCCCATGAATTTACAAATCAATATGATGATGAATTCTTTGGATAATAAATTGTCTCGAAATTGTATCAATCGATTTACCGTTATTTCAATACTTTTTGTAACTAATTTTTTTCTTCTTCTCTCCTATTATTTAACTACCGTTTAAATTGTCATATGATGGTGATGATTATGATTTATATTGATCATCTAGGATGCTTCAATTGCTATTAAATTTCATCTGGAGCGTGAAAAACACCCTGAAAAATTCAACAGTCGCATGAAAAATAAGATGTGGTACTTTGAGTTTGCAACATCGGAAACATTTTGTGCAACATGTAAAAATCTTCATGAAGATGTTGATGTCATGGTAATTATAAAAATCTTACTTAATCACAATTAACTCCAAAATTAACAATTTCCCTACGATAATGATCAAGGTAATCTGATCCCATAACAATAGTAATGTAGTAATAATATAACAGTTGAAGATACGAGGCTCATTAACTTTCAATTTAATATCATTAACAATTAACAACAAAGTGTTACAACAATTATAATCATGAATATATTTCCTGTCATGAAAAGATTGATGATTAATTTGATTAAAATCAATTTATCATTTATAACAATTATACTAATCAAATTGAACATAGATTGACAAATTTATTCAATATCATTCATAAATATTGAATGAAAAATCAATCATTTTTAGTTGATTATGTTTTTCATTATTACCTTTTTATTCAATCAGATATTAAATTTCATCACCTTCAAGTTGACAGTTGAATTGATTAAATTAATTCAATTATTAACAATGAGACAATTAGATTGTTTTGTAATACAAAACAAAAAGTTTATCAAAGGTCAATTGTGATTGTTTATCAATGTGACAAAATGAATTTAAATTAAATGGTCATTTACCTGGACTATCATTTGCATAATTGATTATCAATGAAACAACATTCTGTTTATAGTTATAAATGATTACAATTAACTGATTTGTATTTATATTTTTTGTTTCCTTCTCCGTGTGAACAATTAAATGGTTTTGTCTCAGTGTGATGGTGTTTCGCTTGACCTTCGTAATGGACCTTCCCTTCAAGGTATTGCCGTCCTTAACATTCCAAGTATCTATGGAGGTTCTAACCTTTGGGGTGATAATTTATCTCAACGAAATCGTAGTAAGATTAGGAAAAAAGCGAAGAAAAAACGTCGAAAAGAGAGAGAAAACTCCAGTAATAGTTTCTCAACAACTGACCTGTCCACTGCTGTACAAGATATTGGTGATAAGATGATTGAAGTAATTGGTCTAGAAAATTGTATGCACGTTGGTCAAGTTAAGGCTGGATTAAGAGCTTCTGGACGTAGATTAGCTCAATGTTCATCAGTAGTAATAAGGTAAGAAAGATTAACGTCATCTCTTAATCTCTAATTGCTTCTATTAACTATGTTACTATTATTTACTAATTGTCCATTGATAAATTTCTGGACAAAATCTCTTTCGATGATGATGATAATAACGATACTAACATCTAATCGTAAACCCTATTGACCAATTACCCAATTTAATGTTGTCAATTTATCGAAATGTCCAAATATTTTCTAATTGCCGTAAATAACTTTTTTACCTTTTAGATTGTGAAATTACATTTACTAATCATCAATGATAATTATCACATTTTAATAATCAATTGACTAAATGGTTTTGTTAATCAGCAACTAAGAGATATTAACATTTCCTTTGAGAGTTTTAATCTTACCAAAATTACCTTTACACTTTCACCTAATCATTATTATCATCTTAATATTTTCATCATTTGTAAATCTAGTTGATAAGGAGTAAGTGTCATGATAAACCAGAAAACTTAACCACAGATTATCATGATTGACAATCAGCTGATTTTTTATTTTCATGTTATTCATTAAAATTGATTAACTTTTATTTATATTTATACGAAATTGGAAGATAACTTATTTTTTGATTGATACGAACTCATGATAAGATCAAAGTTAATCGATTAATCTTAATGATAAATTATCACCCAATCAGTTATCATTATCCTATGAAAAATTTCCTCCTCTCTCTTTCTGTACTTGACAGAATTGATTTGAAATCAAAATCTTAATCAATTCTCTTGTATTATCTTCGTAACATGATAATTTTAATTATACCTCCTAAAGGAAAGCAGAATTGACGTTGGTCACCACAAATCATAGAGATGACCAGACACATGGTGATTATCATTTCTGGTCAGAATTATTCATCAGATGATTGCTGAATAAGATTTTCTCTCTCTTTCCCGAAGGAACAAGTCTCTCTCTCTCTCTCTTTTCATACACCAATCGATTCTTATTAATAATGAGGATCATCATTTTCTTACAGTCAATTGTTTATCTATTTATAGCTCATGTTCAATATCTTATCATAGGGTTTTTTATATTAACATGATAGCTCATTAATTGTCTACTCATAATGATAAATTGAACATCATCATTTCTAATTACGTATCAAGATCCATATTCATTGATTAAAATGTTTATATTTTTCTCTATCATGAAAACGATGAGTTTACATGAAAAAAACATTGACCCTTTCAAAGGGTGACCTTTACGCAACTGAAAAGGTATCTTTGGACTCTCCCAACCCGAATTAACTTTCTCTCCTCATCCTCATCTTTATCATCATCTCTCTTTACAATTTCACAATAGGTGAACCGGATAAACTTGTTATTTCAATGGAACAGGCTTTCAGCTGAGTCTCCATGTCGTTCAATAGTAACTACATGATAAAAAATATACATCGCATCATGTACATTGAGCTTGATTTTCAAGCGTAATTATCACTGAAAAGATTCAGTGTCCTCTCGTCATCTCATGCTTGTCATGCAAAACTGTAAAGGATTGATGCTCATTAAGGAAAGGGTTAAGTGTACCCATCAATTTAACCTTATAATTAGAATCATCCCAATGAGAAAATGCTTTTAAATTGTCACAAGAAAGTCAGTTTTGTATGAAAAAAATAGTAAGAGAAAAAAAATTGATCTCGAATCAAATTACCCTTTTTTTTCATACTTATGAATTTATGAATCTGATCAAAATTGATCAGCAAGTTAATTGAACGTTGAATTAACTTGATATATATAATAAGTTGATAGAGACTATGAAAGTTCAATTAAGTGTTCAAGTTTAATTCAGTTTCAATGATAGCAAATTATAATTAGACTTACAAATACAAAAGGGTTAGTCAATGAGAGAAAGATAATATAACATAATTGAGGTACAATTAGTCAATCAACTGATGAAAAGTTATCAGCTGAGTTGATACGAAGAAGAAGAAAAAAAAATTTCTATTGCTATTAAACACCACAAATGCTGGAACACTAAATTAAACTTTATCATGTATTAGAAGAAAAGAAAAATTATCCAGAGTAATTATCTTGAGTGCTCACGTTGATCATTATTCAGACTCTGAATCTTGATTCCAGTTCATCATCATCTTACCAGCTCCATGTTGTTACATGATACTCTGAATTTATTGCCCTTTCTTTTTGTTATCCTATTTGATAAACAAAAGTTCAATATTCAAAGTAAAATGTATATAACATTAAAACCCAAAGGCGAATCGTATTATTTATTTAAGTTAATAATATAATCATCACCAGAATTATTGTTATTAATAATGATTCCAACGATAATTATAATGCTAATAATCATGAAGTAAATGTTAAGGTGTAAAATTTGATTATAATTAACGTCATGAAAAGTTTAGAGTATTAATTATCCTAACGGAGTATTTTTTTTTTGCTTCTTTCTATTACTTTGTTACTCTGAGTTTCTCTCATGTGTCTGAACAATTTGGACGAAGGTAATTACCCTTTGAACTCTAATTGTTACAATTATTATTAATTCTGTTCATATAAACAATTATCTCCAATTATCGTATAATTTAATTTAATTTACTTTCAGTTCCAACAATTAACATAAACTTAGTTTCTTTTTGTTTTTGTTGATTCAAGTTAATTGTAATTACTTTTTATAAACTGATTATTTTAATTATGTTGATTTTGGTTTGTTCAATTGTTAATTGTTACATTAGATTATCAAGTCTAGTCTTAAGTAAATTATTAACTCATGTTGAAGCTGATTAATCATTGATTGAGTATTTAATTGCAATTTATTTTTACCCTTTTAACCTTGTGTGTGTGTGTGTGGATAACTTTGAATATGAACTTTGTTGTTAAGGGTAATATAATTACCCTCAGGCTATTTTGATTGAATAATATGATTAATTATAAATAAAGTCTCAAGTTTCTTACCTTACAGTTTATCTCCGCTGCCCCTTTCCCACATTAGCAACATTAAAGGTAGTCCAAGGGTAGGAAGGGAGGTGACAAAATTAGAAAGTTGTACCTCATGATATTATCATGTTGAATCATTTATTATGAGCTTATTATCAAAATGATCTGAATCAGAATCGTTATCATTGGAATCACAATCAACTTTCAATCCTTTTTGTTATTTTTATATTCACAGAACTAGGAAACGATTTCCAATGCAAATTGATGGGGAACCATGGATTCAACCACCATGCACCGTGAGTCCTTTGATTTAAATTGTGAAAATTGGTTGATAACAAATTAATTGTTCGTAATTAACTTAAACATATATTTATCTTTCTCTCTATTAGATTCATATCACCCATAAGAATCAAATGCCCATGTTAATGGCCCCCGCTCCGGAAAAGAAGTCACATTTTTCATTCTCTTGGTTCCAAAAGTGTGTAGATAAATAGGAATTGATATGAGTTTTTACCATGAAATTTTCACATCATTTTCTTGAATCGTTTCCATTGAAATCAAAAGAGTCATCATTCCAAATACAAGAGATAATCTTCCATCATCATCTATAATAATCATCATCATTAGGCTTCAGTAAACACATCATGATCATCATCACTATCTCACCTTAATCTTAATTTGATGGTCATTAAATTAATTGATTTTTATTGACCATCATGTTACTTTATCAATTTAATTAGCAAATATCGATTACAAGACAGAAATCAAATCAACTATTTCTCAATGGGAATTAATTTACTTGCAGTTAAAAGTATATTCAACTAATCTTCATAACAATTGAAAGAAACAAACTAATCCATTCCTTAATATTTGATAATCAAATCAAGTTAATCGTATCAAATTAATCCCATTCAAGTCTAAAAAATTGAGGAAACAAACAACCAATGAAATAATTTAATTAATTAATTAATTATTACCCAACAAATCCAATGGTGAAAAGTTTTAATTCAAAATGAAACATATTAACAATTTACCAACTAACAATTAAATTGTAATTAAAACAAATCCCATGCAACACTTAACCATTACCACCATGAAAATTAAGTGATGATGATTAACCCAAACCTGAACATCCAAACTAATCCAATACTTGAGACATTGCTTTTTTTTTAAATTATTGTTATTAATCATCATCAACATAATCATTACCTTGATTGTTAATTAATGAGATAAAAGTTTCTGTCCAAAAATTAATCCATATTATTAATACAATTGCCCCTTTCAGCAATCCTACCTCATCCTAATGATAATGATGATGATGATGATCACCACCAAACCAAAATCAACACCGCCACCAGAACCAACATGAACCTGACTTAATTTGGGTTGAAAAAGAAACGCAATTAACATCACAATTAATTGCAACAATGAGAAATTAAGAAAAAGGTATTAACCGTAATCTCTATGAGGCCTAAGAAATTAACTTTTCACTTCCGTAAACAACATTTACTATTATGATACAAGAAGAAACCAAAAAGTAAACAACCTTTTCCTTGATTGTTTAACACGTTTGGAGAAACAACAACTTTGTTAAATTAACCTTTTTAATTACTAACTAAATAATTAACTAATTCTTCTTTCAAGAAGAATCAAAAATTAAGGAAAAACAATTAATATTATGAGAAGAAAAAACTTTTTTTCTTTCTCTCGTTCATCTTTGCCAAAGTCAAGTGAGATTCTTGCAAGAAAATCAAATTTAAATTTAACAAAAATCTTCCGAAACAATTAACTATTATATCTACACATAGATTTTAAATTGTTTAAAAATTAATTGTTAACTAATATCAATGATTTTCCATTAATTGTTTGTATTAAATCATTGATAATTGTTTTTCCTTGCGCTCTTGTTACTTGTAAATAACATGTTAACATTTTCACCTTTAATTGTTGATCAAATTGTTGCTGTTATCATTTTAATTGTTGTATAATTATGATTATTTTGTTGTTCTCGTCTAATTTGATTCCCTCATCTTTTTAATTGTTACTCTATCGATTCCATTATTTATTAATTGTGTATCAATCTATTTATACATTGACTGAATAACCTAAGTGACCCTTTTTAATTTAACACAATTGTAATTAACTAATTGTTACAACTGATCCGATTGATATAAATGTAAATTTTAATTGTAATATTATCAATAATTGATTTTCCTTGAAGAATAATTTTTAATTGTTGTTTGTTAAAGCACAATTAATTGTTATTTATATTAAATCAAACATATGAGTTCCTAAAACTTTGACTTTTAATTGATTAACTTGATTACTGATTTAGATTGAAATTGGTTTTTTGGCTCAACTAATCATCAGTTAATTGTTTCCAAGTAATTTACTGGATTCCAAGTACAATTTCATTGAATTAAATCATCAAATTGTTCAGTTAACTGTGAACTGTGAACGTTAATTGCAGTTAATTGTAAATCCTACAGAAGATAAGGATTGTTGAGATTTTCTGTTATTCTAATTGATTAATATTCAGTTAAAAACCGAAGGTAACAATTAACTAATTGCCATGAACTTCGCGTTTAAATTGATAATTGGTAATTTCATCCGGAATAAGATTAAGAATGAGAGTAAATAATTATTGATATAAATTAATGACTTTTAATTGTGTTTGTTTTCATGGACGAAAACATTGAGCCAGAGGAAGATAAAGAGATGGGAAAGATTGAGTGAGATAGAGAGAGAGAGAGAGAGGGTGAGAGAGTAGGATAGGTAATGAGTGAGCCAGGTTGAGAGGGAGCATTTAAATCAATATGATTTTATCGTTGGGTGTGAATTGGATTAAATTAGATTGTTGAATTAGTAACCGTAACCAGATCCTGAACCAGCTCCGAAACCTGATCCTGATCCACCGCCGTATCCTGGTCCACCATAGCCTGATCCAGCTCCGAATCCACTTCCATAACCGGCACCATTGGGTCCATAACCTTGGCCTGAACCGAAACCAGCACCATAACCAGCACCGAAACCTGGACCACCGAATCCTATTAGAGAAGTGGAAACAATTTTTGGAAACAAGAAAATATAAGTTAGATGAATAATCATCAATATATCTAAGATTCAATGGTATGGAGATTATCATGATTTACTTACCACTACCGAAACCAGCACCGAATCCTGAACCATAACCTCCTCGTGGGTATGGGTATGGGTAAGCTGAGGCGATGGCGATGAGTGAAAGGGCAACTAATACAATGAATTTCATCATGTTGATGGTGGAAAGTGTTGAGGTGGATTGCACGGTGGGCAAAATTAAAGAAGGTGGAAAAATAAAGATTTGATTTCAAGGGTTAACTTTGAAAACTGAACTGATGATGATCCCTGGTCTTATCGTGGGTCTTATATACTCACAATTTTGGGAGTTTGATGTTCAGGTGAGCAAAAGATGATAAAGAGAGAGAGAGAGAGAGAGAGATGAAACAGGATGATAATTAGTGAGATGAAAGGGGTTAGCCCAGGACAGAATTTCCATGAAAGAATTGAGAGAAAGAGAGATTCAAGTTGAGAGATTCTGAGAATCCGATAAACAGGCTTTTCCATTTCAAGGTGGAAGAAGGGAAAAGGTGAGAATGATGATGATAGAAAAAGGAAGAGAGCAAAAGAAGATGATGATGATGAAGATAATTACGAAAGAGATGGAAGAATAAAAATGAAACTGAGATGATAATGAGAATCATGATAATTCCTGGTTCAGTACGTTCAATCAAAAGTGTTCGCCCTTTTTTTGTTTCTTCTTTTTTCCATAATTATATTTATCTTCCTCTTTCTTTTTCTCTTTTTCTCTTCTTCTCCTTCTTCATCATCTCCGATTTTCCCCTTTTCCCTTTGAAAAAAAAGTTCATCACTTGAATAATCAAGATAATCTTAATCATCTCAACTAATGATCCGGTTTTCTCTCTCATATGTTGACTATTTATCTTTTTTTTTACTCTTTCCAAAGATAATAAGATAAACTGTCATCTCAACTAATTGTCAACCATGATGATGGTTTCATCAATTCAATTGATTAAGCTAATTGATTGCGTTGGTGTTGATCTCTTGTCATGATAACGAGAAGTTCAATTCCAAGTTTCTTATTCATCTCATTGACTCTCTAACTTTTTGTCCTTCACAAATTTTCCTCCTCATCTTACTGATCAACTCCCTATCATTGATAATTTAATCACAGAAACAAAAATTAATTCACCCTAAACCAGTTCTAACAATTAAAAAAGTAAAACAAATTTTTCATCTCAATCAAGTTGATTAACTTTAAGTCAGAACGAAAACTTTACTTTTAGAAAACTAGATGTCACTAGGGTCGAAAAAGTTCCAACGATTAGTTTGTTTTTCCACCACAAGATGGTAGCATTAAACGCGATACGAATTTAATTATAATCGCAATTAGATTTAATTGTTGATTAATCAACGACGGTGGAAGTTTTTTTCTTCCTTTAATTAAAGGTTGAATTAATTTCGATCAAATAAATCGCAGATGAGTTTGGTTTTTTTTCTCTGAGGTAGAAAATTAAAATTCAATGGATTGAGTTTCGATTTTAATTTAATTGAATTGTTGTTTTTACTTGAAACATTTTCCTTTGGTAATTTAATATCAATTGAATTTGATGAAAATTGATGAAATCCGATAAGTTATCCATGTGAATTGTTAAAATGATTTCCATAAGATTGATTGTTATCTTTTTCATCATTTAATTAACTGAGAGTAAAATTGTTTAACCATTGAAAGTAATTGATGATTGATACAAAATTTAATCTCATTTCAGTTAATTGTTTTCTCACTGTGAAAATGATGTAAACAAGAAAATCAATTCATTGGAAAATAATGCTAATCATACAGAATAACCATTGACTCTAAACAATTACAATCACTTGAAACAATCAGGTAATTACAGAGCATGAAATGTAAGATACTTTCACTCATGAAGAGTTCATGATATTCATGTTATTCAATATTCTTAGAAACAAATTGTATTTGAATCGATTTTTCCTCTTACATAATAATTTTCACTTCTATTTCTGAACAATCAGCCGTTTCTATTCCCATGGTAGACAATTTATATTAGAAACAATTCCAATCATTTATTAACTAATAGTTATCCTCATCGATTCGTATTGAATCAAATTGAAAATCAACTAATCGAGTTAAATTGTAATCTTTATGGTTTATATTTCCCACTGGGAGAAAGTGAGAAAATTAATATATTCGGACCTGAGATTTGAATATTGAATATTTTGATTGATCAACTAATATTTCCAGTGTATTATTTGAGGATTAATGTTAATCCAATTAAAGGGATAAGGATGATGAGGAAAGTGGAAAACAATTTATTAATAATAATAATAAAGCTAATCCAAAATGTTGATTCATTTTCAATTAGTTTTTGAAGTACATGGAGATGGAAAAAAAAAGTTCAGATTCATTCATTGTATTCATGAAGATGATAATTATTTCACCGTTGTTGTTATTGTATCATAACAATTTCAACAGTGAGGTTATAATTTTTTGCCTTACCAACTAATAATTTATTACTTTTTCATTATTATTACAATAAGTTATTGTTGGTATTTCCATTGCGTGTGTTTGTTACATGTCAGCATGAGATTTTTTCCTTCATTTTCATCTTCATCATCTTCCTCCACCTCCTCCTCCTTGTCTCTCTCTCTCTCTCTCTCTCTCTCTCTCTCTCTCTCTCTATGCTGTTAACTTTTGCCATTAACTTGACTTGCTGTTAAATCTTACCTGAAGGCAACTTACTGAGAGTAAAGCATCGAGACACACCTTGCCCTCTCAACCTTTTACCTCTTCCTCCATTTTGAAAGGTAAATCAATTTACTCTTGTTGACTGATTAGCTGAAGATGAGGATGAGTTTTACCCGAAGAACAAAAGATTAATCACAATTAATTATCATTCTCTAGGAGCATCTTTCATCTTACTCATCTGTACATGTCGATTATGGTTCATTCTAAATGTTCCAATTTTTTTATTATTATTATTATTCACTAATTCTAGTTGATAAAACCATTAACTTTTATTAGATAAATGATCAGTTTTATTCATAATAAAATCGAAAGTCAAGTTTTTATGGATTCGAATTGAACCTTTTTTATTGAACGTTTTAATCGTCATCACTTTTTGGATTCAGAGAAAATCGTTGGCAGGATAAATTTTAATCGTGAACCAATAACGACTTCGAGTTGTGAGATAAGTTTTTGTTCGTGAGCATTAGAACAGTCCGAAAAACCATTTCCTTCGAGTTCTACGAGGTCGATGTTCATCACGTTCTGAAACAGAAGAAAATCAAAAAGTCGATTAGATTAATCGATAAAGTTGTTTGATTTTGTAAATCACGAATCGAAACAATTTATCTATGTGAATTTAGGGAATAGGTAGAAGATTAAAGAAGATACAGTTTTAACATTTTCGAAATTTTCTATCCAAAGAACAAATATTTCGATTCACAAAGTTGATACTGAAATCGAATCATGAGAAATTTGATAATATACAAAATGGAAGATGAAGAGAAATGAAAAAGATGATAAAAACAACGCCTTTCGTTGGAAGATGATGAAAATACGAAAGAAAAAGGGAGGATTTATCATCTTCAATCTTCCATCATCTTCAACTGTAAATATCACAACAATAAGTTGTTAACAAAGATTCAGAAGATGAACAGAAATTAAAGTAAAAGGCAAAGAGAGAAAAATTGAAGATGAAAGTTCAGTTATATTCTCATGTGATAATAATATAATATTTGTGAGTTTTTGTTTTCTTTTTTCTCTATTTCATTTTACCACAAAGGAAAAACCCAAAATTATCATCATGATGATGAGAGAAAAGCTCGAGTGGTGTTGATGCTTTGGAATGGGTGTGAAAGTGGAATCACTCCCATGTTTTGTTTTCTTTCAAAATTCTGAGTATTTGCCAAGTTGCTTATCCGTTTTCCTCTTATCCGAATCAAAGTTTATCATGATAATATAATAACAGTGAACATGATGATAATATCCCCTGGTTTCATGTTATTATTATTACCATGATGATATTGGTAAGAAATGGGAGGAAAAATCCATATAAATATTACCAGTAATTGTATTAGAACTTTTTTTTTGCCTTTTCTCTCAAAAGATTATTAGGTTTCCGTGCAGAATATGATTTCAACTTGATGGTTTCTAATTCCCCCATGGATATAACAATGAGATAAGAACATGATAATTACTGTTAACCTGTAATTAAGATCATCTTGCAGAACGGAAGTTCAATACTTGAGATTCAATTAAAAGTCTCTTCCTTTTCTCATCACTATTATTATCATTTTCGAGTCTCTCTCAATATATTCTCAACAATATTGTTATTTTGTTCAACAATCTTTTCTTTCAGAATGATTAACATGATTGAATAATCGCGTGTTGACAATTTAAACTTGATTGGAAGCGAGATAATTCACAAAGATGGAGAAAGTCAAAAATTATCGGCTTATTGAACACGCGATTGACTTGATGACCTTTATTTTTCCTTGTTCTAGTTGCTCAATTGGAAAGAAAAAAGTTCTGAGAGAAAATGAAACAAAAACAAATTCTAATGTAACATTTGGCTCAATTTACATGAGGAAAATTTGTCATTCATACAAAAGATGATGATGAAAATGCTATTAAATTATATTCATATTTTATTGGATGAATAGCATTATAATATTGCAACAATTTACCAAATTGCAAATCAGATTAATTGGATGAATAAATCATCATCGAAGAGAATGAAAAATTTTCAATACTAATCTTCAATTCTTATCGTTAAATTCAGTGTCTTTCACATTCATTAAATCATCATGGAAATTTTTTATAACTGTTACTGATCAGAGTTTTAGGAAAATGAGAATTATCATTTTCTTTTCCCCTGAAACATGAACTTTTTCAGGTGAAACCTTTGCCTTATCCATGATGATGAATTTACATACGATTGTCATTATTTAAATTTCCAATGTTTATTCAATCTGTTCATTTTCAATTCTCTTCCTATGTGAATTATTGTTTCCATTTTCATAAATATCATCTCAATTGTTTTTCCATTCCCATGGATAAATACACAAAGCTACATACACTTGCTCTCTCTCTCTCTCTCTCTCTCTCTTACTCTAAATTTTACTCATGAAAATATGATTATATCAGAATTATGTAAAAGAGAATTGAAACTTTTGTCAAAGTCCAAGTTTTCCTTTTAGCCCTGAGGGCTTTTCTACTCCAACTATACACGCAAAGTTATCATGTAATGAGATTTAAATTCTGGTTCATGTTTCCTTCCTCATGAAAATCAACGGATATTCAGAGATCGACAAATTTTTCACTTCCAACATCAATCTAATCATGATAATCATCAGTGTTTCCTTTTGAACCTGAATTTGTGTGAAAAATATGAACTTTAAGATAATATTGATCATGCTCATGAAATTATTATGACAATTCTGGTTTTCGGTGATCTAAATTCATTTTCTCATTGGAAAAGAAAATTTTTCTTTTTTTTATTCCATCTCAGAATTAGTTTTGAATAATTTATGATTTTCAGATTAAGATATTTAGATCATCTTTTCATGATATTCTGACCTTCGAAATGATAAAAGTTTGACAAACTGTAACTTTGGTTTTTAAACTAAAATTTCGCGCGAAAAAACAGAATTCCGGACTTAAAAGCCGATTTTTTCAATTCTAATTACGATTTAAGTTAAATTCAAAGTATCGAAAGCAAATTAAATCAAGAAATAATATACTATCATGTATTAATAAGAAATTGGCTTGGGAAACAAAATTGTCATTTATCATGCTCCCTATTTTATTATCATGATAAGTGATACAATCCAATTGGGTGACAATTCAATTGATTAACTGGAATCTTTAATCATCTTGAGATGAGTACAATTTAATTGTCCACCTCTACTGAAGGCTAATCAATTTAATTGTAGCTTATTTTTTGTTCATCATCTTATTCACAATCTATTATCATCATAATCGATATGTATTCAAGTTAATCAATCAAATGATAACTAAGTTGAAATTGGTTAACTTGATTAACTAGATTAATGAAATTGTTAATATTAGATGGAAAAAAATTTTCTCAATCAACTGATTAAACTGTTAATCAATTTTTCATCATAATAAACCCTCCGACAATAATAAATATCCACCTACATGATTACCCACCCTGACAATTTGAGTTGTTACCAACTTTTAATCAAACTGATCAATCAAATCACCAACAATTTACCGTTAATCATAACAATCAGTGGAGTGAGAAAAAAAAAACTTTGTCTCTTGATGAATGAAAGTGAATTAACTTGATTAATATTCAAATTGTTGCTAAGTTTCAGTTTCTTATATCAAATGAATTTACGGAAAAAAAAAGTTTTCTCAACAATTTAAGTTAATCAGTTTTTCTCTTCCTTTTTAATTAATTTCAGTATTAAATCAATTGTGAGAGAATCAAGTTTCCCGAAAAAAGAAAAGATTAATTAAACTCTAAACTTTTAATTCATTGTTAATCTGTTGAAGTAATTTAATTAAATCACTGAGATTACAATCAGTTTTGTTTGTATCTCTCACCTAAATTGTTGGGTGAAATTTTAATCATGAAAAGTATCATGATAATAACTGAATAAAGGTAAACCTTTAACCTGGTAATATCTCCCAGGGAATGAGCTGAATTTTTATCAGATTTTAATTGAATCATTTACCATCAACTAACCATGAATGTGAGGCTGATGAGTTTCATCATGATTTACTCAGGGAAACATTGAAACTGAATCATGATGATGATGAACTTTTTTCCCTCTGTCTTTGTGTTATCAACCTTATTAATTAGTATGAGTAGTAAATGAATTAATAATTCATTTGAATAATAATCAGTGTGAATAATTGATTGAGTAAAATGAAGTCAATGGGATTACCTATGTGATTGTTTAGTTTTATTATTATATTATATTTAGAAATTGCCTCAAGATTGAATTGTTTCAATTGAGTCAATATAATTATCCAATTCGAGGAGATTTGGTTGGGGAAAAAAGTTTCTTGGTCTTTTCATCGTAATTCAGTTTATCCATTTACCTGAATTCTAGACTATGATTTCAAGTTTCATCTTATTCATGGTAAAGTTTCAATCGATTGATTTACTTTTTCAGCTAATCAATTTATCTTAATCTCTGACAAGATAATGATAATATTGTGTTATTATCAATGTTGACTTGAAACAATTGGATCATTATTATTATAATGATCGTTATGATAATGATGGTGAGTCGATATTTTCATGATTCAAGTCAGAATCTGAGCCATGGGAGGAGGCAGAGGTGAAGTGGGTGGGAAAAGGTTTAACTGTAAATACTAACAGGGGACAATCATTTCAATGAATAGAGAGACTCAAGTAATGAATAATTTAATTATCATTAATAAACAGAAAAGGAGTCATCATGAAGAGAGAGAGAGAGAGAGATAAACATGGAAGGAGAAAATCAATATTCATATCGGAATAGATCGTAACTCGATTCAATTAGAACAAATTTTGTAACTTTGTTTTTCTTTCGAAAAGTTTTCACTTCGAAAATGTGTAATGTTCATCATCCTATTGACCTTTGGTCAATTGCTTACACATTGTTGTCTTTATCATTTCCTTTTCCGTTTTCTTTCAAATTCAATCACAGTTTTGAAATCAAGTTTCATTTCTAAATTCTGATCAGATTTTATTGTGATAAATTCCATGGTGCATGATATGAGTTTCTATCGAATTGAATATAAATAATATTTTCTGTTACTATCGATAATGATTAACTTATTGTTTGAGTTTCAATTTGGGAAAAACATGAACTGAATTAACTATTTTTATTCATCTCAAGTCAATTTATTGTTAATATCTGATGACTTTGTCCATTGTTGACTCTTGGTCACTTTGAGATGTCAACTGATAATCAGGGTGATATTTTCTTTACTCTAGAATTCTAGAAATTCTGATAAACAGTAACCATAGAAACCACGATTCTGAAAGGATGAATTTGATGATTCTGAGGAAATGAAATAAAGACGGAAAAAGATATTTACTGAAAATTCTGATTCCGGATAACTTGATATTCTGGTTCTAATGGTGAAGAATAATAGTTGCTCATATATATTGTCCAGAAATCAATAATTCTCATGCTAATGATCATGAAGATGATGACGATTATCATTTTGGAAACTTTTTCTTCCAATGTAAATAAAATTTCATTTATTCCATAGAGCTCAAGTTGATGTTCAATTTGAATCATTCAATCATTAAAACAATTAGCAGTCATTATCGAACCATCATTAAGAGATAATTAAAGCTACTAAATAATTAGGTCAAGTTGTTCAAACTTTTAGATTATTTAATTATCAGCTAATTGCTTATAAATTATTGAAATATGAGTATTTTCCCCTTTCACTTAATTGATGAAAAGTTCATGGATATTGATGCATGTAAATACAGGGTGAGTAAAATGACGGTGAAAAAATGGTGAGTAGAAAAAATTAGAACAGAAAATCAATAAATAAATCTCACTTGGGAGTGAGACTGAAATTGTCTCACTAAAGAAAATAGCAGAGAGAGAGAGAGAGAGAGAGAGAGAGAGAGAGAGAGAGAGAGATGAGTAATAAGAAGAAGAGAGCAAATGAAAATGTCTCTCTCAAATCTTTCTCGAAGTTTTCATCATCATTATTATCCTTTTCCTCCCTTTGGGTTACCTGTGCTCTCTCACTTGTTTCTCTTCCATTTATCTCAATATTGTTCTCATGAGAATAGTAACCAAATAGAAGATGGAAAGAGAGAGAGAAAAAAAAATGTTCTAAATAAAGAAGGAGGTTATTTAGAGGTTATTACCAGAAATGGAGAGTGAGAATCATGGATGATGATGTTGTGGTGATCAAGTTAAAGGGAGGTGATGAAAAGGAAGACAAAGATGAAGAGATAAAGTGTATTTAAGTTGGTTGGACCAATGGAAGAGTTAACACACAGAATTGACAGAATTAGGTTTAAATCATTGCCAAGGGAAAGATTGTCAAGTTAATCATGATCAACAATTTCATCACCCGATCTTACTTTTCATCTCTCTCTCTCTCTCTCTCTCTCTCTCTCACCATTTCCATGACCAATAGTTGCACTACAATAGACAGGAAGAGAGACTCATGATAATCAAGATAATGTTTCAATGAATCTCATGGTTTACGCTTCTTTTTCATCGTTTCTCAACCAAAATGGATTATCGATTGAACTTCCAAATCCAAATACTATTTTCATACTTGGCTTGTTGTTCATTAAGCACTTGAGAGATAATCACTTTGAGTACAATTTATCCTTTTATAATCATCTTTATATCCATAAGATTAAGGTGATTTTTAGATGATAAAGATTTCATTTTAATGATAACTTTTTGTTTTCGTTTAAATAATTTAACAACAACAATAAAACAAGAGAGGAAAAATTTTCTTTCTTTTATCTTCTTCTCATGATATTAACGATAAATACATCAATGGATGTTGGAAGATGATGAGGATGCTTAAAAGTCTCAATGTTAGTAAGTTTTTTTATTGCTCCTGTTGAAACAAATCAGTTGAATGAACAGTTGATTAATTGAATTAAATTGATATCAACAGAATCGTTTTGTGATTGATATTAGATTTTGATTGATGATTTGTAGTAAGAATCATAGATGATGATGGAAAATGTTACAATACAATAATGATGGTGAGTAGAGAGAGAGAGAGAGAGAGAGTTGTAGATGTTAGTTGAGTATCTTTTGGTTGTTTTTGGGGGAGAAGACAAAATGATGAGGATGAAAAGGAAGACATTCTTAGTGTAACTAATTGTTCCCTATTCAGTTCATTTGGTGTTCATTATTATCAAGATGAAGATGCTCTTTATCTTCATTATCATCATTATCATCATCATCCTCGATTCTTTGTTAAAAAAAAGGATGATAACATAGAAGACCAAAGGTAAAACATGATGATAATGATGATGAGCTTTACAGGTAAACATTTTATTGATAATGATGAAGATGAAGATGAGGTTGAGGAAGATAAACTTTCGCTGTATATACTGATTGAAGAGATGATTACATCACGATCCATGATGATGATGAGAGAGAGAGAGAGAGGAAGACAGTATTGATGAAAATTGAAAAGAAACTGGTTTCATATAAAATCTAGAAGTGGTCATCATCATCATCATCATCAAGTTTTAAGTGATGACCATTTGAACCTATCGTCTTGAAGTTACTATGATAATATTAAACAATTTGATGAAAGGGAAAAAGCAATTGGAGGAGGAGGAAGAATGATGATAAAGATGATAAAGATGATAATTCCCACGGCTTAAACTGAGTGATAACAATAATAATAATAATGCTAATGATAATCATGATGTTGATCAAGTTGAAATGAAAAGTGAACCATGTTAATAAAGGTAAAAGTTATCTCATCATTTTAGGAATCGTTTAATTTTTTTTTCCTGGTGAATTGCTGGTTCATATATTCACATAATGTTCAACAAGCATGAGAACATCAATTTTACCTGATCCCTTGAACCATGAATTTTTAGTATCTTTCCTCATGAGCCTATTCCCCCTCACTCACTCACTCACTCTTATATTATCTACTATTATCTTCATTATTGGAATTGAATAAATAATAACAATCATGACTAGAAGATGAGGGAGATTATCAATTGAAAATGATGATGAATTGTACGTTTGATAGTATAGATCAAGAGAGAGAGAGAGGAAGATTAATCATAAGGAGCTCATGGTGATTATCATCATGGGGATGTATCATCTTCATCTTCATCATTGGATTTGATAAGTGAGAGAGGTAAAGATGATTGGATAAGGATAAAAACATGAGAAAATTATTGAACAACAAGTAATAATAATAGTTGAGTTGCAAGAGAAAAAAAAAATTAACCAACAGTGAAATTGATAATATACAGACTGAGGAACAACGTAAATAACACAAAAAAAGTGAACAGGTAAACCAACCAGGTAAAGGTTAAATTGTATAACTTGTTAAATGATAATATTAAAGGAAAACGCATCAATGATCAACAATAATGAACAACAAACTATCAAAAGGCAGAGAAAAAATCAACAAGAACAAAAAGAAGAAGCAATAATTTCATCATTTCATGTTACATGATAAAATTATTCATTTCATCATCCATCTAGTTTTTCTTGTGCTACATCATTCACATCCTCATCCTCTCATCATGATGAGAGCTCAGGAAATCAGGAAAATATGATAACAACATTAGGAAAACAATGAATGAGTATTGATGGCTGATACTTTGTATTATTTGCTAATCATAATCAACCATCATGATGATGATGATGATGACGAGTTTCTTATCCTTTGACTTTCTCTCTCTCTCATCTCAAAACGGAAGTTGAAAAGGTGCTCATTTACTATTTCCGGTGACTAGGAAATCTTTGGTTTACTCATTAAGATAAACTATATATCAACGAAAAGATAATCATCATCATCATCATGATTATGAGAATTAGATTAATATAATTCTAAAGGATTAATATTTTTTTTCTTCTTCATTGTTGTTGTTATGATGATTGTTTATTATCCTTTTTTGATACTTTCGATGATGATGAGGATGCTTTTTCCGTTTCCTTTGAAGAGGATAAAGTAATTAATTGATTGTTTGATGTTGTTGGTGAATTTATATTCTCGTTAATCGCCTGGGGTGAGGTTGGTGTTGATTGTTGACCTTCTTGCATTTTATCAATTTGCAATTTAAGAAATGAATTAGCATCTTCTTGACTTGGGAAGACAGTTTTCAACCAGGAGACCACGTTTTTCTTGGTCGTACTGTCTGATTTTGTCTCCAGGGTAATGTCACCCCCTTGTGATGGTCAACAGAGTGGCCGAGAAAAAAGCGTTGGTCAAGCGGCAGAAAGTGAGAGTGTGGTCAATAGTGAAGCGAGTTAATTATTTTTTGTTTCGAGCCGGGTTATTATATGGAAAGTGGAAAAGTGAATTAGTAAAAGAAAAGAGAAAGCGAGTAAAATGTTAGCATGTTAATTGTTAGTTAATTTGCAAGCGAATATAGTTAATTAGTGAGAGAGAGTGAGGGAGAGGTGATGGTGATGTTGTTGTTGATTAGTTTCTGGTAGTGGAAAAGTTAATCAAAGGCTTGGGTGGAACTGGTCAGTTGGAGAGTTGATTGTTAATTTGATTAACAGGCTCAGAGTAAAAAGTAATTAAAAAAAAATGCTCATCAATCTGATGGTTAAAAGTTAATTTCTGGTTAGTTAATTGATTAAAACAACAATATATTACATCATGTAATGAGAAAAGTAAATAAGTAGAGATTAACAATCAACTGATTGTTAATCATTTCTTGGTAATTGATAGCTTGTTATGATTATCAAATTTTTCTCTCACGAAAATTGATGATTAAAGTAATTGTTTTCCTCGATAATTTTTGACTTTCGAATTGAAATTTCGAAAAGTTCTAAAGGTTCTAATGATCGTCTATTTTGTGTTCTGGTTGTTTTTGTTTTACTGACAATTGTGATCAATTAATTAACTAAAAGTTTCACAACTTTCATGTCTTGACCAATGGACAGTAATCAATGTGAATCTTGATTAATTGAGACAAGATTAATTCTGATTCCTTGGTGATCACAATGAATTAGATGCCATGAGAATTTATCAAATGAAACTTTCACTTTCTCTCTCTCTCTCACTTATCATCTTCATCTTCATCATGATAATGAACTTTTTTCCCCTCGAAACTCAGATAATAAACTTTCACCATTAATAGTTGTTGATTAATCTTTCAATTTAACAGAGACTCAAATCAAATTGAAATGATTGATTGTGTTGGTTAAAAAAAAAATGAAACCAAATCTTATGTATTAATCAAATTTAATGATAATCTTAATCAAGTTACACTCAATTGATTACGATTAATGGATAATAATAATGCAACAATTAACTTATCAAAGTCAATCAAATGAATATAAACTTTCATATTGCAAGTAATCAACTTAATCAACAGCAATTTAACCTATCAAATTTAATGATTAAATTGTTGTTGATTGTTACCATTTACTTGTACAATCAGTTACAGTAACATTGTTTCATTTACAATAATCTAATTGTATTTATCATGATCAGATTTTGATTAATTGTTTTGACAGTTAGTTAAATTGTTTGATATTATATTTGATTGTATGTGTGGGTGTCCATTACAATTAAGCTAACCAACTGGCAGATAGTAAACAATTAATAAAATAATACAATTTGGACAGATTAATTATAACCAAATGTCATTGTAGCTTAAATTGTTACAATTAATTAACTTATCATTATTATGGTTTATACTTGTATTTAATTGTTTAACATTAAGCTAATCATTTTCATTACGATACCAATGAGTTTACATGTAAATTCATGATGAAGGAAAAAAATGAATTGAAATGAATTTAAATTTACATTTTAATTCATTAAAGTTAATCATTATTATCATTTGAAAGTTAAATTTATCCAATTTGATTGTTACATATTTAAATTAAATCAGTTGATTCAATTTTGAAATACAAATGATTAGTTTAATCAATTTAAATCATTTAATTAGTTCAACTGTCTCTGTATCAATTGTACTGATTGGTTGTTAAATGAAAGCAAAGATAATCAATACAATCAAAAAGTTAATCTACCAATCGGATTAACTAATTATAGTTAATCTGATTAGCTAAATCTGTTTACCTTGTGTTCAATTCAGATTCAAATGATAATTATCAACCATAGGATTATGATGATTAACTTAATGGTGATTGTTTTAAATGAGACTCGAAATCAAACTAATCAACAACAATTAGTTGATATGAACAATTAAAAAAAAAAGGATCTACACAATTAAAGTAAAAGCAGATGATCAAAAATTAGTAAAAGTGATTAACTTTATAATTAGTTTTTTTCAAGTTAATTGGAAAGAGGAAAAGTTTAATCAGCAAATGATGATGACAATTGTAATTATTTAAATTTCCAATTGTTGGCAATTTAGGTTAAATTGTGATAATGAAAATCAACTAATATCTAATCAACTTATCAAAAAGTAGTTTGGAAACTTTAATTAACTTGATTTTCTCAAGTAGGTAAAAACAGTTTACCTTTAAATCATTAAGCTTAATGTTAATCTATTTACTATTGAGCTTAATTGTCTGAATCAAATGAAGATTATTATTATTATCATTTCCATGAATATAATCATGAAAAGTTGTGATTCAGAAAATTTCATTTCTCATGTTGACCAATGATAATATTGAAAAAAAAAATAATATTACAATTGTTGTTGATTGTTTATCCTCATCTTGAGTTTCAAGTTTTCATCACAAACCACTTACAACATAATCATGATGATGATGATGATAAAGATGATGAGGAGGATTTTATGATGATGAAAAGTCAAGTGATGAGGATGAAGATATTAAATGTTTGATTGTACAAACGTGTTCTCATCATATTGGTTATTTAATATTGACTTTCAGGGTGAAATATTCACTCACTGAGTAGATATTATCACAACTGATTGAATTGTAATCATGTTTTTGTTGTTTTTTCTGGTGATTCTATTATTTGTTAATTGTTAATTGTAAACATATTAAGGTTATTATCCTTGATTGTTGATGTAATTTGAATTTTTCAAATTATCATGAATCATTTTCATGGAGGATAAATTTGCTTTTCTCAATCAATTTTTTGGTTTCCAGGTAAACAAAAGTATCTTTATCTGGATTGTTAAAAACTTTTCTGGTTAATCCAAGATGAAGCATAGATTAAGTGATTAACTTATCTACAGAGTAATCAGCTTAAATTGTAATCGTTGTTAATGATAATCAAATTTGGGTTTGTAATAGAAAATAATTGTTTATTGATTGGATAACCCAAACCGATTCTTATCTAAAAGATTCTGGTTGCTCATCACTTAGCTATTATTATATAAGTTGAATACAAAGATCCATGGGATAAACATGGGGAAGATGAGGAAGATGAGGAGAAGAAGAAGAAAAAAAAGTTTCATCAATCATCAGAATCGCCGTTGAAGATCAATGGATCATCATGATTCTGCTGATGATGATAAAATGATACCACGAGAATATGAGGTAATATCGGAATTTGATAGTACATGATATTTACATGATTCGCATTGGATATTATATTTATCGGGAATTTCAATGTTACTCTGAAATTTGGCTCAGTCATGATGGTGAACATGATGATCTCAGGCATTGTGTCATCATCAAGATCAACAGAAGACTCATGTTGATATTTCAAATTTTTTTCTTCTCTCACTTTCACTCTTTCTTTATTTCTAGAAAAGAACAAAAAAAAAATTCGAAACAAAAAATAATCCATTCTATGAAATGGTAACACCCCTTTCCCCCTGAGAATTCAGAATCAGTTGAATCATGAATACCTTTCACCTTTATATTCACTTTCATGTCTTAGAAAATTTCAAATTTCTCTTAAGCTTAATATGAATTTCAAGTCATGATGAGCGGAGGAAGAAAAGGAAAGAAACGATGATGATGATGATGATGATAATGCTGATCATCATGCAGGAAATTCACTTCTCTATCATCATCTTTTCATCCAAATTCGAGATTCAGTTCAATATAATCGAAGAAAAGAAGAAGAAAAAAGTTCTAAATCCAAACCTTGTTACTCTCATTTGACATTCAACGTTTTCCTTATCATCTTCAGCCACATATTCATCTTATATTTTTTTCATCTTCATCATCGTTACTCATCTTCATCTTCATCTTATCATCATTTTCCTATTTATCATGTTATCCTTTATCTCCATCCTCATCATCATGTAAGAAGACAGTGAGAGAGAAAGAGAGAAAAAAAAATTTTCTCTCAAAAATTATTGATCAATTTCGTTCCCTTCCAGAACTTTGTTCACAAATTTTGTTTCTATTTCTTTTTATGATATGAAATTTTCTCAAAATTCTGAAAACTCAGTAAATCAATTTCGTAATATTCATACAATATTTATCGTAATCATGGTAATCCTGATTATGGTAAATACTAAATTTTATGCAACATAAATTGTAATTGTGTTAATAAAACATTTTCCTTTGTGGTTTTCATGTTATACTTTATTCTAGGTGAATTCAGTTAAGGTAAAAAATCATCATTATCATGAAAGTCACTTTTACCTGTTTGTTGATGAGGATGTTGATATATTCATTTTCAGCTTGATACTAAATGGAAACAACTTTTTGTTACCTTAACTTTTACCTCCCATTTACCTTGTGTGTATACAACTGTTAAGATGAGGGTGGAAAGTGAAATGATGAAACTTTTGTTACCTGTAACAATTTTTACCTTTCATTTTCTCTTTCTTTCTATGGTTCATTGTTTGTATTTTATCATCATTATCATCTGATGATGAGAAGAAGAAGAAGATAAATTAACTTTTTTTTTCTATTCTCCATTTACTTCAACCAGATAGAGCATAGATATTCTAACAGAATTCACTTACAGATTAACATAATCTTCATCATTATCATTACCTTAATGGTAACAATCATTATCTTCATTGTAATAGAGAGAGAAAAAAAGAACCTTAATTTAAATTGTCGTTAATTGTTCATCATCATTTTCTTACTGGAAAATAATGTAATATGAAGATGATGTTGAACAAAAGATTCTAAATACAATTAACTCAATTTAATCCCAACTTTTAGCTAGAAATTCATATGACATTTACTATTAGAAATCTTAATCATATGTTAACCAATACTTTTAAAGTTCTGATTCAGTAAAGTTCTGATTCCATGATAAACATACAATAAGAAAATACCTTTTAACTGATTGGTGAAAAATCATCATGAAAATTATATTAGATTTTTTTTTCGTTGTTTCCAACTCTCTCTCTCTCTCTCTCTCTCTCTCTTTAAATCTAATGGATACGCAGGTAAGATTGGGGGTGGAAGAAAATAATAAAAAGGATGAGGATGCTTTTTGTGTGTTCGAAAGATGAAAGAGAGAGAGAGAAAAAAACGAAATAAAATAATATGAGAGTAAGAAGATGATGATGATGGAGAAAATGGAAGATTTTGAAAGATGAGAAGGGTGGAAGGTGGAAAATGGAAGGTGGAATAACAAACCTTTCTTTTTCTCTTGTTCTTCCAATTTTTCCATCAGGTAAGCTTCCCATTCCTCCTTTGAGAAGAAAAATCTTTTTATCTTATCCAAAGTGGTTAAATTAATTGTCGATTTAGAGGTTGATGTAGTGGGAGAGGTTAATGGTGGTGATCCTAATCCACCACCAGCATCCCCTGAACCCTCACCGGTTTGATTCCTATTGATATTTGTTTCATCTGATGACATGTTGATTGAGTTGACAAGGAAAACGAAGCTCAATTGAATAAAACTTAACAGTCACAACGATGATTATGTTCAATAACAAGACTTGATACGAATAATATTTTCTTCATAAACTCTATTAATTATCACTATTATTATTGATATTGATTCTGAACAAGGTAAAAATGTTTACAGTTACAGAGGTGATTACACTTAAGCTTTCAGTATCTCCTCCTATTGTAATTAGGCTTGGATTAACTAGAGAGATTAGTTCACTTTTTTTAATTGGGATTAACCCTTTTGGTTATGTAGACGGCACTGATCAATGCTCTAAGTGAAATCATCTCTGTACGATTTAATATCCATAGTTTTTTGTTTCTTTGATTGTTGTACAATATTGTACACAGAATTAACGTTGAGATAGATTGATTGTAATCGGTTTAATCACAATTAGTAAAAGAAAACAGTTTAATAAGGTATTTGAATAAGTTAATTATTAGAATTGATGGTTAATTTGGTGAGTGGAAGAAAATTTTGTTCAACCAGAATTTTGTTTCATTTTCGATTGACGATTAATGTTAATTGTTTGGGTGGAGAAATAAATAGATTTCTGAGTGAATTCACTTAGTTATTCAGTTTCCATGGTTCCATGGGATGATTGCCAAAATTTGAAGCATTTTCCGGTTCCTAAGATGATGATGATGTTAAGATGATTGTATCACACTTAGAACATGATGATCATCATCAACATCGATAACATTTGGGTTCGAGTTTACGTTGAAATTGATTTGGAAAAAAAACAGAATTGACCTACGATAATCGCGTTGATAATCACATGATGATGATTAAAGAATAATTAATGATGATAATGAGAGAGTGAGTTAATGAAGATGCAAAAATGATGAGGATGAGAGAGAGAAAAAGTGAAAACTAAGATGAAAAAGTAACTTTTACAATGAAGTAACTGAATGTAAGGTTTGTATTGTTACTGAACCAAAGTTAACATGAGAGGATGAAGATGATGATGATGATCAGATCTCCCTCTTTCTCTTTCTCTCTCTCTCCCTCTCACTCATACTCACTAGATTCATTGACTGAATTTTCCTATAAAAAAATTGTTCTCTGTTGATTTTGAAGAGAAGAAAAAATCGATTGTTAAAATATTCGATTTTTATCACAAGTTCGATAGTTCGATATATAAATAGCTAATGTTCAAACGACTTGAAGCCAATTCAGTTTTACTCTTTGACCTGAACAGTTGAACTTTGCTGAAACTTTTCAATTTCAACAAGTTGACATTTTCATTTTCTCTGAGTTTCTTTTCCTTCTTCATTTATCCTTTTTTACTTTAAAGTGTCGAGTTGACAAATTTAACCCTTTTCTGGATAAAATGTCTTGTCAAGTTGCCGCTGCTCCCATGCGACCGGTAATTCCTCCTCAAGCCCGGCGTAGGCCAAACCATCGTTTACGATTCCTACGGCATCCTAATCCCAGTGTTATCCCATTGCTTCAGAATGTTAAACGTATTGAATTTTCGAGTCAAACTTTAGTCACCAAACCGATAAGGAAAGGTTTCTTCTCGGTAATTTTCAACAGTGCTAATGGTGATTGTCAAGTTCGTCAAGATAAATCGGCACTTCGAGTGTTGAATTTACCTGTTCATGAGGGTGAAGGTGTACCAAGGCCGATCAGTTTATTGGAGGGATTTGTCGAAGGTCAAGTTTGGAAACAACCAAGTCCTGGTACTCATATATTATCCTGGCTTCGTAATAATGGTAAACGTGTCACCAGTGAATGGGGCGATGGTGTTAACCTGATTGGTGCCGATTTCGTTTGTGACTCTAGTGTAATGGACAAAATAATGAAAACAAACTATGCGCGAGCTCGTGGATGGTCAATGCTCGTAGTCAAAATCAACAATATCATCTACATTGTACCCGATAAAAATTTCCCTGTATCAAATAATGAACCTAATCAAGATGGCGCTTTACCAGAGTTGAAAGTTCCAAATTATCGTCACGTTTATCGTGAATATAAATATGAACAATTGGCAAGTCGCCAACAAAATGGTGACCGTGGATTCTTGTCCAGTAATGGTTATCGTGATTCGTTTTACCTGGTTAATGAGACAAATATTGGATTCCACCGGGTATTATATTCCTATCGAGCTGATTGTGTTATCGATGAGGAACAATTAACTCAACCGCTTGAACTTATGCAATTTGCCTGTTTACGAACACGACCCGCTTCTTGTGGCGGCGAATTGAGAAATTTTCTCTACCTTTCTTGGTGGATCAAGGGAATTCTCAATTACAATAATCAGATCGTTGTCGGTGATGAAACTGCGTCTCACTTGACTGGTCAATTCTCTAATCATAATATCAATACTTTCGTGACACCATTTCAATTTTGGTCCCCTGGAGTTTGTACCAAGTATCTTGATAACGTTTTCACTTTTATCCGAGAAAATGTTACTTACGATTCGCAACCTTATCGATTATATTATGATGCTCGTGATGCCATTTTCCTTGAGCTCATCGATGTCCCAGTTGAATCTTTCATCCCGTCCTGGTATACAGAGCCCGCTGCTCGATTTGTTTAACCCTTGTGAATTCATTCATGCCAATATTTACTATTTCAATTCCTTTCGCTGGATTATTATAACAATTACAATGCAATTCTTTAAATTTGATTCTCCATTCCCCAATTAACCAGGTTCATTTACCCGTGAGACTTTAACTCAGTGTAAAATTAACTTGGTGAGACTTTTGCCCCAAGGTATGAATATGAAAATGCTTTCAAGTTAATCCGTTTTCCTCTTAATCCTTTTAACTCGAGTAGGAAAAAAAAGACTAATCCATCTAAGAAGTTCCAGATTTTAAACTGGATTAACAGCCTTTGAATATTAATAGAGAGAAAGAAAAACTTTCAAACCTTAGAAAAGGATTAACTTGAGACCTTTTAACTTGAAAGCATTTCCATGTTAATCCCTCGAAAGTGCCTCTCGATTTTACCAAGTTAATTAACTTTAATTTTCGTAACTTTTTTTTTCCAACTTTTTTTTGTACTTTTCCATTTTCATATTTCATTCTGTTCACTTGCAATATTTAAATTTCCAAATAAAGATCATTCTCATAAAAGCAACAATACACATTCATTGAAACAACACTAATTCTTCAACTTAATCAATCAATTTAATTGCGAAAATTTAAATTTTCCAAATTTCGAACACACAAAATTTCTTCTAGTTGATATTCGAGCCTCTAGATGGCGACAAGTTTTCGATAACAAGTAAATACAATCGAGAGAAAGAAAAACAAACAATTAGATTTAATTAATTTTCCATCTGATAAATTGTTGGATTTTTTTCTTTAAGAAACACAAAAAAAAATTAAACTCGACGTTAATTAAACAATTTGATTCTCTGTTTTAGATGAACAATTTTCGTAATTAATTTTTAGAAGAAGAAAAAAATTCTACCCTTTCAATAGATGGCGCTGAGAATTTTTCTCAACTCATTTCATTTAGAATTCCAATTGTTACAACAGAGAATTATTTTCTTTTTTTGTTCTATTCTATTCTGTGATTAATTGTTCATCTTTATCATTGTAACTTTTTCTCCAATGTAAACATAATCATGGCTACAACATGTAAACACCAAGGTAATGGATCATCTTCCTTTTCATCTTCTTCCATCATCCATCTCATCCTTGACTCTTTCATTTTTTGTTTTCTCTCTCTCTCATCCCAAATACCTTTGATCTCTATCTGTTTATCCTCATTTTTTTCTCTCTCTTTTCTTAATCCATCCGTTAAATTTACTCTTCCTTGTTTTCTATCTGGTAATCATCATCATTCTCATCATCAATTCTCAATCTTAGTTGGTCAGCATAATATCATTTTCACTTGTTTTCTTATGTAATTTCATTTTCATGGTTTCCAACCTCTTTAAGGTTATGTCCTTCATCCTCTTTTCTTTATGCTGATTGTGTGATTACCTTTTGGTGGTCAAGTAAAAGAAGAAGAAGAAGAAGAAAAGAGAAAAGAATTTGGTTATTTTTTTTGCTTCTTTTCTCTTTTTTTCTCCTTTCAATTTGTGTTCAATATCATTGCTGTTTGATTTCTTTTACTTCTTCTTGTTCTATTCTATTCTAAATTTGGTTTTTTTTTTTCTGTTTCTCCAGGTAATCCAATCATGATGACCGATTCACCAAGAAATGTTATCCCTTTTCAGCAACGAACCCGTTTAGAGGATATTTATGAAGATCTTTGTTATGTTACTCTTAGAATTGGTAAAGATGCTTTAGAAGAAGATTCATCTTCCATTATTGATACAACACCATTGGAGAATCGTGATTATTGTATAAAAGAACTTATTGAAACGGAGAAAAATTATGTCGATGCATTGAACATGATTATTCGACATTTTGTTAAACCATTGAAGAAAATTCTCCAAATTAAGGATAGAAAAATTATCTTTAACCATATCAAAGAGCTTTCCGATATTCATACTAAATTCCATAGAGATTTATGCCGATCAACTGTGTCCAGTTCAAGTGGTCATCGTGTAAGCAGTTGCTTCCTTAATTGGAAGGAGAAATTTGTCCTTTATGGTGATTATTGTGCCAATTTACCTCGAGCTCAAGGTTTAATTGATCAACTTTGCTCTGAATCAACTGTAATCAATGAATGTATCTCACTACATGAAATGGAAGCCAATGATGGTAAATTTAAACTTCGAGATCTTCTCTCACTTCCCATGCAACGAATACTCAAATATCATCTATTTCTCAAGGAGCTAATGAAAAATACCCTAGAAACTCATGAAGATTATTTTGGCCTACAACAAGCCTATGAAGCAATGATTGACATTGGTGATTATATTAATGAAGTTAAACGTGATAGTGAAACTTTACAAATAATTGCCGGTATTCAGATGAAAATAATTGACTTCGAGATGCCCGAGAATACTGAACTTAAAGATTATGGACGTTTACTGAGAGATGGTGAGGTTAAGATTAAGTTTAACGATAGATGTTTAAAAAGTCGTTATGTTTTTGTCTTTGACAAGGTTATGTTAATGTGTAAATCGTTAAAAGGTGATCAATTTAGCTATAAAGAAGCTTTAATTTTAAGCGATTTTTCAGTTGACGATTGTCCACCAGCCAATACAACGGGAACAATAAAACATTTCAAAGATAAATGGAGTCACCATTGGATGTTAATTCACAATCAGGCTCGATTTAGTTATACATTTTATGTTAAAAGTGAAGATCTCAAGAGAAAATGGATCGATGCTTTGGATAAAGCTCAAGATAATGTTAATCCACTCGCTTGCCGAACCGAAGCAACTGATCATGTTTTCATCATGTTCACCTTTCCATCACCTACAACTTGTGGTCATTGTGATAAACTGTTACCTGGTCTTTTCTTTCAAGGTTATAAATGTACAATATGTGAGATAACTGTTCACAAATCATGTATTCCATTAGTTAATTCATGCGGTGAATTAACTTTACCTCCTAGACCGCCATTACCCTCAATAAGTCCCTCCGTGATATCGGCCTATTCAGGGGAAGATGAAACTTTCCTCCAACAAAATTCACCGGTTGATTTTATCGCTAAATATGATCATTCCCATAATCAAAATCCCCAACAACCACTACACCAACCCAATCAACAGCACCATCATCATCAACACCAACACCACCACCAACAACAACATGGCTTATCCAATGGAAACTTAATCTGGCCTCAAGGTACCAAAGTAAAAGCGATAACACCATTCGATGGTGAACTAAATCGTAATGAATTATCATTCTCAACGGGTGACATCCTTTTAATTACCAATCCAAAGCCTGAAATTGACGAAACTAATAACGTTAAATGGTTAGAAGGTGAACTACTTCGAACTGGTGTTGAAGGACTTTTCCCCGCCGATAAAGTTCAACCAATTAACCTAATCAATCATTCCCGATCAAACTCTGATGATTCAACATCAACCACAACAACAACTTTAACCACCAACAATTCAAACAATCCCAACATTAACCATAGTAATAATAACAGTTACACTAGTAATTCAAATTCAAATTTTAATTCAGATGATGGATTGATCAATTCTAATAACAATAATATCAATGAGAATAATAATTACGTTAATTTAAACTTGGAAGAGCACCCGTGGTTTGGTGGGACAATGGACCGAGAAACGGCTCAATTGTTATTGGAAAAATTACCGAATACAACATTTCTCCTTCGAATTAGTCCAAAGCAACGCGGTAATTATGCAATTAGCTTAAATTGTAATGGAATAGTCAAACATATGAGAATATGTAAAACACCGGAAGGTCAGTTTTACCTGTCGGAGTTTAAATTTTTCGACACGGTTGAAGAGCTGGTCAACTGGTATCAAGAGCGAACCCTGGCCGAATCGTTTTCTGGTTTAAACTTAAAATTGGGGATACCCTATAAATCCGTGTTGACGGTAAATCCATCTCTTGGTTATGCGATCGCTTTGTACAGTTTTACCGGTAATTCGGCAAATTTGTTGTCCCTTCGACGCGGCGATTATATCGCCATTCTAAGTAAAACAGGAGCAGAAAAGGGCTGGTGGAAAGGTCAAATAGGCCAACGAATTGGATATTTTCCTTTTGCTTATGTCAGTGAAATTAAAGACTCGGTAATTTAAAGTTAATTCAACCAATCAAATCAATCAATCAATTGAACAATTTAAAGATGAAACAATTGAACAAATATAAATACTTCCAGCATCATAAAGGTTACAACTGCCAGAGAGTTTCCAACAAGAAGTCATCGTTTTTTTTAACAAATCACTAAATTCTGATCATCGACAACTTCATTCCAGTGAATATCAACAATTGTAATTATTTAACTTGATTGTTTGATGACAATTTCCAATCTTCCATCATCATCATCTTCATCTGCCTCTCATCATTCTGATGTCACAATAATCGTAATATCATGTAGGATGAGCACGGAGATTGATGGATATAAGAATCAAAAAAAAAAGGTGAAAAAGGAACAAGAAATTTTATTTATTCTTCCCAAATTCATTGTATTATCTTCATAGTCATTTTATATAATAGAGAGGAAAACAAATTCTATCATCATCATCATCATCTTCAAATTTATCTTCAACTCAATCAACCAAAATCAAAGAATCAACAATTTTCTCATGATCATTTTCCAATCTCTTCCTATCAACCAGAATTGAAACAATGAGAATCTTCATCTTCATCAAATATTATATTTACTTTTGATTGATTATTATGGAATCGTTAAAAATTTATTCTAAAGTCAATATATTATCAACACAGATCTTAATGTTATCCAAAAATTTAATTTATAATCAGCTGATTGCTACTATTTTTTTTTTGCCTCATCAAGAAATATATTAACTACTATTATCTAGTAACTCGATTAATTAAGATATTGGAAAAGCTGAATCTACAAATCACAAACTCGAATTTGGATTGATCAAAGTTTCGGACAATGGTCAGCCAATGGACTTTTACAACATCGACCAGCCGATTGACCTGAACCCGTGCGATCTGATCTAAATTATTATTATTGTTTTAACCCAATTGATTCCAGTGAACAAAATGATTAGAAAACTTTTTTTTCTCGACTGTAAATTTTTTATTATTTATTTTAATTATTACTTAAGCATTAATTTTATATGTTCAATTGAACAATTAGTTTAATTGGTCATTCCTTTGACTCACTGGTTAGTTAATTTATTATTCGTCTTATTAATCAATTTTAATGCTCGATTTTTGTACATATCGTAAAAAATTATTTTCTATTCCCATTGATTCAAATCATTTACTGTTAACTGATTAACTTAATTTGTGATCCCCTAAAAATAGATTAACCTTTTTGTTGTGATCAAATTTAACGTAACAATTTGATTACTTTATATGGAATCCAATTAGTGAAATGACCTTTCAATTGTAAAAAAAAATGAATTAAATGAATTGCAAGACAATTCAATTGAAAATCATGTTGATGTTTGGCAACAATTTATAAAAAGTTATTTAAATTTGACTCAATTTAAATATTCAAATGAATTTTAATCATCTGGACTATGTGAATACGACACATGGATTGGTCATTATTGGACATTACGATTTGATCTGATGGGTCGAGTGACCAAATGAATACTATGAATGATGCGAATTTTTGTTCTCGAAACAATTAACTGATCCAGTTGTGAGGAGAATATCGATCTTGATTGTTTGCAATCTCTTTTATTTTTTAAGATAAATATTGAGATATAATGTTGACTTCGAATCGAGTTGATCAGTTGATTGTGGTGCTATTTTCTAATAGTCCATATTATGAATGGTTCGTTTTTCCCGTTATACATTTTGACGACTGCTGATTCGAAATTAATGAGAATTTATGCAAATCATATTCTTGGCGATATTCGAATGGATTGGAAAAAAATGCTTCCATGTCAAAGTGACCCTTGTCCAGCGATTGTCGAGCCTCTTAGATCATCTATTGGTGATATTCAATTTCCTCCAGAATCTTTACATAATATTGACTCGATTCCTGAGAATATTTCTCTCAGTCCAGTTTTGTTCAGTTCTGGTTGTGTTTTCATGAACTTTTATTCCAATTCGACGACTAAAACAATCACGAAAGGGATTCTAACACCGTTCGAGATTATCGATCGACATGTTTACCTGATGATCTGTTTTTTAGTATTAATTGGATACTCGATTCGTTACGCAAGAAACAATATCAAGTGTAATCGACGAAGAAAACGATTATGTAAAAGGAAGATCGATAATTTTTCGTTGGTACCAAAAGTTGTTCGATAGTCGTTGTGGCCTTTTACTTGTACTTTTGTGTTCATTTTCCGTTCATTATGTGTTACATTTACTTGCGACATCAGTAGTAGGTATGTAGCATAACGTGAAAGAGGAGGAGTCTGTGAATGAAAAAATAAAATTATATGGCCAAGACTAAATTTTAAAAGAGTCATAAACTGGCGTAGCCTCAGGCAGTTTTGTCCATTAACGTTCGGAAATGCAATAATTGATAATAAAATAAAGTGAATCAATATAACTAATAGCTGATTGCTAAGACTCAAACAAATCAACGTTAAAATACAAGAAAATGTTATGGATTGATTGTTTCAATTTATTACTAAAGTCACTTAAACATTTTAACGCTAACATAACAGGAAAAGTTTTAAACAATTGATACGATTTATTAGTTAAAGTAATTCCAACATCTGCAGACTGCAACAAAGATGATAATTGAAAGAATAATTTTACAATTTATTACTAAAGTCACTTGAACATCTGAATGTGTGACAAAAGTTTAAAGTGGTTCAATTGTTTCTTTTATTATATTTCATTTATAGCTTTACTGTCTTTTACATTCGATAAAGCAAAGTATAATGTACATCTCATAAACAAGCAATTCTTCTATTGTTTGTTCTAGAATATGAAACAGCGCAGAAATGACTCCTCCTAATTCCTTTATAAAGCAGCGAAACCAAAAGTTTGTCAGTCTTGATTTTGTTCTCATCCATGATTCCTTCAAGTTACCTTTGTGCCTTTTGTGTTTTCCCAACCATCCTCAACGTTTAGTTTTGTGTCTCCCTTTTGTGTCTCTTTACTTGTGTGTCTCTCTCTTTACTTGTGTCTCTCTTTACTTGTGTCTCTCTTTATTTGTGTCTCTTTACTTGTGTCTCTCTCTTTACTTGTGCCTCTCTTTCCTTGTGATTAACCTCTCTTGCTCTTTCCAACCTGTGATTTCTATCTGCTTCGGTTACTTTCAGTGTTAATCACAGCCTTTATTTTTGGATTCCATTTTATACAGTTATCGGTAAGTCAACAACTATCTAGTATAAAATTCATGCTATTTATCATTATAATTTAATCACCAATATCAAAGGATATATGCAGTATGAAGCATTTTGTGTTAGATGTTGGATAAAACATAGGCTGAATCAACATTTCTGCTTCGACTCATGTGCTCAATGTAATAGCAATCCTCCATGTTTTGAGTCAGAACCTCTTAGTTGCATCCGTTGCAAACTTGAGTTCAAAACAATGTTTGTTATGAAAATCATCTTCTGAAAAGATATGTATGGCAAAGATCAAATGTTCAAAGTGTTGGATAATTCATGGTACCAAAGATCCTCATATTTGTGATGTTTATCACTGCGAAAAATGAAGATACTTACACAGTCACACCGCATTATTGTTATCTTACACTCTGGACCTCAAAAGCTATTAGAACAAGATGAAGCTTATTCTGTCCTAATATTTTACGATATCGAAGCCAGCCAAGAACCTGATGATACCCAAGCTTCCACTCCAAATTTACTCATATGTAATACATTATGCACTTTTGTTTTGATTTAGAAACATAAAAAGGACTGAGAAATGTGATATTTGTGGAATAGGGTATCAAATCTTCAAAGGATCTGAGGTGTTAAAATTTCTGCAGTTATCTCTACGAGGAAGCAGCTCAAAAGCGAGAAAAGATCAGCAACTGTGACTGTTATTGCACATAACCAAAAGGATATGATGGCCATTTCTTGATTCAGGACTTTACTCGAAACTTCCAAGCGATTCCTGAAATAATAATGGGGTCCAAGCTTGTTTACATCAAGGTTGAAAATTTACGTTTTGTTGATTCACTTTCATTACTACAACAGCCGCTTTCTTCTCTCTGAGTCATTTAACATATCAGAAATGAAAAAGGATCTTTCCTCATTATTTCAACACAAAGGCAAACCAAAACTACAAAGGAACATTACCTGCGATAGAGTTTTACGGGTTTGATGATATGAAACCAATCATGCAAAAAGAATTCAAAACTTGGTACTTGGCTCAGCAAAACGAAGACTACGTTTTGATATGCAGACAGAAATTGTACAGTACTGTAGGTCTGATGGATATATTGACGACGGCAATGATGAAATTCATTACGCTTTTCAAGCAAATAACAGACCTTAACCCCATAAAAGAAGATTTACCTTGGCTTTGTAGTAATGGAAATTCTTCAGGAAGCTCCTCCGAAACTGCTTGCGATAAGTCCGATTGATGGTTATTGTTCCAGATTACAATCAATCTCAGCAGCTGTTTGGTTAGACTACCAACAAAATATTTTAGGTAACCAATTCATAATTCAGAGGGAATTTAAAATTGGACCGTTCTATGCTGATGGGTTCGTCAAAGAACAAAACCGCGTTTATGAATTTTACGGATGTTTTTTCCATGGTTGCCCCGATTGTTATCCTGATGATGGTATCAATACTCTTCTGAGTGAACCAACAACATATTCAGAACTATTCAAACGTCTTCAAAACAAACGATCATATTATAACCAGAGAGGATTCAACTTGACCGAGATATGGGAACACGACTTCAACAAAATTAGAAAAGAGGAGTACATATCTACTAGAATTAAACATCGATATGAGATAAAAGAAACCGGATCAATAAATATCAAAGAAAGTTTCTTCGGTGGAGAACAAATAACATCAAATTTTATCATGAATGTTTACCAAACGAAAAAATCCGTTATCTAGATTTCACATCATTATATCCTCATGTTCTCAAAAAGAATTCCTTTCCAGCAGGACACCCAAAACTTATTGAAGAAGGGTTTTCAAATGATGTCTCCAAGTACTTTGGCTTCATCAAATGCAAAGTTTTACCTCCTGAAAAGTTAAATATCCCCGTTTTGCCATTGAGATTCAGCAAAAAACTTATTTTTCCTCTTTGTTTTTCCTGTTTGAATACAAGAGCGAATTTAAGCTGCAATCATACAGACCAAGAAAGAATGATAACAAACACTTGGACATCTGAAGAGCTCAATGTAGCAGTTAAAAACGGTTATCAAATAATTAAGATCTACCAAATTCTCCAGTATGATCGAACACCGAATCTTTTTAATGATTATATAGCAATGTGGCTTAAGATAAAACAGCAAGCCAGTGGTTGGCCTACATGGTGTACAGACGAAGCTTCTCAAACAAAATATATAAATGACTATGAGCAGCATGAAAAAATTGGACTAGAAAAAACGGAAATATCAAAGAATCCTGGCAAAAGGAGTATTGCAAAGCTGATGTTGAACAGTCTCTGGGGAAAGTTTGCGCAAAATCATAATTTAATGCAAACATCTATCGTCAGAAACTATGCTGAGCTTTGGAGAAAGATGAATGATGACACTCTTGAAATAATGGGTATTTTTGAAGCATCACCTGAGGTTATTCTCATCCAGCATAAAGTAGCTGCTGATTATGAAGCTGAAATATCATCATCTAAATCAAACATTGCTGTGGCGAGTTTTGTTACAGCTTATGCAAGGTTGGAGCTCTTCAATCTGATACAAACTATAGAGTCTATTAGACCAGGACGTGTATTGTATTTCGACACTGATTCAGTTGTATTTATCGAACAAGAAAATGATCCGGTTGTTAAATGCGGAGATTACCTCGGCGAACTTACTGATGAAATTCCTGATGGCTATTACTGTAATAAATTTGTTACGCTTGGTCCCAAAAATTACGCTTACGAAGTAACGTCTCCAACTGGTGAAAAGAAAACGGTCATAAAAGTTAAAGGAATAAAACTCACTTCAAAAGCTCTGGAACTTATCACATTACAGAAACTTTGTAAAATGGCAGAAGATTATACCAACGGAGAGCAATCATCCATTTCTGTTAAGCAAACTAATATCGAATCTGATAAGTACACTCATAAAGTTTGCACTAAGAAGTTTGAAAAAATATATAGAGCAGTTTCTGAAAAACGAAGAGTAATAGGCAATAATACTTTGCCCTACGGATATAAATAAATAACTTTTAAATGTAAATAGTCAACCTATTACAATGTATACAAAATTTCATCATATTTTGAAAACAACATTAAACTTTTCTTTTGTAAGCAATAAAATCCAGGTGCTGTAAAATAGAAACAAAGAACTATAGTATTCCAAACTTTATGGCACTAATAAATGACATTTGTTTTATTACTTTATTATAGCAGTTAACATTGGAAACGCTTTTGAATGATACCGAAGGCTGGATGAACCAGGAGGCGCAGCTATCGTCAGTTTTGGTATAAATAGAGACACATTTTATTTTTTGTATTCATTACATTTTCTTGTTTCATCTTGTGAAGTTGTACTTTATCTTCTACTCTGTGTCCTATTAAAGTTTTCAGTTCAAAGTTAAAGTTACTCTGTGTCCTTTTTTTTTGAAAAACATGAGTTCTCAAGTTTCATCTCCCAAGCCAATTGTTGGAAAAGTTTCATTCAGTGGTTATAGTGAGTTCTTCAAAATCAGCACTGATCTCACAAACACACACAAATGGATGGCTCCTAAATATGAACATCCGTTTAAACACAATGATCAGTGGGTATTCTCTGTTTCTCGGTACATGGATCAGTTTGTGGAGAAAAATTCGAATTGGCGTAAAAACATATACAGTGAGTTGACAGCGTTATTGTACTCTAAATACTCTGTGAGCCGATGGCTTCAACACAGACTAATGGTTACAGGAACTGGCATAATCGTCTACTGTGACGCTGAAGAAACAACTCTCGGAATAGGATGTGATATCCTTGACGCTGCTGTTGATAATCCTGGCTTATGGATTGGCTCTCATGGATATTCGCAACCATTTTAAGGAAGTTTGGAAGCAGGACAATTTAGAAATTGTTGATGGTAAGACACAGCTAAAATCTAACAAGCGAAAATGGAATTCGAGTATTGATGACTAAAACCAAGCTTTGTATTTTTCAGTTGATCCTTGAACTTACGATGAAATTCGAATCTTTAATAAAAAGAATTGAAACTTATTACTTTTGTGTCACTATGTCAAATTTTATTTTCAAACACCCATTCACATGTATGATAGCAGGACCTACATCAAGCGGGAAAACGGTCTTAGTAGAAAGAATAATTCATCATAGAAATATATTAATACCTTCATTAAATGAGAATTCTAAAATACTGTGGTGTTATGGTCAATGGCAAGATCGTTATTCTAAACATAAAGATATACAACATCATCAAGGGATGATAGAAGATTCTTCCGGTTACGATCTCATTATCATTGACGATCTTATGCATGAATGCGGTGATGATCCGAAACTCATGCATCTTTTCACGAAAGGAAGTCATCATTTAGGAGTTTCCGTCATTTTTATAGTGCAGAATATATTTCATCAGGGTAAGAATATGAGAAATATAAGTCTGAACTGTCATTATCTTATACTAATGAAAAATCCTCGTGACAAAGCACAAATCTATGCGTTGGCTCGACAACTTTATCCAATTAATATCAAAAAGTTTGTTGCAGCCTATGAAGACGCAACAGCTTTACCTTATAGTTATATAAAGGTGGATCTTACTCCTCAAACACCTGAGAAATTTCGTGTTCAGACTAATATAATTCCATTGTCATTGAATCATTCTGTTACAGTTTATGAGATATAATGTCAATCAATATAGAAGACTATCTAAATCTTTTGAAAATAGCTTCAATGATAAAGAGTAAAAAACTGAGAACAGCTTTTCCACGATCAATACAAAGCAGATCCGTTGCTATATAAAGCAATCAAAGAAGTGATGTTGAATATAGTTAATAAAAACGTCAAGCTTACGGATAAAGAAAAGAAACAACTAGCCAGGTACAAGCATGATATTTTGAACATAGTGAAAGATAAATCAGTATCGAGAAGAAAAAAGTACATAACGCAAAGTGGAGGCTATCTTCCGATCATTATCCCGGCAGTTGTTTCACTCTTGACATCTTTAATAAATGGCTGAAATTGTTAAAAAAGAATATCCTCTCATCACTGCCAAAATCGGAACTTTACCTCAATCAGAAGAAAAATCAGCCATTGTACAAAACGCACTCAATCCTATTTTTGTACGGAAAATTCTCAAGTTGAGTCTGAAACTAGCATTTTCAGGTGTTTATAATGAAAAGATGAATCTGGTTATTAATGGGTCTGAAATCAAGAACACTAATTTACTTAAGTATTTGATTTCGGCTGTTACTGAAGAAAACTCACCGATTCTATGGCCAACCAGTTTGGTGACCATATTAAGAAGAAGTAACATATTACCTAGTGATGTGTTACACAAGTCATTGAAAAAATTGTTGAAATCAAACCATAAAAAGAGAAGTATCATCATTGATAGCAGACCCCCTCCATCCTATTCATTTCCGGTTACGTTTCCTAATATTTATGCTGAACCAATTGATGAAATCGCAACACACGAATCTGATGCAGGGATAGTGAAAAAATCTCGAAATCCGAGAAAAAGAAAATTAGTTGAAAACTTATACGACAACATAAGATTTTCTGACAGGATTGCAGACAAGAAAAAGAAGTTCGACGGACAAAATGGTAACTCATACTTCAGTTCATCAAAATGGTGTAGAATCAGCGAATGAAAAAATTGAAACAGTTTTAAAACGATTGTATTACAATGTCGAAAAAACTGGATCGCTATCTTCAGTCAATAAACTTTACATTGCTGCAAAAGAGCTAATTCCTGAAATCACGATAAATCATGTGAAAAACTGGTTAAAAACACAGCTTACATACACTTTGCATAAACAAGCTCGGAAAAAATTTAAGCGAAATAAAATAGTGGTCTGTGCAATCGATGAACAATGGGAAGCAGATTTAGTTGAAATGCAAGAGTTTTCGCGTCAGAACAAGGGGTTAAGATACATTCTAACGATAATAGATTGTTTCAGCAAGTATGCTTGGGCTATTCCAGTACACGCAAAAACAGGTATTGCAGTTACAGAGATTTTCCGAAAACTCTTTAAAAATAGAAAGCCTGAGTCTTTACGTACAGATAAAGGCAAAGAGTTTCTCAATAGCAGTTTTAAAACTCTTCTTGATAATGAATCTATTAGACATTATTCAACGAAAAACAGTAATATCAAATGTGCTATTGTTGAAAGATTTAACAGAACCCTTAAAGGTAAAATGTTCAAATACTTCACTTTTAAGGGAACCAGAAAGTACACAGATGTGTTACCAAAACTAGTGGAAAGTTATAACGCTGATTTTCATCGATCAATTAAAATGGCACCTAATTCTGTGACAAATTCTAACTCGAATGATGTCTTCAGGAATTTGTATGGTTATGATAGCCTCCTTGAAATGGTGAAAGATCAGAAAACAATATCTCCAAAGGTGTTTGAAGTAGGTTCAAAAGTACGGATTAAATATGAGCTTGGCCCGTTTGATAAATCATTCTATCCTAACTGGTCTGAACATATCTATACAATATCTTCTATTGACAAAAGCAAAGAAAAACCTTTGTACTTATTAAGAGAACACAATGGAACACCTATGGAAAGGAAATTTTACCATGAAGAGCTTCAAGAAGTATCTGAAGACGAGCATCGAATTGAGAAGATTATAAAAAGAAAAACAGTTAGGGGGCGTGTGTATTACTTTGTAAAGTGGTTAGGTTATTCAAGCAGTTACAACTCATGGATACCATCTCAGGACATTCGGAGATTGGCGTGAAAAATCCTCACTTATTTCTCTTTATTATTCAAGTATTAACGCTGTTTTTGATATCGATAATTTCGATGATAAATTTGTCTTTGAATTTAGGAGACCAACGACTTTGGTTAGGGCTTTTGACGATGTCTTTAGGATGTATTCTACCTACTCCAAAGTTTAAACAAAAAGCTGAACCAATTTCTATATAAAGCTAATAAAATAAATCCAATTTGATTTAAAATAAGAAGACATGTCTGATTCATTTTATTTAACATTACCAAGTAACGTAAAAAGCTATGCTGATAATACTATAGGCTCTTATGTGACTTATTTACCAAATACATTAAAAGTTGATGACGATTGGGTGGTTGGGTTAGCAGAGATAACATACACCCGCAGTTGGTATAATATTTCCGAACCACAACGTTTAACAATTTTGTAGATACTCCAACGCCGGAGTCAGGAAGATTCCTTGAAGAAATAGATTTTGAAGAATTCATATTAGATTTACAACCGGGTTCATACACGAGTATTCACGATCTGTGTGATGTGATAAACGCAGAGATGATCAAAGTGCTCAGTCGGACAGGACATGTCAAACATGCACCATATCTTGTCGTCAATTCACAACAAGGATATATCACGCAACAAGTTGGCCAATTTCTATTCCTAAGATTGGAGGAACTGCATCAGAAAGAAATGTTTTAGTACATCTGGGGCAGCAACTCGAGTACATGCTTGGATTTTCCTCATATAACTTAGAGAATGAAAGATTTGGAGTATTAACTAGATACTCAAACTTTCAAACAATTTTTGACAATGGTTACATGCAAAGAAAAGCTCAACATCATTATGATCTTTCTGGTGGTGTTCACAATCTTATGATATATTCAGATGTCGTTGAACCATCTGTAGTAGGAAATACTTATGCTCAGTTTCTCAGATCTATAAGAATAGCGGGCGAAAAGTTTGGTGAAGATATAAATTTGATTTATACACAACCATATTACCAACCCTTAGCAAGCAAAGAGATTGATAGAATAATGATTAATATAAAGGATGATTCAGGCCAGGACATTAAGTTCAGACAAGGCCGAGTAGTTGTTGTTTTACACTTTCGCCGAAAATGGAAACCTATTATTTGAATCAAGCGGGGACAGGTTTACCCCTTCAAATATTTGCGGGAACTCGTTATCAGAGAGGTAATGGGTTCTTTGGCAGATTTTTCATGTCAAAAATTATGCCGATTTTGAGATATTTGGGAGAGCAAGCACTTTCAACTGGTCAAGCTATTCTAAGTGATACCAAAAAATCAGCTAAGGATAGAGTCAGTGCTACAATGGATAGAATAACCAGTGATGCGATACAGAAATTGTCTGAAAAAAGTACTGACACACAGAATGGAAGCGGTTTAAAGTCTATAAAAAGAAAGATGATAAAAGGAAATGTAAAACGAAAAACCCGAAAGAAAATTAAATCATTCAAAAAATCTGATTTTGACTTCTTAAAGTAATATGCATAATCTAGCAGCTGAAGCTTTGCTACCGGAGCTTGATTTATTCACCATCCCCCCTGTTCAGTTGTCAATCGAAAGAAGCTATGAGACTCAACACAGACCAATCTCCTCTATAGAAGGCTCTAGCTACATAGAGTTTCATATACCTACCTCAAAAGATGAATATATTCTTTTTCATGAAACTTACTTATACTTCAAATTGCAGCTTAAAATAAAAAATGAAGACGGCAAAGATATTGTTAACCCAGATTGGAGTAAAATTAGAGCAGCCAATAACTTGATGCATAGCATGATTAAACAAATAGATCTAAAGATCGGTAATAAAGAAATGTCATCTGTATCAAATACTTATGCATATAGAGCATACTTTGAAAATTTACTCGGTTTTTCGAAAGACGCTAAGGAAACACATCTTTCTACAGGATTTTGGTCAGAAAAGGACGATATCATCTCGAACTTTGTCCCAGAAACAACAAATAAAGATCCATCACAAAGTAAAATAGTTGACATGTATGGAAAGTTACATCTTGACCTTACATTTCAAGGCAAAGCATTGCTTGGTGGATGTGATATCAAAATAAAATTGATATTGAACAACCCTGAATTCTGTTTCATCTATCCAAAATCAGTGAATATTATTCCCATAATCAAAGATGCATCTGTATACATTCACCGTTTAAAAGCTAAACCAATGCTTGTTAATGCACATTCGAGAGCTTTGCAAACAGCCTCTTCACGATATCCTATCACCCGTGTGGAGGTGAAACATGTACCCATTCCTTCAGGATCTATGGATGCAATGCTCGACAATGTCATAATTGGACAATTACCAAGACGAATGTTTTTAGCATGTGTTAAAAATACAGCTCTTAATGGAGCCAAAGATGAAGATCCATTCAAATTCAACCACTATGATGTCAACTACTTGGCATGCTATCTTGATGGCATTCAGTATCCTACAAATGCTTATCAACCAAATTTCGATCAAAATCTTTTTGTTCGAGAATATTCAGGATTGTTTCAAGCAATGAACATGAATTCAACTGAATCAACCATTGATATAAAAAGAAATGATTATGCTAATGGGAAAACAATTTATGGTTTCAATTTCGCACCTGACTTATCTCACGGCTGTGGTCTTGTAGGACACGTAAATCCAGCAAATCGAGGTACCCTCCGTGTTTATTTGCGTTTCAAGAAGGCATTGCCTGAAGTAATCGATGTTGTTTTATTCTGCGAGTATGATAATATGATCGAAATTGACAAAGAAAGAAACGTTAGCTGTGACTTCATTTAAGTATGTTCGATTTTGAGATTGAAACCATTTGCCGTTCTTTTCCAAACTTCATTGGTGTTTTTCGAGATAAATTACCATTAATACGAAAATATCCTAGTTATTTCATCATGAATAGTGATGTTGCTTCAGAACGAGGTAGTCATTGGTTAGCATGTAGAGTTGATTCACGCAGATGCGAATATTTTGACTCATTTGGACTTCCACCGATTCATACAGAAATCAGTCAGTTGATCCAAGATCGTCCTTTAGTTTGGAACAATAAAAGGTTACAAAGTTCTCTTCTAAAACTGTGGGGCTTTCTGTATTTGCTTTGTGAAGTTGAGATCAAGAGGCGAATCATTCGATAACATTATTAAAAGATTTTCATCGGACTTACAACTCAACGATAATAAAGCTTGGAAAATAATTGACGATGTTTAACTGGGATTCGGTGATTGTATCAGTTTTTCTTCTGCCTGATGATGACAACGTCAGTGACATTAAAATCAAAGTATGGGACTACAAAGATGAAATAACATACTGTTTCATGTTGGAATTTGATGTTTGTGGCACACAATCTTTCATGAAGGGGCCTGCACTAAACTCTGATGGATCCCCCACACGAAACTTGGAAAATGCTATTGGAAGTGATAGCATCGAGCGAATCAAGAAGGTCTTTTCAATCTTTAGTACAGCTGTGCAATTAAAAGTACGCACAAGTTCTAAGTTAGCTTCATACCTACTTGCACGTAGCATGATTAATCATGAACTTTGTAATGATCTAGACATTGTAAAGTCTACAAAAAAGATTAATAAAAAAAGCAAGCTGGTACAATTCTTACAGCAAATGATCTCTTGTATTGTTATCTGCAGAATGACCAATAAAAAAGATTAAAACATCAAACTAACGACTCCCGTTTATTTTCTGAGCAAAACTATTTGAATAGCTACAAATCTAAGTTTCAATCAGTTTCATCCCTGACCTCGATATGTCAACATGGATCGTCTTTCTCTCGCTCTTGAATTAGTATGTGATTCAGTCAATGTGGAAAATAAGACTCTGAGACAAAAATTACATCGAACAAAAAGCTTGAATAAGCGTCTCAAAAAATCCAACAAACGATTGAGGGACGAAGTTAGGATTCTGAGTTCTCATTGCGATCCATTTTGTCCAAACCTTGATAATCTAGAGCTGACACTTAGTATTGTGTTATCTTTACAAGAAGAAGTCCGGGTATCAATTGCTTACATTCATTTTTTAGAAAAACAACTCAAAATTTTGATTTCCAATTAGTGCTTCAATCTTGCCAACCATGATGACCGAGATAAAAAATCCAATGATAAGTAATATTGTCATGAAGTTTCAACTTCGTTCGTTTCCTTTCGCTTTGACTGACTTAGTGAAATTTTTCCCAACGATAAACTACCAACCAAAAAGATTCAATGGTGCTATTCTCAAATTACCTAAGCCCTGTCTGTTAATCTTCAGAAATGGAAAGGTTAATGTTGTTGGAGCTAAGTCTATTAATGACGCCTATCTGGCTATGGAAAAATTCTGCGTGTCGCTTCGTCTTCCGTGTGATTACACATATAAAGAGGTTGTCAACGTCGTGGCAACAGGTAATCTCAACAAAAGAATTAATCTTCTTAAACTCTGCGTTGCTTGTAGCGAATCATTTACTTATTACCCTGAATTATATCCTGCAGCTTATTTGACAGAGGGTAGCAAAAAGTGTCTCATTTTCCATACAGGTAAATTTATAATAACCGGATGTAAATCATACAAGGAGACTTTACAAATTTTCGATCAGTTGAAATTAATTCTTTTATTTTCTGGATTCATTTAGTGGTATGAACATAAATATATTGTATTTTTTATCCGTATTGTCTTTTTTATTCATTCTTATGATACTTAGATATGTATACGTTAATGGCCATGAAATAAATCTACTGATTGCATAAAAATTAAATTAAAACGTTTTCTATTTATTTCGGATATTAAACATTATTGAAAGCGCGTTCTAAAATTTTTTCCACTTAGTTTATCTTTTTTCCGTTAGGTGGTATAGTTTTCGAGAAAAAAACTTTGGTAGAGGGCGGAAAATTTTCGCTCAAAGTCCATCTCCCTATCTTCACGGTCATAAAGTTTATGGCCTGAAGAGTTGGTGACGGTTGACACAATAGGTTTAAGTTCACTTAAACTTATTGTTTCAACCATCACCAACTCTTTCGAACCATAGATTTTATCACCGCCACCACCACCACCCCAATGTCTGACAACATCTCCATCCTCATCACCTACTGGGGTGATAAATTTATCACCACCGGTGCTTCAGCCACCACCAGCATCCCCATCACCATCACTTCCACCAACAACAGCAACATCATCGGCATTTCCTTCGCCACCAGCAACTCCATTACCTCAGCCACCAACACCCGTGATCCCATCACCACCACCAGCGATCCCATCGCCACCACCAGTCCCATCACCACCACCAGTGATCCCATCGTCACCACCAGTCCATCGCCACATCCCATCACCACCAGCGATCCCATCGCCACCACCACCACCAGCGATCTCATCACCAGTGATCCATAACCAGCGATCTCATCGCCACCACCACCAGCGATCCCATCGCCACCACCAGTGATCCCATCACCACCACCAGTGATCCCATCGTCACCACCAGTCCATCGCCACCACCAGTGATCCCATCACCACCACCAGTGATCCCATCGCCACCACCACCACCAGCGATCTCATCGCCACCACCACCACCAGCGATCTCATCGCCACCAGTGATCCCATCACCACCAGCGATCTCATCGCCACCACCACCAGAGATCTCATCGCCACCACCGCCACCAGTGAGTCCATCGCCATTACCACCACCAGCGATCTCATCGCCACCACCAGTGATCCCATCACCACCACCAGCGATCTTATCGCCACCACCAGCGATCCCATCGCCACCACCAACACCAGCGATCTCATCGCCATTACCACCACCACCAGCGATCCCATTTTTTGCCTTATCGACCTCGAAGAGGACGATCTTATGTTACCTCTCTCCATTCCAGATCCAGAATTCACTGTTGAATTCGATTCAGATGATGAATTTGAATCGAATTCAACAGTGTCCAGTTCTGACCATGAGTTCACCTTCATACTCGTGGTCAGAATCGGACGGAGAAGGAGAGAGAAACATTTTATCTCCTCGAAGAGGAAAAGAAATGATGGTGATAATGATTATGATGTTGGTTATGATGATGATGATGAAGATGAAACTTTTAATTAAAAAATATGGTTTGATGATGATGATGTTGATGATGATGACGATTTTTGGCTCATCAAATAAATGAATTTTATAAAACTTTAGTTTTTAATAATTATTTAATTCGGGGTAGCATAACGTGACTCCTCCTCTTTCACGTTATGCTACATACCTACTACTGACATCTTTTACCACCAAATATTCAATCTCATTTCGAAGTCCAGCTATCGAAAATTGGGTTGATCTAAAAAGCCAATCGATCTTCGAATGTGGCTCAGTTCGAAATCTTTATTGTTATCGGTACGCCAATCGAACTAAACAATCTTTCAATGCTCTTTATCCTATTGGAAATGGTTCGGTGACCGGTTACATTAAACCTCGAATAGACAGAGAACGAATTATCTTATTCGAAAGTAATGCTTATACTCGACGAATCATCCACATCTATTGTAACGCAATGATCAATGTTCAACGCGATTATAATTTCCATGTACAAACAAGTACGAACTCTTATTATGACACATTTTTCGCGATCATTTACAATTCGAGGATGAAAAGTGATCGAAAAAATTGGTTAAAACGTACCTTGTATTCTTGCTTCGAGTACGGATTTTGTCCTGATGCCTATGATCGGGCATTGAGAATATTTTTCGAAAAAGGTAAACAACCAGTTGATGGTTCGAATGCAAATGCTCAATGTGACGATTACGTTCAATCAACCGGTGGACCAGATAAATCGTATCGATCAATATCCTTGCTCAATATGATAGAAGCATTTAATTATTATTTATCTCTAATTGGATTAACTTGTACTCTTCTCATGATCGAACTCGCCATCGAATCTTTTTGTCCTTTCCCTCGGAAAAGTTGTAACCATATAATTCAATTGTTGTAAGCCAATAAAGAAACAATTTATTCATGATACTAGTAATTGGCAAGTTCTGTCTCCATATAATATGCAAATTAATCAACCAATATTGTTCAATTATCGCAACTGTTTCAAGTTCAATCAATCTGATTTCTCAATGGAAACTTTTGTTTTCCGAACAGACAAAATTTTACTATTCTTGTCTCATTGTCACAATTAAATGAGCCATTGATTGAACATCATTAACAACAGAGAATAATGAATTTTCTGATGAAATGGTAATTTCTTTACGACAATTTAAAACAGTTCTTATTTAAATTCATCGAGATAAATTATCTTTGAATATTGAACAACTTTGCCAATTGTTATATTGATGTAAAGTCGCAATGATTAGTACGTGCTTTTTACAAATTAGATTGTTAAAGATTCTCATCCATTGATTAGTGATAAAAATTAACGACAATCAAGAGTCCGGAAAACAAGAATAATAATTGTTATTGCTTCTTTGGCCATCACTGGTTCGAGCAGTTGTAATGATAGTTGACTACTGAAAGTACCGTTATTTCAGCTTACCTGTCGGGTTTTGATCTTTTGTGATAAGTCAAATGAATTTGACTCACCTTACGTTACAGGTTTTGTCGATATCGAAACATAAATTGTACCAAACTTATGCAAATCAAATTTTGGGTAATATTCAGATAGATTGGAAACTAATACTTCCATGTCAAAGTGATTTATGTCCAGCGATTGTCGAGCCTCTTAGATCGTCTCTTGGTGATATTCAATTTCCACCTGAATCTTTACATAATATTGACTCGATTCCTGAGAATATTTCTCTCAGTCCAGTTTTGTTCAGTTCTGGTTGTGTTTTCATGAACTTTTATTCCAATTCGACGACTAAAACAATCACGAAAGGGATTCTAACACCGTTCGAGATTATCGATCGACATGTTTACCTGCTGATCTGTTTTTTAGTATTAGTTGGATACTCGATTCATTACGCAAGAAACAGTATTAAGTGTAATCGACGAGAAAAAAATGAATATGAACAAAGAAAATTGAAATTCATTCGATTGTGCAAAAAGTTGTTCGATAGTCGTTGTGGCCTTTTACTTGTACTTTTGTGTTCATTTTCCGTTCATTATGTGTTACATTTACTTGCGACATCTTTTACCACCAAATATTCAATCTCATTTAGAGAGCCACCGATCGAAAAATGGTCTGATCTTAAAGTCGAGGGATCGACCTTCGAGTGTGGATCAGATAAAAATCAATATTGCTATCATTTCGCTGACAGAGCCCTAAGAGATTCTAACCCACTCTACCCGATAGTTCGAGGTTCGATAACTGGTTACATTAAACCTCGAATAGACAGAGAACGAATTATCCTATTCGAAAGTAATGCTTTCACTCGACGAATTATTCACATCTATTGTAACGCAATGATCAATGTTCGACGCGATCATAATTTCTATGTCCAAACAAGTACGAACTCTTATTATGACACATTTTTCACGATCATTTACAATTCGAGAATGAAAAGTGATCGAAAAAATTGGTTAAAACGTACCTTGTATTCTTGCTTCGAGTACGGATTTTGTCCTGATGCCTATGATCGGACATTGAGAATATTTTTCGAAAAAGGTAAACAACCAATTGAAGGTTCGAACTCGAATGCTCAATGTGACGATTATGTTCAATCAAACGATGGACCAGATAAATTGTATCGACCAATTTCCTTAATCAATATAACAGAAGCACTTCACTTATATTTCTATCTAATTGGATTCTCATGTTCAATATTAGTAATTGAACTTTTATTCCATAAGAAAACATCACAATCATTTGAACTTCAATCAGTCAAACAATTAAATCTAATCGTTTGAAAAGTTACACAACAATTAAGCTTCTCCAACAAACCATTTAATATAATTATTACACAAAAACTTATGTACACCTTTTCAGTTACAAACATAATTACAACCAAATAACAAGCACATATCATTTTCCAATCAACTCAAATTGTAATTAAATCACAAGAAAATTAAAAAGCTCAACAATTAACAAATTTTCTCGGTTAATTTGCCTTACACTCACAAAGAAACATAATCCAAATTGTATTTATCTCCGGTCAATAAACACTAACAGGTAACTATCACATTAGAAAATAGAAGTTAATAAAATAAGTCGTAAAATTTGTTAATTACTTTTGTAACTAATTAACGAGAAAAAAATTCGTAGAAAATAAAATCAATTTGGTTTTCTTTTATTCGTCCGCTAGATGGCGACACTGAATTCGAAAAATTTGCTTTACCTTTGCTGCTCTTCAAGGTAAATGATTCATTTGTTGATGGTTAGAGTTGGTTAAGGGTTTAACTGATTCTTTGTTGATTAGTTAATCATCAAGTGTTTTCCACCACAATTATTGGTTGAATTTGTTTTTTTTTTTTTTCTTTTCTCTTTTTACCTTTTGTATTGGAGAATTGTAGAGAAAATGTTCCAATCTGAATCGCAATGGAATGATTAGCTTTTGATTGTGCCTTCTTATTGTTTCTTATCTGGTGTTTTCCATCTTGATTGTTTGTTTGATTTGTCTTTTGCTCGACAACAGTTGAATGAAATGTTATCGTTCAATTGTATTGGTTTTTATTACCTTTATGAGATTCCCAATGTTCAACAAATTATCATCAGCTTATCATTAGTTGTAACTAATTGTTAATTGGTTACAATGTTACTTCTCTTTTTGTCTGGTTTATCTGGATTATCTGGTTTCATAGAAAATTTTAGTCTCCATCTTGATGAAACCTTTTGAAGGTGAGTTTTATTTACTCTCTTTATATTTATCTCTACATATTCCCTCTTTTTATGTGTATCTCTCTCTCTCTCTCTCTTTCTCTCTCGTTCTTGTTTTATTATATCTTCATCTTCATCTTCATCTTCTTCATCTTTTTCTTCTTCTTTTTCTTCACTTTTTTCTTCCTCTCTTTATTTCAACTTGATTGTTCATTTTTTTTTTCTTCTTATGATTCAGATTGTGCTCTATTCTACCATCTTATTCATTGAAAAATTTTAGCTATATTTTATTTATTAAAATATTCTCTTTTATGTGCCTGGTTTATTCTAGTCTGATGGTTAATTATGTCCGAAATTAAAACCGATTCGACAACATCTCTTCTGATCCCAGTTACAACTGAAGATTTTTCGAAAATTTCATCATCCAGTAATACTCCTGACGATCAAGGCCTCGATCTAACTGAACCTGATAATCTCAGTTCAATACCTTCATCTTCTGATGATTCACCTTTAATTTCATCAGCATCATCATCTGATTGCTTGCCGTCATCATCTATTTCTTTAGACAGTTTATCTTCCAATTCTGATGAGAAAGATGATGAAGTCAAAGAAGAATTCGTTTGTCTATCAATTGAATTGCCTGAAAAAAACACACAACCCGATGAAGACACCCCTGAATCATTGCCAGCTCAACAACAACAACCACAACAACCACAACAACCACCACAATCATCATCGCCACCTCCACCAGCAACACCCCAAGAACCAAAACCTATTACACCAATACCTACACCGAAGGTCAAATCGGTTAACGAAATGCCGATTGATTACTCGAAATTAGATAAAACCTTCTCTGTGGATTTTGATAATTGGGAAAATCCTAAAAGAAAAGGTTTTTTTTCGTGTTTTATCAAACCCGATGGGAAACTAAAATACATGCAAGGACTTCAATCTTTACGCTATCTGAAACTTCCGGCTGATTATATTGTATCTATCAATCTACGAGATGGATACACGAAAGATATTAAACTGGTTCATCCAAACAATGACCCAGAAAACTTATTACGATTTATTCTAGATAACAAGTATGATCTAAGTAAAGATAACGACGGCGATGAAGAAGATGATGAAGATGATGAAGATGAAAATGGTTCAAAGGAAAACAGGCCAATAGCAGATATAATAAGTACTTCTGAAACCTTGACCTTAATCATGTCAACACCATTTTCCAAACAAAAAGCTTGGACATTGATTGGAGTCAATGTTGGCGGTTCTCTGATTCTCAAGGAAAAAGAGACCTCAAAATCGACTAAAAGTGTTTACGAAGATCGCAAATTTCTTGAAGCAATGGCACGACGCAACGATGGTTCGAAAATTCATCCCGAAGGATATGATTGGTTCTACACTGTATCCCGAGGGAAAATTGGAAACCATAGGCTTCTATATTCGTCAAGGATAAGTGGAGCAATTAACAAGGAACAAGTTGATCATCCAATAGATTCGATGAAATTTGTCTCAACCCAATTACGATCCGTTGAGTGGAATCAATCATCAAAATCACGAACCATTTTCTGGCGTAATTCAGGATTGAATTTATATTGTTCAACTTTACTCGATAAAATTGATTGTATAATTTACGGTGAAAAGGAACCAGGTAACTGGATTAAAGAGGTAAAGGTAATGGGACATCACGAAATCGCCAAAAAACATCACAATTGGTCACCCAAAACTTGTATTGATTTTATGGATAACTTTTTGAACTTTATTCGAGAAGCATCAGAATCATCCCAAGAATCTGTTCCGTTTGAGGTCACTTTTGTCCCACCCAAAAGTAACATTGGAAAGGTCATGATAAAAACACTCGAAGAACCTTTCGAAAAGTATTTCCCGTCCTGGTATTTGCTTGACGAATCGCCTGAAGATTAAAATTGACAGTTAATTGTTGATATCCTCTTCATTTAATCAACTCAACTGTCAATTTAGCCTTTTAATTTTACACCAATTGCTTTTTACTGTCTCATGGTTCTCATTCATGTATATGCAAACAATTGTACAGTTTACCAAATAATTTTACATAATTAACTAATTGTAATTGTCTCATTTACTAATTGTTATCGTAATATTTACAATAACAACCATGGTATGTATACATTGAACAATTGTTGCTCAACTTATAAAGATTGACAATTAAGTCATTCAACTTAATTCATCTTCATTGATTAACTTTTATTTAATCACCTTTAATGTCTATTGGAATCACCATTTGATTAATTGTTTCACTTTCGCCATTCAATTGAGTGTTGATTAAATTTATCATCACGTTAGTTGAACAATTTAACGTAATTCTTTCAATAGTTAACCATTGAGCATAATTCATTGGATTAGATTAGATTATGATTACAATTCATCGTCGTCATCAACAAATTTTCTGCTAATTACTATCCTCTTTGATTGTCACTTCCTGATTAGGTTTTTATTTATCGAATCTCTTGATTGGATTTAATTTAAATCGCTTCTTTTGATTTCTATTATGGATAATCTGTTAGACTATTATCATCTTTGGATTATCTTTCTATTAATTAACTGTTAATCTTTTGATTTTCATCATTACGAAAACGATATTCTCGATTTGGACATTCGTTTAGACCGAATCAGTCCAACTTTTAGAACGGGATTTTGATCTTCATCGAGTTTATAATTTTCGAACTTGTTTTCATGAGAATTTAATTTCAGAGAATTACGATTTTGGACCAATATTGAAGTTTCGAAGTTTGTTTCAATCAAATCATTGGATTCATCGATTAACAATTAAACAATTTGATCTTTAATTGTATCGGTCAGTTTGTCCATCGACTAAGAGACTTGATTGATAAAGTTGATTGTTGATTAGTAACTTTGATTACAAGTTGACTAGATTATGATCAGTCGGTTGATCAGTTTGAAACTGATCATATTGCGAGCAATTTACTGATTAGAATGACTAATTAAATTGAAACTCGATAATCACAATCTGATTTCAATGAAATCATTCATGTCTCATTTTATTGATTAACTGGATTAAAATTGTGACTGGTTAAGTATTTTGAACCATCAATTGAATGAAAACAATTACAACAATTAACATCTTAACCAATTGATAACTTTAACATCAATCAAATAATGTAATCGAAACAATTAATAAACAATTAAGATTAACATTTCTTTCATTTGAAAACATTGTACTTTTTGTTTCAACAATCAATTGATTTAGTTATCTTTAATTAAACTAATCAATGATCCTGTTTATGATTAGCTATTTACTTTAATCATTAAAATTAACTTTAATCACAACAACAATTAATATCACCACTTTAACATGTGATTTAAATTGTAACATTGATTGTAAACAAAACAAAAAAGTTCAAATTAAAGTTTAATTTTTAAATTTATTAAAAAACAATCAAGAAAAATTGATTAAAATTATAATTATAATTACAATTATTAATTGTAAAATTTGCTTTTTCAATCAATGAATTAACTAATTAAACACAGACACAATCAGTTAACTGGTAATATTAAACCAATAGCAATTAACTGTTGCTTATTAGTTTAGTTGCTAAGCAATTTGATTATATTTTCAAACTAATTAAATTTGATTTGTTAATTATTTTCAAGAGCACTTATTATATTGATTGTATGTCCAAAGTGATAATCCTTACTGGTGATTTTCAAGCGATTTAAGGTTAATTGTTGTTAGAAATTAAATTAACCATCTTCGTCTTATTCAAGATCAACTCTTTGTTTTCCCTTTTAATTGTAAACAATTAAGTATCGATATCAAATATATCGTATCCAGATTCGTAATGTTGTTTACTTTTGAATATCAGATGAGACAATTTATCAAAAACACTTTCATCATTTAGTTCATTTTTTGTTGTTGCTCTTGTTAGTTGTTTAATTGTTGTGGTCTACAGTTAATTATCATCAAGATTTGGGCTTTAAATTGTTTTGATTTAGTGAATTTTTTTTACTGTTTATGTTGTTGTGATCATGTTACCAAGTTGCCAACAGCGAGATGACCGTTTACCTTTGGTCAAACATCTTGGGCCGAGTTTAATTTCCCGTCTTTCTCTTAGTGAAAGGCCAAGAGTGGCTAATGGTGCTGATGATAATGACGATGAAGATGATGATGATTCATTTAATGAAGTTGTTGGTACCATGAGGATTGATATCAGGCGACTTTTGAATCAACAGTTTTCAACTCGAATTCAATTCTCAAGACCAATACGATTGGGTTACTATTCAGTTTCTTATGATTTCGCGAGAAATATGGACTTTGTTCAAGACGCTTCGGCTCTTCGGTACTTGTGTTGCCCGAAAATGGACAGGTCAACATTAATCTTCTCACAGATTTTGATGCCAATTCAGTTCCTGGTCGTCGAGGTGCTGGTGGTGGTGGTGATTCTAATGGTCATCGTCGTAGATTTAGAAGTCCACAAAAGTCGATGCATTTCCTTGAATGGATTTCCGCTAATAAAAGGGATCTAATGACCGATTCACCGATAACCGATGAGGCCAATGGTGGTGTTTTCGATCCAACAAAAGATACATTCGCTGATTTTGTCTGTGATTCATTCGTGTTAAGGTCAATCATGTCCACTCCTCACATTTCATCCGATGACACTTGGTCCATTGTCGCTGTTAAGATGCGAGGTATTATTTATTTAATTGAAGGTAACGGTCAATCATCTGTACGGCCATCTTTACGATCATCTGGTCGCTCATCATCACGATCATCTGTATCATCATCTGGCCGATCTTCCGGTCGATCATCATCAAGATCATCTAATCAATCGGGACCTCGAAATTCAAACACTGATCCAGTTTTCTCTGCCGCCTCATCTCATGCTGGCCTTAAATTTAAAGAGTTACTATCAGCTCGATTTGATGGAAGCCATAGTCCAGTTAACGGTAAAGGAAATCGTGATACCTTTTGGATGGTCTGTAAGACCAATGTTGGAACTAATCATCGAGTACTTTACAATGCTCGAACTGATTGTGCTCTAGATGATAAACAATTGTCCAAAACAATCGATGAGGCCGCTTTTGTGGAGATACGAACTCGACCTGCTTCAATTAATGAACAACATTGGGAAAAACGAGCAATCGCTTGGTGGATAACCTCAATTCTAAGCGGTACCAAGTTAATTTTTTGCGGTGAACGTGATGATGATTTTTTCGTTCGTACTGTGACCAAAATTTACGTCGATTCGCTGCCCAAACCAAGGTTCAAATGGTCACCCAAAGCTTGTGTCGATTTTCTCGATGAAACCTTGACCTTTATCAAATCAATGGTTCTCGAAGATATGAAACCTTATCGATTTAACAACACTCAAGATAAAGTGATTTGTACCCGATTAGATGAACCCGTTGATAAGTACATCTCATTTCGATATATTGAACATTCAATGTACGAATTTCGAGATCTTATCCCTCAACATCAAGACGACACCGAGACGACCATCAGCACCATTCAAAGTGACCACGAACCGGAAGAGATCAAAACTGAGCCCGAATCAACCTGATCACCGTAATGCACTTACGGTTTTTTCATTAAATCATCAAAAACAAAACAAAAACCGTTAACTTGATCATCTTTTTTTCAATCGATTAATTTTCCTTTTATATTATCCTTAATTGTCGTCTAATCCCTTTTACTGATTACTTTATATTGTAACTTGATCAATTATATTATCCTCACATTAATTGTTTTGTATCGAGCTTTAATTGTCCATAAATTGGTCACATTTTTTGGTAACAATTAGCAAATTGGTATTGGTCTGTTATGAACAATTAAAAACTAACCATTTGCCTCTCAGCTAAATTACTTAATCATCTGTTTCACCTTGACCATTATAACTTGAGGTCATTTCCAATGGATTAACTAATCACAAAACAATCTTATTGACAAATTGCTTTTTAAAGCTATTTAATTGCTCAATCAATTGTGATTCTATCTAGATAATCAGTTGATTGTTAAAGTATTTGATATTTAAAGATATTTACCTGTTAGATTTTCATTTAAATTGTTTGTTGTCATTTAATTGCAATTACTAGGAAACGAATGCATTTTTAATCCAGTTACCGAAGTGTTCATTTGATTGTAATTTTATTTTTGTACAATTTGTTTAATTGTGTTTGTTGTTGGTGAAAATGTCACAAAGACCATCGGAAGAGATTGACTCAAAGCCTCAATCTTATATTGTTTCACCAACGTCAACAATTAACAGTTTAATTTCTGATCAAAATTCCCTTTCGTGTTTGATTGATTCAATTTCCGTTTCCAATTTTCTACAAGGTTTGACCATTAAACTGCCAATCATTTGCACGTTACCCGAACGGCTTGGTTACTATTCATGCCGTTTACGAATTGACGGAGAAACGGACTCGTATCACCCGAATAAGGCATCGCTCCTCTATTTGAGGTCAGATTACCGTCAACTTAGAAACGTTGACCTGTTTGACGGAATTTCATTTGATAGAACAAGACGAATTCTTCCCGAGACTGAACACATTTTCCGTTGGCTTCACGAATCTCCCGATTATGAGTCCTTTTCGGACATTCAGTTTGTTTGTTCAACCTCGCAAATTTTAAGCTCAATGCTGAGTATCGCTTACAATGGAAGCGCTTCTTGGTCATTACTTGCAATCAGAATTGGCCGGACAATTTACTTGACCATTAGAGATCCAAACATTTACATTAAACGACCTGGACCATTGAACGCTACAAAATTAGCAAATGCACATGTTGACCGGAAGTTCACCGAGTTGGTTGCACTTCAAGCTAACGGTATGAGGTCAAGAACTTCACCAAGTGGTAATCGTGATTCATTTTACACGGCCAACAAACTGGACATTGGACAATATAAGATAATCTATCCTAATCGTGTTGATTGTATCGTCGATTCCGAGCAATACAATCAACCAATTGAACAAATGAAATTTGCTCTACTTCGTAATCGACCTTGCGATTGGGATCAAGAACCTGATGCCAATGTTACTCGAGCGATTAGTTGGTGGATTTCATCATTTCTCTCCGGTGCTGAGACAATAATTATTGGAGAAAAATCTAAAATATTCGAGATTCGAGATATAACCACAATGAGAGTCGATGATCTGTTGAAAGTTCAAAGATCAAATGGCTTCAAATGGACACCGAAAAAGTGTATCGATTATTTAAAGAAAGCGCTAGCCTACATTGACCATCGCGTTGAAGAGGCAAAGGTCGTTTATCGTTTCCGTTGGAATGGAACTCGGCAAAACTTTGAGCACAGAAAATTAAGAGAATCACCCAGAACTTTTATTCCTCACTGGTACCATGTTCATGGAAAACTTTCTTAACTTATCCTCGAAATTAGCACCATTTTATTGACCATAATTCATATTCATCGTCACAACAATTTGGACTTTAATGACCTTTAACGCAACTCGAATGTTCAAATTATTTGGATTAAGATTAATAACTTAATTTACTCACAATTTTTGATCTCATTTTAACAAACTGACCATTGGAATATGAATAATTAATAAATCCAATTACTTGACCAATTAAGACAATTGTTTGTATCGATTTATTGATTTTATTGGATTAAATTTCCACCCAAAATATTTACAATTAAATGGATTGGTGATTGAATTTGATTTCCAACTCGATTTGTTTGATCAGATTTGTTCACGTTGATCAATACAATTGGATTACGATTAATTGTGACGTTGATTTAGTATCAAGATAAGAGTTGATATCTTTGTACTCGATACTTAATCACATTTATAAATTGCTCAACAATTTAGTCTAATTGTTTCAGTTGAATTTAAATTGTTTCCCAGTTAACACCGAATCTTAATTGTTGTTTAATTCTTACCAAGGTTAAAATGACTGATTCTCAAGGATCTAATTCATCTGAGGAAATTGTCAATACAAATGACAATTTAATTTCTCCACCATGTTTAATAACAAAATTAGTTGACGCTTTTTCGGTTTCAAATTTTCTCCCGTCAATTTTGACCTTGCGATTACCGATTATTTGTGCTTTACCCGAGCGACTTGGTTACTTTTCTTGCCGTGTCAATCCTAATGGAGGGTCAGACATTTACTATCCAGATAAATCGTGTTTACCTTACCTGAGGCCAGATTATTTTACTTTCAAGAACATTAATCTACTCGAGAATGTGAGTGAACAGTTTTCGTTTTCATATCGTATTCCCGTTGAGACTGGACACATATTACAATGGATTCAGAATTCACCTGATCGCGGTTTGCGGTCAAATTTCAACTTCATCTGTACAACTTCACGAGTTTTAAGGTCAATATTAAATGTCCCTTATAACGATGGTGTTTATTGGACAACGATCGCCATTAAACTTGGATCGACCATTTATCTTTTCTTCCGTGATCCAAATACCCGATCTCGAGCCGATGAATTTCTCAATACTGCAAAGGTTAAAAGCACCATTACTGGTTTACGATTTTCCGAAACGATAACAGTTAAACCCAAGGAAATGAGACAACAATTTAACCTTAACGGGAATCAGAATAGTTTTTACACTGTCAACCAATTGGAGATTGGTAAACACAAGATACTTTATCCGTGTCAAGTTGATTGTACCATTGATCATGGTGAATATGCTAAACCGTATCAGGAGATGAAATTTGCTCAGATCAAAAGTCGATCCTGTCAATGGTCAATTTTACAGAAGGAAAATCATCAGATGGTCAAAACAATCGCTTGGTGGATCGGCTCATTTCTCAGCGATTCAGAGACAATTGTTTGCGGTGAAAGATCAAAATCATTTACGATTCGTGATGTGACAACATTTAGATCCGATTCCTTGTTACATGTTCAAAGTGCCAATATCAATTGGACACCGAAAAAGTGTCTCGATCATTTAGATGCTATTTTAACCTTCATTGGGTCAAAGGTTGACGAGGAAAAAGTTGTCTACACTTTCAAATGGAATCGAATCGAGCAACAGATCAGATATTACAAATGTTCGACCCCAATTTCGAAATTCTTTCCATACTATTACCTAAGAGATCTGATCTAGTTCGAGATTGAACCATTGAAACAGATTCTATTGCAAAATTAGAACCCAAACCCGAATTTCTATCATCAGTATTTAAGAATAACCATAATTTTAGCGACGATTATTTTGACCTTCGACAAACAACTAACGAATGTACTTTTATCAAACTATTTTATATTCAGAAATTTTCACGAGATTAAATGAATTAATTTATGCAAAGAAAATTGAAAAAACAATCGATTCCATTTATTTCAATGTAATTGGAATTTTCGTTCACTTAGAACAAGTCGAACTTACTTTTGATTCCGTTTCGAGGTCTGAGTGAAAGTCAATGAAAGTTCCCTTAGGGAACTGGTTGCTTTCGCTCGATGAACCAACGGGGAACATAATTTTCCACGGGCTCATCCAATTTAGAATAAGATGGTTTTCCGTCCGGTTGATAATAGAAACGATATGGAACCAAATCCTCGACGACCTTTAGTTTGATGACGGAAAGTGTTTGATCCAACCAATTGAAACAAGTATTCGGTTCCCATGGATGTCCAATATGAGGTAAACACTTGACGTCTTCTTGGATAACCTTACCAACTCGATTTCCGTGTGTCTTTTGACCGCAGAGAATTGTTGTTATACCGCTGACAATACCTTCAGCCCACCAATTAGCAGCTCGTTTATGCCAGAACGCATCTCGTCTTGGGTCATTCCAATAATGACTTCGAGTGGCCAATTTAACAAACTTCATCTCTTCAAGCGGTTTCTCATATTGACTTTTATCTTCAAGACAATCAGTTCGATTAGCACAAATAATGGAATGAGAGTTAATTCGAGATTGAGTAACAAGGTAAAACGAGTCACGATGACCATCGGTCAAGGTTGGTACTCTTGTTCCATCAAATCGACGGGTATATTTCGAAATGAACTGAAAACCAGCATAAGAACCAGCGTTCGATGAGCCTTTTTGTCTCAACTTTTCAATTTTTCGTCGATCAGTATCGACTTCTTTTAGAATGATGGACCGACCAACTTTAACGGCCACAATAGCCCAATCATCCTCAGCATTACAAGGAGTGGATAAGATGGTTCTTAGAACACGAGAATGGCAAATAAAGTCAGAACTAAGTTCTGACTCACGGTCAGAAGCTTCCAACACCCATCTAAGCAAAGGCATTTCTTCATGGGGGACACGACCCCATTTGAGGCCATTCGAAAAACCGCCCATCAGGTTGACACGACTATGGCGCGGCTGAGAATAATATCTCAGCGCGGATTTGTCGCTAAAATACGTTTCCCTTGAGGGCCGAAACGACATGAAAAGTAGCCCAACCTTTTGGGTTTCGTGAAGACGACAGAATGACCAGTTGAACTGGAAGCCATTTTAATGAATTTCACCGACCGATAGGTTAAGGTATCTACAGATTAGACAAGGAGACGAGCCGAGAAAATTTCACAATTAAAGTTTGAACTTCAGTGAAGATCGAGAATTAATAGTAGTAATAAACTGCATGTTCCAGCTCATTTTAAGGTTCACTGAAGCTGAAAATTGTTCTGGAACATGCAGTAGGTGCAACTTTTTGTAGGTGTAACATGTAACTATTTACGAATACGTGCTTTTTTTGAGATAAGTAAAATGTAAATACGTGCTAGAAGTTTGATGAACGTTCTAGCGATTTGTTCCAATGATAAAATGTTTAAAAAGTATAAAAGAAAATCAACTGAAACAACAAATATCAGTTGAATAATTTCATTCATTCCATCAAGTTTCCAACAATATTTTGATTATTGGTTAATTTCATCAAGTTTTCAACAAGCTTTATATTGATTATTCAGTTAATTTCACCAAGTTTCCAATGCTTTGAACTGATTATTCAATTTCACCAAGTTTCCAACAAGCTTTAATTGATTATTCAGTTAATTTCACCAAGTTTCCAACAAGCTTTAATTGATCATTCAATTAATTTCACCAAGTTTCCAACAAGCTTTAATTGATTATTCAGTTAATTTCACCAAGTTTCCAACAAGCTTTAATTGATTATTCAGTTAATTTCATCAAGTTTCCAATAAGCTTTGAATTGATCATTCAATTAATTTCACCAAGTTTCCAATGCTTAGAACTGATTATTCAGTTAATTTCATCAAGTTTCCAATAAGCTTTGAATTGATCATTCAATTAATTTCACCAAGTTTCCAACAAGCTTAGAACTGATTATTCAGTTAATTTCATCAAGTTTCCAATAAGCTTTGAATTGATCATTCAATTAATTTCACCAAGTTTCCAACAAGCTTAGAACTGATTATTCAGTTAATTTCATCAAGTTTCCAATAAGCTTTGAATTGATCATTCAATTAATTTCACCAAGGTTCCAACAAGCTTTGAACTGATTATTCAGTTAATTTCATCAAGTTTTCAATAAGCTTTGAATTGATCATTCAATTAATTTCACCAAGGTTCCAACAAGCTTTGAACTGATTATTCAGTTAATTTCATCAAGTTTCCAACAAGCTTTGAATTGATTATTCAGTTAATTTCATCAAGTTTCCAACAAGCTTTCTTCGAATCGATTGGATAATTCCATCAAGTTTCTAGTAAGTTTTCACTCGAATATTTCATTAAATTCATCGAACTTCCAACAAGTTTATATTTAAATCTTTTCGTTAATTTCACCAAGTTTCCAACAAGTTTATATCTAAATCTATTTGATATTTTCATCAAGTTTCCAACAAGTTTTTCCTTGAATATTATTTCAATTTCACCAAGTTCCCAACAAACTTTTGTTTGAATCGTTTGAGTTATTTTTCTTTAGTTTTCTACAATTGTCATAAAAACGTAATGTCTCGTTCAAATTTTGTTTCTATATCTCTTCACAGAATAACTATGAATACAACAGTAAAAAAAATGAAAACCAAGAAGACTGAAGATCTTCCAGCGATAAATATAGCTGAAGCTATTAAAAAAGTTAGCAAAAAGAAAGCAGAGGCTATCAAGGAGCCTGAAGTCCAGGAACTCGCATTGAGTGAATCAGAAGATGAAGTTGAATCGGTAACTTCTGGAATTTCAGCGGGAACTTCTTATAAAGCAAAAACTGTTGAACAAGATCAAGATAAAAAAAGGAAAATTGATTGGGAACCGATAAAACTAGACCTGACTAACGTTCCTGGTAATCGAACGATTACAACTTCGGATACAAGTTTCCAAGATAATAAATTTATTGTATCAGATAACTTGGTTTTTTTCACGGATCGATCAAACTGTGGTGGAAAAGTTTGTAAAATAAGGAAATTCTGGTTTAAAAACGGTCAAGTGGAGGCATCGAGTTCTGGGGGAGAATTTTACCGTGACGATATACCTAAATTTATAGCTCATCTCCAGAAAGTTTACACGAAATGGACAACTCAATGAAAGAAAAACGAATATGAAAACCCAAAACTTGAAACTGAAATACTGCTTTGAAATAATATTTTACTCAAATTCAATCAATAAATAATTTTGCAAATAATTCAAGGATATTTTCACTCATATGTAAATTTAATACTTTAGATCGTTTTATTGTTATAACTAATGATTTCAATGAATCTCAAATATTCTGAATGCTCGACTGAATGATTTATATTAGACAAAAGTTCTGAATAGTTTTCTTGATATGATTAACATGTAAAATGTTTTAACGAATTTCAAATATTCTGAATGATCAACTGAATGATTTATATTAGACAAAAGTTCTGAATAGTTTTCTTGATATGATTAACATCTAAAATGTTTTAACGAATTTCAAATATTCTGAATGATCAACTGAATGATTTATATTAGACAAAAGTTCTGAATAGTTTTCTTGATATGATTAATATAAAATGTTTTAATGACACTCAAATAATCTGAATGATCAACTGAATGATTTATATTAGACAAAAGTTCTGAATAGTTTTCTTGATATGATTAACATGTAAAATGTTTTGACACTCAAATAATCTGAATGATCAACTGAATGATTTATATTAGACAAAAGTTCTGAATAGTTTTCTTGATATGATTAATGTAAAATGTTTTAATGACACTCAAATATTCTGAATGATCTACTCAATGATTTATATTAGACAAAAGTTCTGAATAGTTTTTTGATATGATTAACATGTAAAATGTTTTAACGAATTTCAAATATTCTGAATGATCGACTGAATGATTTATATTAGACAAAAGTTCTGAATAGTTTTTGATATGATTAACATGTAAAATGTTTTAATGACACTCAAATAATCTGAATGATCAACTGAATGATTTATATTAGACAAAAGTTCTGAACAGTTTTCTTGATATGATTAACATGTAAAATGTTTTAATGACACTCAAATATTCTGAATGATCTACTCAATGATTTATATTAGACAAAAGTTCTGAATAGTTTTCTTGATATGATTAACATGTAAAATGTTTTAATGACACTCAAATATTCTGAATGATCTACTCAATGATTTATATTAGACAAAAGTTCTGAATAGTTTTCTTGATATGATTAACATGTAAAATGTTTTAACGAATTTCAAATATTCTGAATGATCGACTGAATGATTTATATTAGACAAAAGTTCTGAATAGTTTTCTTGATATGATTAACATGTAAAATGTTTTAATGACACTCAAATATTCTGAATGATCTGCTCAATGATTTATATTAGACAAAAGTTCTGAATAGTTTTCTTGATATGATTAACATGTAAAATGTTTCTATGAATCTCAAATATTCTGAATGATCAACTGAATAATTTATATTGAAGAAACGTTTTTGTATAGTCTTTAGTTTATCATGTATCGTTAAATGAACAAAAGATCAAACCTAATATAATGACTTAAATGAAATTAACAGAATATATTTTCAACATGCTGATTCTTTATTTTTTTTCTCAAATGTATTTTTATCTTTATTACAGATAGAGTTATTCATTACCAGTTGAACCAAAACCTGAAGCGTTTCTTGAAGTTTCACAAGGAGCTTCAGTGGTTTGTTTCAGTTGGTTTACATATGATTTAAAATGAATTTGAGCTACTGGTAAGCCTTCTACAATTTTATGTACCTTATTGTTTCGGTTATGAAGAATAATATTTATTTCTTTCGAAGCATTTTTTTTTATAATTGATTCGATCACGTCAACACCGAAATCAGCAAGCAATCGAGAACCAATGAGATGAGCATAAACATTTTCGGGTAGAGATAATCCAATGTTAGTTGGATAAACAGCTCTTTCACCAGGTTGTAAAGTAACATCTCTATCAGAATATAAATAAAACTTTGATATTCCATCAGACGGTTTTGCCATATGAACACTAATTTGCTCGATGGTTTTCATAACTTTCACCGATTTATTGAATTCAGAGTTAATCGGTTCAGATCCAGTAGATGAATTAGGAGCAACTGAGACTTTACAATTTTTTTCAGGTTCTTTTCCATGTTTAAAGATGAGAACTTCTTTTGGCTCGTGAAACGGTTCGAAAATTATTTGAGAAAACCTTTCTCCTTCTTTTATAACTTGAGAATTATTACTATTATTTATAATCAAAACCTTAACTTCTCCATGAAAGTCTGGATCGATCACTCCAGCACCAACATCCAAACCTTTCAACGCAAACGAACTTCTAGATGCTATTCTTCCGTAAATTCCATCAGGCATTTCGAGCGCAATTCCTGTTCCAATTATTGCTCTTGACCAAGGGTTGAGATTTTTAGATTCAATTGCATACAGATCCCATCCAGCAGCATTCACTGTAGAACGTCGAGGGATTTTAGCGATAGAGTTTAACTTATAAAAAGAAACAGATGAGTTGATTATATTCATTTTTCAAAACTTTTCACTGGTTAAAAAAGAACAGTAAGATGTTGTTGGTGAACTGAATGAAGTTTAAAGATTTTATTTAGTTTATATACACTTATCAAATCCCACCCATTTTTCTTCATGAACTCAATAATTGTAATAGATAAATTTAAAATTCATAAATGATTTAAAAGACGTGATTTGAAGATTAAAAGATAACGAGCTTATCAACTAAAACCAATCAAGTTAAATTATTCAACCATATCAGATTCAAATTATATTTTCTTATAACCATATCAGATAAAAATAGTACAAACAAATTATATACTATGAAATGTTTAAATTCAATGTTTGTAGTTAACTAAACCGTGAGTAAAATCAGATTAGATTATTCAGTTGAGATAATTATAAAATTGCTTGATCAAACATTAGATAATTAATTGAAGTTGTTAAATTAACCTTAACAGAAATAATATAAAAAACGCTTTTAGTATTAAGAATATAATCAAGATAAGCTCTTTAATATACAAAACGTTCACATGTTCAAACAAGCATATATAATTTATCAAACATGATCTTTAAAGTTCTAATTTGATCTCTCAATCATGGAAGGAGATTTGTTTGAAATCTAAAAATCTAAGTTTTTATATTTTGATACCTGTTAATATCATATTCATGAATATAATTGTGTTTAATTAAAATTTAGAGTTCACACCCATTTGAAAAGTTAAAAGTATATAAAAAAGAGTTGGAATTGAAATAATCATCAGTATTGCAATACTTTTGATACATCAAATGTCTAAAACTTTTTCACGTTGTGCACATTGTAGTAAAAAATTCAAAAAAGAAACAAATCTTATTTTTCATCAACAGTTATGTAAAAGTACTCAAGTTTCTGTTTCACGAAACCTAAAATTGAATTTACCTGGTGATTTTACTTTGCAAAAACAAGCCTTTTACAAATCTTTGAATGTATATTATAAAAGTTTTACTGAAAATTTCTTTGACATCGAAAATGCTCTTAAATCTGAAAGTGGTAATCTAAAACAATTGCTATCAACTTTTCTTGAAGTCTTAGGATTGTTAAAAGTGCAAATTGGAATCTGTTGTGAATTCTATAGATATGATGGCTTTGAAATTGTATGGATAGATCCAATGTTCAATTCAAGTTTGAAGCCACTTACCTCTATTGATCTTTATAATCAATTTCTCGATGATTGCTATTTTGAAATATCAGTAGACTTTGATTCATTCAATCAAAAAGGTAGTGGATGGATTCTGAATAAGGTAAAACTCATCGAAATTCGTATTGGCAAGTATATTCCATTACGTGGAGGGTGTAAAAAGAAATCATTACCTGGATTTATTTCATCGAAAGGAGCAATAATTCAACTTGAAGCCACAACTGACTGTTTCATGTGGAGTGTACTCGCTGCTATTTATCCAGTTCAAAAAAACGCTTCTCGATTATCTAAATACATCGCACTATCACAAAATCATAACTTCAATGGTTATAAAGGTTATGTTGAACTTGATCGCATTCAATTTTTTGAAAAGAGAAATTCTATTTCAGTTAATGTTTATACTTTCTATTTTACTGGAAAAATGGAAGCTCCGATGCCACTCTACGTTTCTAAGAAACGTTTTGAAAAACATGCTAATTTATTATTATATGAAGACCATTATTGGCCAATTAAAAATTTCAACCGTTTAATTGGAAGTAAACAATCTCGTTATCACCATTTTTGTGAAAATTGTTTAACTGGATTTTTAACATCTGAAAAGTGCTTTGAACATACTAAAGACTGTTACAAATTCAAGCCATCTAAAATTATAACACCTGATCTTGGAACAAGAATGTTTTTCAAACAATATGGAAAAATGGTAAAATATCCGTTTATAATATATGCTGATTTTGAAACGCTATGCAAACCTGTTGAAAGCTGCGTAAATCGAAATACGTTTGAATATCAAGAGCATGTTCCTTCAAGTTTTGGCTATGTGATTGTAAATAATCATGGTAAAATTGTTAAATATGTTTCTCATCGTGGTCCCGATAGTGCTGTTGTTTTTTTGAGATCAATCAATGAATCATGTGAAAAAATCATAAATGCAATCAATCGGAGATTTTCACAGCTCAGGATGACGTTAAAAGATCAACAAGCTTTTGAATACGCAACGAAATGTCATATATGTGAAACAGACTTTATTTCCGGTGATACAAAAGTGAGAGATCATGACCATTTCACGGGTTTATTCAGGGGTGCTGCTCATGGTCGTTGTAATTTACAATTACAAATACCTGAAGACATCCCAATCGTTTTTCATAATTTAAAAAATTTTGATGCTCATATATTGATAAAAGCTATACAAACTAAGATGTATAAACAAATCAATATCATACCTCAAAATACTGAAAAATACATTTCATTTTCATTTGATAATATAAAGTTTATAGATAGTTATGCTTTTTTGAGCAGCTCATTAGATATTCTGTCTCAAGATTTAGATGAAGCATTCAAAAATTCATTTTTATTACAGCAATTCAGACCAGAAGATCTCAATTTTGTATCCGCTAAAGCATCTCTCCCATATGACTATCTAAATCATTTTGATCGATTTGAAGAGACTAGTTTACCTTGTTACGAATTCTTCTATAATAAAATGAAAAGAGAAAATATCGATAGAAATGTATATGATAACATGATAGCTCTTTGGAATCATTTCAAGATACAGAATATTGGTGAGTTTCAAGACATTTATCAAAAAATTGACGTTGTTTTGTTAGCAGCTGTTTTCGAAAATTTTAGAAATATCAGTTATGAACAATTCAAGCTTGATCCACCTCACTTTTATTCAGCACCAGGATTAACTTGGGCTGCAGCATTAAAGTCAACAAAAGTGAAAATTGATTTATTGAGTGATATTGACATGATAATGCTTTTTGAAAAAGGAATAAGAGGTGGTATTTCATCAGCATCGAAAAGATATGAGAAAGCTAATATTCCTGGAACTGAAGATTTTCAACCCGACGAAGAAGCTAAGTTCATAACATATCTTGACGTAAATAACCTGTATGGTTTTGCTCTACAACAACTCTACCAATATCAAATTTCAGATTTATTGAAAATACTGAATTTGATCATATATATAATCAATGTATCAATTCAAATACCGATGAAGATGAAACTGGTTATGTATTCGAAGTTGATATAGACTATCCTCTTCATCTACATGATCTTCATAAAGATTATCCTCTAGCCCCTGAACGCATCTCAATAGACAATGAACAACTGAGTCAATTACAGCTGGATATACTGGATAAAACACAAAGACCACGAACAAAATGTGAAAAACTGATTGCAACATTTCTCAAAAGGGAAAAATATGTTGTTCATCAAAGAAATCTAAAGTTTTACGTTAAAAATGGAATGATCGTAACAAAAATCCATCGTATTGTTTCTTTCAAACAATCTTGCTGGCTGAAAGACTATATTTTACTCTGTACATATAAGAGAATGGCCAGTAAATCTAATTTCGAAAAAAACTTTTGGAAATTATTAGTTAACGCAATCTATGGGAAATCAATCGAAGATGTTCGTAAACATACTGAGATTAGATTAGAAACATCCCTTGATGGAACAATCAAACAAATGCAAAAGCCACTCGTTGAACGTTTTTTTATTCTAGATGAACAAAAAGCACTCTTCAAGATGCGAAGGAAAAGAGTGTATCTTAATAAACCAATATTTGTGGGTTTTACTGTTCTAGAAATATCGAAATTACACATGTACCAGCTGCATTACTGATGCTGTTGCTTGCTGATGTGTTTAAAACCTATTATGACAAAAGGATCGAGTTACTTTACACGGATACTGATAGCTTCATTTATTCAATCAAAACTGAAAATATACACAACGATTTTCATCATTTATCATGCATCTTTGATTTTTCTGATTATCCAGTTGATCATTCAAGTAAATTACAAAATGATATACACAAAAAAAAGTTGGGTTATCTTAAAGATGAGATGAATGGAAAAAATATACTGGAGTTCATTGCACTCAAATCTAAAGTATATTGTTTCCGAACTGATGAAACAGTTAAAAAAACAGCAAAAGGTGTGCAAAAAGTGGTACTTAAGAAGATGGTTACATTCAATGACTACAAATCAGCCTTGATCTCACACGAACTACTTTATCAGAATATGCGTTCTATTCGAAGCTTACGTCATATAATAAGCACAATCCAGACAAGGAAGCTAGCTTTGAACCCATTTGATGATAAGCGCTATTTATTGGAAAATGGAATTGATACACTACCGTTTGGACATTATTTAACTCAAAATCATTCATGTGAGAAAGATCAAATAGATAAATAAACCAGTTTTGTCTTTATGTTTCATATAAGAACGAATCACTCAAAGTTAACCGACATTCGTTTCAACAAGTGTTAAGTGTTAACATCTCAATTCAACTATTTATATTTATATAATATTTAATGTTTTTTAATTCACTTGATTGTCCTAAAGTTTGTAATATTGTAACATTGTGGGATTTGAATAAAAAAGTTTCAATCGTTGGTAAATCAGGAAAAAAGAAAAAGTTCAACGCTGATATTTATAGATCTGGAAGAAGTAGACTTTTGGTTTTCGGATCCGGAAAATTCATTGCAACTGGTTTCAAAACTGAAAAAGAAACAAGTGAGTTTGTCAATAAGACTTTTCCAGAAGCTGTTCTATTGAAGATAGTTAATATTACTGCAAGTAAAAAATTCGCTATTCCAATAAGCTCGAAAAAAATCTTTGAAAGTAATTTGGATGTTGTATATGAACCTGAACTATTTCCGGCATTGAATTGGAAAGAGGACGGGGTTTCCTTTATTTATTACCCTAAAGGATCATTAATACTAACTGGGGCGAAATCTTTGGAACAGTTGGATCGAGCTTATTCATTATTTCACAAAAGATTTTATCAAATTCACAATGATGAATAACATTTGTGCCTTTTTAGACGTTCAAGGGTATTACTGCAATAATAAATTTTACCCACGTGAGATAGCTGTACTTGCCGACGACACTTTGATTTGTTTAAATGTATATACAGGGTTACAATTAAAAACTTTGAATGAATCTGAGAGGAAGCAAGCCTCTTATAATTTTAAATTTACTCATGGTTTGAAATTTGAAACAGATGAAACACATATGCATATAAATCAAGTATCAACATTTTTAAAGCTATTTTATAAGGCTAGAGTTGATTGTGATAAGTTTTTAATCGCTTGCAAATCAAGAGAAGCTGAAGATGTACTAAGAGATGCCATGATCCCTAGAATAAACCTTAATAATATTGGTGCAACCTGGTCTATAATTAAACGAGAATCACAAGCTTGTCCTCTTCATTATAATGATAAAATGAAATGCTCATTAAATATTGTAATGTGGCTAAAATCTTGGGTTGAAACTCAAAAAATATATAAAAATATTGACTAATTCAGAAAAAAAATGTATAAGAACTTATTAATAATAAATTTACAATGAATTATATACTTATTAATAATGGAAGGTTATCAAATTTATTTAAAGCATCCCTTTACAATGGTAATAGCTGGTCCAACAAGTTCTGGAAAAACTTTTTGGTTAAAAAAATTAATCGAGGGAGCATCAAAATTCTCATACCCAGAACCTAAAACGATTACTTACTTCTATAGTGAATATCAAGAATTATTTAATACACTACCTTCTGTTAAATTCATTCATGGGTTTTCAGAAACTTTATTGAATAAATTCGATGGTAGTAGTCCTCAATGGATTATCATTGATGATCTTATGCATGAATCAGTTAATAGTAAGGTAATATCAGAGCTCTTTACAAAAGGTAGTCATCATAAAAATCTATCGATTATATTAGTAATGCAAAACTTTTTTATAAAAGGAAGTGAAATTCGTAATATTACACTGAATGCTAACTATATCGTTTTATTCAAAAATCCAAGAAATAAATCTATTGCTACAAGTATTGGTCGTCAAATTTATCCAGGAAGCATACGAAAATTTCAGGCTGTGTTTGAAGATGCAACTAGAGAACCATTTACATACTTATTTTTGGATATGAAAAATGATACACATGAAGAAGTAAGACTACTAACAAATGTTTTGGAAGAAAAAGAGTATATAACTGTGTATCAAATTTAGTTTATATAAGATTTAAATACAATTTTTGATTATCTAACATAAAATCCGGTGTAATTTTATCTTTAAATTATGGCTGTTTCTGATGCAATAGAAATGTACCCGTACTTGAAAAAACTCTGTAAGAAACATTCAAAAAGTAAACGAGGAAAAATAATTGAAGGATGTCCGAGAAAAGTTTATAAAACAATAAATGAAATTTCCAGAAATGTACTTACAGGTAATATAAGACTTAATAAAAAACAGATGAAAAAAATCAAACCACATAAAACCATTGTGAGGAAATTAGCTAAAAATAGTTCTCTCAAAAATACGAAAAGAATTTTACTACAACACGGTGGTGCTTTACCCGCATTACTTTTACCAGCGATTTCATTACTAGCTAGTGTAGTTACGGAAAAGTTCATAAAATGAATGCATTCACTAAGATGGTTTTAATATCTGAAGATGAATATAAAAATAAATGTCAAGTATTAGATACAAGCATTATGAAAAAAATTATGTCTATGAATATGGATAATGCAACTAAAGTAAAGATAGCTAATAATGCGTTATTAAAACATATATTAAAAAGTCAAAAGGAGCAGAATAATACATTGATAAATGAAAAACCTAATATACCATTAGAAAAAGAGCGTTCAACATCTAACTGGTCTGAAATCTCTGATGATCAGAAATTTGAAAGTATCCTGAATGATTCATTTGAACCTGAAACACAAACACTTACGAACAAGCCGAGTCATAGTGACAATTTTTCTTCAACACCAATTCCATCTTCTACTGTTTCAACTTCAGAATCAACGCAAAAGTCTAGAGCTTATGATTTAGAAAAAGCATTACGTGAAATTCCTTCATTAGTGACAATAGATGGAAAAGTTTTAAGAGCTAATGGAAGTGAGTATCATAATAGTAATATAAAAAGAATTGTCAATTTTTTATGTTTGTTTAAGACTACACAAGCTAAGAAAATGGCTACACCAATAGGCACGGAGCGTGTTATACAAGAAATTGAGAAACTACCTTATCTTTTTGATCAAGTTAATAATTCACCTGCTTTAAGACGATTTGGTGATAAAGGAAAATCATATGAAACATGGAAGAAGCTTTCAGAGATGAATACTTCTCTATCGAAAGACTGGGAGCTTTAGGAGGTGTATATCGATTATATAGAGCTCTTAAGAAAAAATACCCAAGTGTTTCATATTTAAAAGTTAAAAGCTGGTTAGAAAAACAGAATACATATAATTTATTTAAACAAGTAAAGAAAAATTTTAAGGTTACCAATTATCGTGACGTCAATAGATGAACAATGGCAAGCTGATTTGATGGATGTTTCATGGCTTCAAAAATCAAATAACGGTTGTAAATATTTATTAAATGTAATCGACTGTTTGAGTCGCTATGCTTGGTCTGTCCCCTTAAAATCAAAAACCAGTGATGATGTTATAAACGGTTTCAAAAAGATTTTTTCAATGGGAAGGGTACCTACTAAAATACAGACTGATCAAGGCGCTGAATTTAAAAATAGAAATGTTCAACAGTTTTTTAAGCAGAAGAATATTTTTCATTTTACAACAACAGATGATTTAATCAAATGTGCAATAGTTGAACGATTCAATAGAACATTACGAACAAGGTTATATAGATATTTATTTTATAGCAATACACACAAGTATTATGACATCCTTCAAAGTTTGATTAAAAGTTATAACGAGTCTTATCATCGAACTATACAAATGGCTCCATCTTCTGTAACAGAAGAAACTCGTTCTCAGGCAATAATTAATATAAGAAAAACTCATAAAGTAGCTCAAAGCTTACAAAAACCATACACCATCGGAGAAAAAGTGCGTATAAGTAGACGTAAAAAACATTTTGAAAAAGGTGCGACAAATAATTTCAGCGAAGAAATTTTTGAAATTTATAAAGTTAAGAAAACCGATCAAGGATATATTTACCGTTTGAAAGACACTGCTGGTGAATTTATAACATCTTTATTCTATCATTACGAGCTCTGTCCCGCAATTCTAGGCGATCTCTTCAACGTTGAGGTTCTTAAAACACGCATAAATAAAAAAACCAAAAAGAAAGAGTTTTTTGTTAAGTGGATAGGATATCCTGATAAATTCAATAGTTGGGTAGAAAATGTGGAATCAACCTGATGAATATTTTATAGAAGTTGTTTCAAACTCTTCGATGGAACACTTCCCTGAAAATACTTTAGCTAAATTTTCCAATAAATTGCCTCATCCTATTATGTTAGATGGAGAATGGGTAGTGGGTATACAAGAAATCTTTTATCCAGTTGATGTTAAGCCGTCTAAACGTAAACTAACAATTCAACTTCTTACACATGGTTTAAATGATAAGTTGTCTAAAGAAGTTGAACTTGATTCTAACGATGATTTGAATACTATTATTTCTAACATAAATAAGGCTTTCATGAATCTATTTTTATCTGTTGTTGATCAAGGTGAAGGCAATGAAAACAAGGTTAAAAGATCAACTAATGATCAGACCATCAGTCCTGACTTATCAGATTTAACTCTAGAAAAAATTAATCAATTACCTCAAGAAGATCGTGAAAGATTATTACAGAGAGTAAAAAACACTACTCAGACTATTCTTGAAAATTTGAAACAAGAAATGTATAAGTATAAAACAGAATCGACTGATAAACAAGATAAGATAAATAAGTTAGATTCTTCATTGCGACAATATGTAGATGAATTAGATAATCTGAAAAAAGAAATCAAGAAAAAGCAGATGAAAGATAAAGATCTAATCAAGGATGCAAAACAGAATAAACAAATAATAGAAGAAAAAAATATGCATATCAAAAAACTAGAAGAACAAGTTACTGACATTCATAAGAAAAACGAAGAGAATAAAAACATGTTAAAAGCAGTTAAAGTGGAAAATCAACAGTTAGATGCTAAGATAAATGAGAAAAGTAAAGAACTATACAAACTCAATGAAGAATACAGAGCAAGTAATAAATTGCTATCTGAAAAATTAGAAAAACTATTATTAGAAAAGTCGTCTATACAAAAAGATTTAGAAGGAAAAGTCAAAAATAATTACGAATCAAGTGACATTCTCAATTCAAAAATAAATAATTTAAATGAACAAATAGTTAAACTAACAGAAGAGAAACAGAAAACTGAATCAGCTTACAAAAGTCAGAAAAGTGAAACAAACACACAAATCAGTGAACTCACTATGAAATATAATACATGTAAGCAAAATGAAAATAGTCTAGAGTCCTCACTAAAAATCAAAGAAGAAAATGGACTAAATCAAATTCATAAGTCACAACAAGAAATAAATATCCTCAAAAGTGAAAAAACGCAGCTCAAAAATCAAATTCAGACAATGAATTATGAACAAGAGGCTCTTAAAATTGAAATTCAGAGGTTACAAGGAAGAGAACTAGATTTTTTATCTCAAATACAAAATCAAAAAGAGAGGAGTGCCCGTTTACAACAAGAAACTGAAAAGTCACTTAAAGAGCTTGAAGTAGAAAGACAAAAACTACAAAATCAAGAAAATCTACTATTGAAAAGACTTTCTGAACTTGGAATAATGATTAAAGATAAGAAAGGCGAACCTAAGATTGGAATAGACACAAAAATGACAGTTCCTGGATTAACTCATCATAATGGCAAAATTATTGTATTTCCGGGCCGTCACAAAGAACATATTTTCACACCATACTTTTCTGATGTTAATTTCATTTCAGCATTAGGATTTGATGCAAATAGCTATTTAACCATGATTGAAGCCTTCAATGGAGGACAAAAGGCTTTTACTTCACCAAAAAATTGCAATTTGAATTTTAGATCACATTTAATGTTTATTCATTCAGATATAGTTGATGAACATTTTGTTGGAAATAAATCTGCTAGAGTAATGAGAGTTGTTCCTAAAATATGGTATACAATCTGAAATGGTTCATGAAAAGTTTTTGAAACCTTTTTACTATCCAGTACGATCAAACAGAATTGAAGATATAAATTTCATTCTTTCTGATGAAATGGGTGAACTTGTTAAATTTAACTCTGGAAGAGTATTAGTAGGGTTACATATAAAACGTAATTAATTGTATAAGAAAATTAAGATGAATTATAACATTTGATATTTAATTAAAAATGCTTCTGCAAGGTCTATGCTTGTGACTCAGATTTTCGAAACTATTATCATTCTCAAACTGGAAATGGTTTTCAGACATATCGGTTTTCACGGTAGTCCTTACCAAAGAGGTTATGGTTTTGGGAGTTTATTCAAGAGATTTGGTATTCCTGTTTTAAAGTTTTTAGGAAACATGTATTGAAAACTGGAGTTGACATCGGTCAAGATTTTGAATAAGAAAACATTAAAGATGCATTTAAAGAAAGAGCTAAAGGTATAAAAGAGGTTGCTGGTGATTCTTTGAATAAACTTTCGAATTATTTTGAGCAGCAAGGAAAAGGGTTAAAACGTAAACAATATAAGAAAACAGTTAAGAAGGCTAGAATAAAAAGATATTTTCTTCATAATGGAATATTTACATCCTCATCTGTTCCAGCTAACAAAAGTGAACTAGATATTTTCAATGTACCCCCCACACAGGTCGCTATCGACTCTGTTTACGAAACTGACTATAGACCTTCTGCAAGTTTAGAGTCTTCTCGAACATATGAGTTAGTGATTCCAGCATCAGAAGACTTTACAGATCTTAGTGCTACAATGTTACATATGAATATAAATATACTGACAGAGAAAGACAAAGTTGTAAATACTAAGAATTTAATAAAGTTAGTATCGAATTTCGGTAATGCATTGTTCGAACAGATTGATCTATATCTAGGATCAACAAACACTTCACTAGCTAATAATATGTACCATTATCAAGCCTTTCTAGAAGACTTACTCTATAGATACCCTACTAACATTGATGAGTCATTTTTAAAAGATGAAACTGACGTTGTTGAAGATACAACATATGAACTTTATTATAGATTACATCTACCTATTTGTTTACAAGATAAACTTTTAATAAATGGGGTTCCTTTAGTTTTCAGATTTACTCGAAGTACAGCCTCATTTCCTCTTTTAAAATCACAAGAGGGTGATAAGGCTAGTTATTCAAAAAATATCAAATTTTTCTTTACATTTAAAGCGTGTCAAACTATTTCCTGATACAAGCTTCAATAATTCAAACTCTCGAAACGCATCCCGCTAAATACTTCATTACAAGAGCGGACACAAAAAGCTTCACTATTCCATTAGGCGTTTCAACTATGACAATTGAAAACTTATTCGTTGGTCAATTACCTAAAAGAATTGTTATAGGATTTGTAAAAGAAGAAGCACTCAATGGTGATATTAACTTTGATCCATTCAAATTGAAAATTTTAATATAAATCATATTTGTTTGAACATTGATGGAATAATGTACCTGAGTATTCCTTATAAACCAGATTTCATGAAAGGTAACTGTATGAGAGAATATCTAAGTCTTTTAAAGCTCTCAATCAAGATGAAGGAATTCCACAAATAGAGATAACTTATGATCAATATAAGAAGGAAAGGTGCTATTTGCGTTTGATATAGGAGGTCCTCTGGGCAGAAGTTGGTGTTTTATCACTTATCAAACGAGGAAAAGTACGACTTGAGATGGTTTAGTAAAAGCCTTTCGTCTTCAATTAAAGCTATTGTATTTGGTCAGTTTGACAATCTCATCACTATAGATAAAGATAGACAGGTTACAATTGATTATTGAAATGTTGAGTAATTTTGAAATATCTTCTATACTCAAAAACATTAAATGGTTTGGTGGAGTCTTCCGAATGATCGATTACCGACTACATTTAAAAACCTAAAAGTTTCATTATAAATTTAGATCCTAGTTATAAACCAGGAACACATTGGACAGCAGTTCACTTTACTAAATATGGAACAGGACTATTTTTGATTCTTTTGGTAGACAAAGAAGGAAATATTTTATCTTTTAGAAAGAAATGCTAAAAGGGTTCACACATTCAACAGAAAAATATCAAGGTAATCAATCAATGGCCTGGCTATTTCTGTATCCTATTTATTTTGTTAGCTCATCATCCATATCTTTTTAAAACTATTTAAAAATGTAAGTTTTATTCAATGAACGTCGATTGAAATATTTATTAAAAAGTATTTGCATTAAATTTTTTTAATATGATTGCCTTCTTCGGATCAATTTCAGCCTTGGCTGAAATTGAGCCGGAGAAGGCAGTTTTCTACTACTATTAATCACTTCAAGAGTTGATGAGAAAATGATGAACAATAATTAATTATCTTTCCAATTAATCCAACTATCGAATAGAATCGATCTAAAATTCGATTAATTTTCAAAAAAGTCAGTTAATTGGTCTTTGATCCTTGCGAATATAAATTTGAAATTGTTCTCAAGTTTAATGATTATAATAATTAGTCAAAAGATCAAGTGATAATGAGGTAACTGTTGTGCAAAAGCTAATTAACTTGTTGGGTCAGTTGGTGATTTACCTCATAACCAATTATCCAATAGACCAAAGGTTTAAATTGTTAAACGTGGGAAAAAATTAATTAGCAATTAATTGATTAGACCATAGGTTTAGTAATGTTATAAAAAAAATTTAGAAATCAACTTGATCATTTCTGAGAAATGATAATAAAAAACCGTTACTTTGATTAGATTGGCATTGACTTGAATCAAGTCACTTGATTAAAGTAATTAAAAGTTGTCAAGGTTGATTAAATTGAGAAATTCTAATTTCATATTATTCTTGCATAGGTTTAATTAAGAGCAATTAAGGTTGACATTGATTTACAAAGAAATGAGAAAACATTAACAAGTCATAATTAAAGGTAAATTTCAAGATTGAATTTTGGCAATTAGATCAATCGGAGGATCGAAAAATTTTATTGGTCATTTGGTGATTGTCCATTAATGTACCAGGAGGGAATGTGTTTGTCAACTGGGTCGCTTAGTTTTCGAGCCTTAATCCCGGTGTGTGGATCGCAGATGATCTTGTATACGGTCAGTTCCTCAGTGACCATTTCTTTGATAAAGGTCAAAGTTTTTTCGAGAAACTGAACGCAAGTCGATGGTGACCACTGATTGCTCCTTTGGAGTAAAGAATTGGCCTGAATTTGAGACACTTTTTGAACGGTATTGTTTGGCCGTTTATCGCCACAAATGATGGTGTCAATTCCCGAGATTAGAGCTTCGGTCCACCAGCCGATTATACGATTCTGATAGAAACGCCGACGAGTGTTTTTATTGTCGTTCCAATTGTGACCACGAGTTTTAATCTGAGCGAATTTCATTTGTTCAAGTGGTTTCTCAAATTGATTCTCATCAACAATACAATCAACTCGATTGGAATAGAGAAGAGAGTGACCTCCAACCTTAGATCGAGTGACCGTGTAAAATGAATCGCGAGCACCATTAAAAGCGGTCGAAGCTCGACTACCATCGGGATAACGGGTTAGCTTTTCCAAAAATTTGTAGCCAGCATATGAACCCTTAAGCCGATCTTCAATTTGATATTTTACATCATTTCGTCTCTGCTCAGTGTCCAATTCAGCGAGTATAATTGACCCTCGAACCTTAACAGCGATAAGAGTCCAATCGTCTTTCGGAATAAAAGGTGTAGCCATGATCGATCTTATTACTCTCGAATGAAAGATAAAATCAGCAATCGAACCAGTCTCTTGATTCTCTGCAAGAGACTCACTATTATCGATGATCCATCGTAACACATGAATTTCGGTGACAGGAACACGACCGATCAAAGTGGTTCTCGAATAACTTTCCAAAAGATCAATGTCAATATAATCTTCAAATCGATCGAAACAACAATACCTTAAAGATGATTTATCGCCATGATAAGTTTCCGAATTTCCATCTTCATTAAGTTGACACGAAAAACAACCGATCAACTTGGGCTTATCGAAATTCGTATAAGTATCGAAAACATAGTTCAAATTCATGGCCGAGATTTTAATGTCGCCATATTCACGAACGACCAATCGTCCAGCACTCGAAGTTTTAACGGGCACTTTATCCCCACCCTCGGTTAGATCAGTTACTTTATCATCATGAACAGTTTCAACTTGGTCAACATTATCATCTTGAGTTAATGAGCTCGAATCAGTTTTCAAATCACTCGATGAACTTTCAATCTTAATCAACTCACTCATATTGAAAAGAAATCAAAAAAATTAAGAAAATCGGACAAAACTAAACAATCAAGTTACTCGGTCAAATAACAAACACAATTAAGTTGACAATTATCTTGATTCCATCCTATTTATACACAGAGAAAATTTAATTATCAGTTAATGGAAACGTTAATTGTGCTCCAAGATACTAATAAAGTGTTATTCAAATCAATTTATTATCCCGATTGCAGTTAGTTGGTAATTAGTGAGACTAACAGGATTTAAAACCGTTATAATTAGTAAATCATAAGATTAGCGAGACAATTAAATTTAAATGAACATCGGAAGACCTCAACGATTGGGATATTTTTCATGTCACATTTGTCCGGACGGTAAATCGGAAACTTATCATGAAGATAAATCATCATTAACTTACCTGTGTCCAGATTATAATGAGATTAAAAGATTTGATCTAACTAAAGGCTTCGAAGAGATTAAGAAATGGGAACGAGTTTTCAGTGAAAAACTTCATATCCTTCAATGGATTATTGAAAATATCGATAAATTGACCGTCGATTCAAATTCTGGACTTATTGGTGATTTTATTTGTCACTCATCTCGATCATTGAAAACTTTAATGGTCAATTTACTTTACAATGAAAATAAATGGACAATGATCGCAGTTAAAGTTAGAGGGGTAATAATTTTAAACGAAATGGACAATGGTCAGTGTAAGGAAGATTTTAAGGTTCATCGGCTTTACGGTCGATATGCTGGTTATAAGCTGTACGAAATTCTGACCTGTACATTTACTGGTTCCAATTTACAATCGAGCCACGATAATGGTAATCACGATTCTTTTTATACGGTAAACAAATTAAGAATTAACAATTTAACTCTATTGTATTCTGATCGAGTTCATTGTGTTGCCGATAAAAGTCAATTCGATAAACCTTTGGACGAAATGGAAACTGTTCAAATCAGATCGAGACCCAGCATTTGGAGCAAGGATTCTTATCGTTGGTATTGGATACAACGAAAGTGCTATTGGTTAGCCGAAGCTAAATTCAGTGGTAACGATAAAATCATTTGTGGCCTCAAGGGCAGAAACAATCAATTGGATTACGTTGAAACTTTGAGTGCTAATCAACTCGAAAAGGATCAAGATGAAGACTATTTTAGTATCTGTGGTGATTATTTTGTCCAACAATTAAGTTTAATCAAATCAATGGTCAATGAAGAGTTGGTGCCTTTCAAGATTACTTGTGATAATCGGGCAAACCTTAATTGTTTCAAGTTAAATCAGTCGATTGAACAATTTATACCTTCCTGGTTTATTGAAGGTAAATTACCAGAATCGAGTAATTATTGAGTTAATTGTATTATTAGTTTGTTTAACTAAATCAGTTGATTTTTTCTTCTCAGTATCATCATTATTTGTTTTATTTTCCAATTGGACAATTAATTTAAATGATAATTGAGTTAATTGTTATTGAATAAAGTTTATTCAATCCACTATTTTGAGAAGCAATTAAATTTCAATTAGTTAATCATTTTAATGGTAAGATAATTAGGTTTTCATCATCATCATCATCAATATGATGACAATTAATTATGAATTAAAGGTAAACAATTAGCATTTCAAGTTAAATTGATTTCTAAGCTGATTCAATAGTTGACAACAATTAAAATAATTTAACTGTATAAAAGACATGATTGATTTGGTGTAAATTGTTCATTAATTGTTAATCTCTGATTGTGATTGTTTCGTGAAATCATCAAATTAATAAAAAAAATGTCTAAAATTTACTCCATTGTCTTTTCATTGTTGATCGTGTCAATGATTATCTCAACTACTGTGGCTCAACAAGGATCTGGTGGTGCCGAGAGCGGTGCTGGTGCTGGTGCTGGTGCCAGTGGTGGCATTGGTGCTGGTGCTGGAGCTGGAGCTGGGGCCGCAAGTGAAGGTGCTGGATCTGGTGGTATGGGCTCTCAAGGAGGTGCTAAAGGAGGTATTGGAGCCGGTGGTGGTTCCAGTGCTGGTTCCAGTGCTGGTGGAAGTGGAAAGTAAATCGCTAATGTTCAAACTCGAACCGAATCGTTTTGTTTTCTCCTCGACCTAACAAACTAATCTAAATGATCAAATTTCGAGCAGAAATCAATTGTATCTGTATCTCTGTTACTAATGGTGAAAATTAAAATTAATATTACATTCTAATTACTAAATTATCGAAATCATTAACAATTAATTTCTAATCGATAGAAACTCACTAATTTTAACCAACGAGAACGATTTTTTTTACAATTATGTTTTCATCTGATCATTTAATAGTAATTCTTATGACACTGTTGACCACTGGTCAAGTTGAATGTTGATTAACTCTTATTTTCCTCTAATCATTTAAATTTAATCTCCTGATTATATTTAAAGTTGATTAACAAATACTTGTATTGTTTGGATACTAAATGGTTTGTTTAGTTTTGACTCTTAATTGTGTTTTATAATTTTCACGACTAATTATCGGTGAGTTAATTATGCCATGGTTATTGTATCACACTGATGAATTAACTGATATTGTTCAAACTCAACGGAGCACAATTAAGATAATTAAAAGAAAAGGTGACGATGAATTTAATCGTAACCTAAACAACGAAGTGTTCAACGCTTTATTTGACGATGAAGACGATGAACTTAAAGGCGATGGTTTTGAGCGGTGGCGATTTAATTGTCATAACGTTTCCATGGTTGGATTAACGACGAAAAGTGAATTCGCTAAAGGTCATAAACTTCGGGCTTTCTCATTTTTTTCACTGGGTAAATTCGGGGACGGAAGTTACACCCCTGTAAATTCAGAGGTGGACAATATGTTCAACATTAAAACCTCACTGACCACTGCTGATTACGGTTCACCCTGGCCAGAGGTCACGGAGATTTTATTGATTATCCACCGATCATCAGATTCTTTCAAATTATCGGCCGTTCAAGATAAAAGGTCACTCGGTTTAGCTTATGATTTAGACTTACCGATTAGCGAGAAACTTTATCCGGTTGTCCGATTCTCTAAGCCCGGTGAGGTTTCCGTCTTCAAGATGGACATACACCTAAATGAACCAAGTTTGACCCAACGAGATCCCGAAATATTTAACGGTAAATTTTTTCTTCGAACTTTTTTTTTCTCATTCATCTTTCATAATCGAAACATGTCACTTTTTAATTGTTGCTTTTTTGTCCTTCGCCTTTAAAAAGGTCAACAAGGATTCTGGTCAATCACTCAGTATGGTCATCGGAAAACAGTTAAACCTTATCCAGTTCGATTATTTAAACTGGACAATGATCAATTTGATCTTCATGTCAAAGTGAACGATATTATTTCAGCTCGATTGACACAATCGCCTGTCGGCTATCGAGTCGATAAAACTTTCAAAAACTCGAGTCCCGGAGATGCGAACATAATTAAAGATGAATACTTTATATTAGAATGTATCGCCTCCATTAGCGATATTAAATTCGGTAAAGATGAGAATACCCTGATAATGGAAAACACTCGAGGTAATATGGTTCTAAAAAGATTCTGCCCACCCGCTCCTGAACCAATTCGATCTTGTCCACTTCGACGATTGATCATGTTCCAAGTTCGATCATCAGAAAAAGGAAATTGTTGTGATACCGTTTGAAAGTTTTTCTCGAATAAAAAAGTTTTCCAATGGACATGAATTTCTTTCGATTGGTACAAATTGTTGTTCAAACAAATTTCGAACTAAAGAAGAAAAATCGAAATTCTTTTTCTCTCTCAGATTCTCCCTTAATCATTTTCTCTCTCAATAGAGGGTATTAGTTGCTATTAGAAAGAGAGAAAAGAAAGAAAAACAAGATTAGTCTTTCTTTTTTTCTTTCTTTGTGACGTGTAAACAAGAAAAAGGGCTAAGATGTTTATGGATTTTGGCGATGTGTCAATAAACTGTTGTCCGTCAATTTAATTCCGTTAATTGTGTTTAATTAACTGGACAATTTACGCCAATTGTTTGGGTTAATTTTCTTCTGCCAAAAGAATTTCAATCAATTCGATTCTCAGTGTTTTCTGTCATCACTTTTTTCTCTATTCTCACGTGTTAATGTCATCAAATTCTTTGGTGTGTTTGATTGTTTTTCGCAATTTCTTAAACTCTTTCCATCTTATTAGTCTCTTTTCTTGTTAATTGTGACAATTAAAAGAACAATATTCCATTGTTAATGTGATAACCTTCAATTGTTTGGATTTGTTGTTGTTTTTACTCTGATTGATCTTCCAAAACCAAACCTTAGGAATTGTTTTCTTTTTCTTGGTTCTTTGTTGTTTCTTTTTTTCTTTACACTTTCACTTGTATCAATTTCTCCCTCTGTGTTGTATTTATTAAGGTGAAAAGATGTTATCGTCTGTATGACCTTTGTGTTTATACTGATTAGGAAGAGGAGGTGACCTTTGACAATTATGCCATGGGTGAGGTGGATAAATTGATCGCCGAAAGGGATAACCTTAAAGAGGAAATTGAGAGACTTCAAGAGGAGATTAACCTTTCAGCCAAAGAGAAACATCAATCTGCTCAATTGGGTCTTCATTTGTTGGAGGAGAAAAGTAAACTTCAAACTCGATACGATGAATTGGAATCGCTTCATGAATCAACCCGATCAGAATTGGAGACACTTCGAGATGCATTTACTTCCTTTCAAACTCGACAAAAGGCTTCAGTTGACCGAGGAATTGAACAAGAGGAGAGTTTACTTGAAGAATCGGCCTCGAAAGACGCTAAATTTGCTACCGTTTTACTTGAACTTGAACGGGAATTGAAATCGGTTCGAGCTGAATTGGCTCGGGTTGAAGGGGAAAAGGAGAGATTCCTATCTGAACACAATGAGTTAACCAAACAATTGGAGATCGTTGAATGGGAAAGGAAAAACATGAAAATGGAGATCAAAGATTTGAAAGCTCGAGAATCTCGACTCTCAAGTGATATCAATGAATTGGAAGAGGAAAACATTTACCTTCAGAAAACAGTTTCCAATCTCAAATCTAATCAGATAGAATATGAGACAGTTAAACATGATGTTGCTCGATTACAGGACGAAGTTGATCTTCGAAGACTTCAGGTAGAAGAATTTGAAACCTTAAAGAATATCGCTGAGAAACACATGAAGGAAGCATTGGAAGCCCTCGAATCGGAACGGGAACAAAAATATGAACTTAAAAAGAAACTGGATGAAAGATGTTCCGGTGAACCGAAATTCAATGTTACCAATATTGGCCTCAAGTTTCCGGGAATTTTTGATGATCAACTCACGACAACCGATGCGTCTGTTGGTAAAGTTGATGAAGATGACGATGGATCAATACCATTATTACATCAATTGGAATCTGATATGATTAAAGCTCGAAACGAGGGATTGGATAATGATTCTTACAGTTACGATGAATCTCAACCATCATCACTTTTTGGTGAAGTTCATCTGACTGAGATTAAGAAATTAGAGAAAGATCTTGAATCAGCTGAGAATGAGAAGAATCAAATTACCCAGAAACTCAATGAGACTCATGGATTATTGGAATCGACGAAATCTGAACTTTTGGCCCACCAATCGCGATTATCCAAGTTAACTAATCATATCAGCGGGATAATTACCAGTGAAGGTGCCGATCTAAATATGATTAGCTCATTTGAAGGTGAATTCCCTGAATTTAAACAATTTATCGGCCAATTGTGTGATAAAATCCGTCGATCAAAGGAAACCCCTGAAGGAAGAGATGAACTTGATGAGATTAAACGACAATTACGAGAATGTGAAACTCTTCGAGATGAACTTTCCTCTGATCTTGATTTTCTCAACAATTTAGCCGAAAATGCAACCAGCCAATCGTCAGGTACTCTTGATGATCTTAACAGAATTTCGGAACAATTAGCTATTCTTTATTATCACATTTGCTCAGTTTCCGGAGAAGAACCTGTTCGAATTATCTTGGACCATGCAAAAGAGTTCGAAGTACCTTCAATCCTACGAACAGAAAATGCAATGAACGATGAGCGAAGTTATAAAATTTTGGACACTCTAAAATCGGGAATAATGACCTCATGTGAATGTCGTAAAACAATGGAAACAATTGACGATCAAATGAAACATTTAGATTGTGCAGTTGAATCAATTATCGATATAAAATCAGCAACCACTCGAATTAAGAATAAATCTGAGGCCAAATCTGAATCAACGAGTAATCAACAAAACGATCAACAAAACTCCCTCACCTCCGATTTAACCGGAAGTGGGTCACCTTCAATTCGAGGTGATGCTCAAGAAGAATTGATTAAATTGAAAGCTTTACTTGCCACCAAACGTGAACAAATTGCGACCCTTCGAACTGTTCTAAAAACGAATAAACAATCTGCCGAAGTGGCCTTGGCTAATCTAAAATCGAAATATGAAAAGGAAAAGGCCGTTGTTACCGTTACAATGAGCAAATTAAGGAAAGAATTGAAAGCGTTGAAAGAAGACGCGGCCACTTTTGCTTCACTTCGATCAATGTTTTCCGCTCGATGTGAAGAGTATGTCGCCCAAATTGATGAGCTTCAGCGACAATTACGATCATCTGATGATGAAAAGAAAACGTTAAATTCACTGCTTCGAATGGCGATCGTTCAAAAGTTGACCGTTACCCAGAAATTGGAGGAAATGGAAATGGACCGAGAACGAAACAATTACCCATCACTTTCAAATAGCGGCAATAAAATTGGACCTTCCAAAGACGGAGCCTACCGAATGAACTCATCCCGAGGCCATGATCGAACTAGAACTTTATTCGTTCGACATTTAGGTGATCGTCGAACTCCATCTTCGCCAAATCATCACAATTACACCAACAATAGATCTCGAATGGATCGAGATAACAATTAACCAAATCGTTACCACAAATCACCAAATGAACAAAAAACTTTCATTCATCCACAGATTTTGATTACAATTAATGTTCATTAACTAATCTGATTAATTCAATTTCCCAAACTTGCAGGTAATCAAGATTATTGGGATTCTAATTTTAATTTATTTTACATTCACATACAAAATTAATTAATGTGCCAACGATTCAACAGATGATTGGTCAGCCAAAAGGGTCAACAATTAACGACAATTAACCCTCTTTCCAAACTTTGTCTAATTACTTTTTTCTTAATTACAAAAGTTTAATTTTAGTCATTGATGTAAACTGTTGATTGTTGCCATTCAAAGAACCGATTTTTTTTGTTCTTAAATCATTTACACGAAAAACTTTTAATTGTCAACAATTAATTTAATAGTAATTATAACTTGGGAACAATTAATAAGTAAGTAGAGAGAATTGATTAACTTTGAATGTTTAGTAATTAAACTTTTTGCTTTTTCGTTATTTCTTTTCAATGATTACAGGAAACTCTCAATTTCAATTGGAAGCTGTTTAGAAGACAATTAAACATCTCAATCAAATTGAACACTTTCTTTTCCATGGTGGTTAATTGTTTGTTATCCTTTGATTACAATTAACGATGACAATTTAATCAATTTCTTCAATCATTCTTTTAAAAGACTTGATCTACTTAAATCATTGTCTTTTCTTGTGTCAATCAAGTTATTCCTCGAATTTTATTATTATTATTTAACAGATCGATAATTATATTAATATTCTGTAAATATTATCTTTGTTTAGACAAATTTAATTGTTTTACATTGGAACGTAATTTTTAATCATCTTAATTAAGCAACTTTTATGCGATTAACAATTAAATCTAATGATTTTTCAACGCATCTCATTGACGATTAGTAAACTTTTTTTTTCCTCGCTTGTTGTTAAATGTTTAATTGTAATCAATACAATTAAGCGAAGAATAATTTATTAAAACTGTGATTAGATTTTATTATCATTATGGTGATAGAATAACAATTAGTTAATTGTTATGTTTAACACTTTCAATCAGATAGGAAGATGATTGAGTTTAGTGATTGATTTTCAATGCTGATTGTTGGTCTCATTGTTTACTCAGGATTGAAAATGAAAATTATTGGTTAACTCTAGATAACAATTAACCATAATATCGGTTGTTAGTTAAGTTAATTGTTGAAAATGATTCGTGGTTGTCTGTTAATTACTCTTGTGTCCATCACTATTAGTGAATGTGTCCTATCATCTAATCAGGAATGGGAAAGATTCAAAGTAAGTTTAAAGTTGACGAAAGTTTCAATTCTGATTCAGTCCTTTTGCTCAGGTAAATTATGGTAAAGTTTACGATTCTGTACATGAAGAGGCCAATCGCCGACTGATTTTCCTTGAAAATTTGACCAAAATTAAGGCTCATAACGAGAGGGCGGATAAAGGGCTTAGTAGTTACCGAATGGGAATCAATAAGTTCACTGACAAGGTAAAGTTTCATTTCCATTAAAATAGATCATCAGATTGAACTGAATTTCGTTTAATTGTTTAGTTACCTCAAGAATTTAAAGGAAATCGATTGGCTCACAAATTGAAGGTTAACTTGAGGCCAAAGATTAACGGAACTATTGGTTTACCGGAATCAGTTGATTGGAGGTCGACAATTGTTACTAGAGTTAAAGATCAAGGTGATTGTCTTTCTTCATGGGCTTTTTCAGCAGTCGCTGCCCTCGAATCAGCTTCCGCTCAGCGGACTGGACAATTGGTCGAGTTTTCAGAACAAAATTTACTCGATTGTACCTGGAATTATGGTAATAAAGGATGTGGCGGTGGTTTGTTTACGCTGCGTTCGCACACACCAAGGCCAACAACGGTATCGATACTGAATCGTGTTACCCTTACACCTCAAGTACAGGTAACGAAACGAGAACCTGTGGTTTCAAATCGTCGTGCGTTGGTACCAAACTTACCGATTTCATCGGGATTCCCTCAGGTGATGAGGAAACTTTGACCTTTGCTGTTTCTCAACAAGTTGTTTCCGTTTCCATTCTTGGTGCTGTTTTGATTCCATATGAGTAAGAAACAGTTTCGAAAAAGATTTTTAGTACATTTTTGTTTCGTATTGACTTTTTTTTCCTTCTCGATTTTCAATCTCAGGTCAGGTATTATCGATGTTGAACATTGTGTCCCAGGTTTACTCGGTCACAGTGTGGCCATTGTTGGCTATGGTACTGAGAACGGGAAACCCTTTTGGTTGGTGAAAAATTCGTGGGGCACCGATTGGGGTGAATCGGGTTACTTTCGATTAGTTCGAGGTAAAAATATGTGTATGGTTGCCGAAAGCGCTTATTACCCGATCATATAAATCCAATAAAAGAAAACAAATCAATACAATTAAGGTTAAAATGATTATTTGACAAAAATTTCTCTACTAATTGAGGTTAATTGGTTAACAAACATAATAATAATAGATTAGATTGACACTCATAATTTAGAGTTATTAACAATAATAATGATAATCATACATAAAAAAAAAGTTTTTACACAATTAACAAAAAATCAAATTGAATTTAAGGTAATCCTAAGAGGGTTCTAATCAGTGTCAATCTTAATTGTGTGACATATTCTTAATATAGTTAATCTGATTGTTAGAGGTGTGAAAGTTTATCCCAATAATTGAAGGCACAGTTTGTTGATTAAATCTTCAGACATCTTGGAATGATGATTGTTCCCAATTTGCATAATCGATATTAATAATATTCAAATTGGCGAATGTCGGTAGATCAACTTAGATGAGTCTTTCGATGGGCGGAGGTCGAATTATATAAGGTACGGTGACCTGGTACTTCTCATAGGTTGACGGGGAATAGACTCCTCTCATGGCTCGAGCTCGTTTCACCTTAATTAGGAATAAAATTAACAGAATGAAACAATAAACAATCAACAGGACGCCGAGAATTAAAAAATCTTGTTCCAATGCATTCAACATGAGTTTGGCTTCACTTTGAATCTTTGTTTGATTGTTTACAATTAAATGTTAAATGTTGATTCCATTGATTGTTTTACTTGGTAAATGTTTGTGGTAATTGATGATTGAACCAGAACAGGATGGATAATGTAATTGTAAACACAATTAATCTGAGGAATATAAATAGAATAAAGAAAATTAATCTAATCAACCAACGTATTAATTTAGTGGCTGTTTAACCATTTGATTTTTATCAACAAATCAAATAAAATGATGATCATTAGGATAATAAGTTTCCATCTTTTCCAATCTCAGGTTTCTCTTTAATTGATATGTGGTTGACAATTAAAGTGAGTTAATTAGAGAAAAGGAAAAGAAGGACAATTAGAAAAAGGTATGATTGGGAATTAATTGATTTCTCTTACCTTTAAGATTGATTTTGATTGGAAAGGTTTTTCGTTGGTAAAAAACAAATCGGAGACAAGATAAATTGGAATCACATTGTTTTCAATGGCCAGAATTTACATTGTTCCCAAATGTTACCATGTAAATGATGATCAAGATGAGCAACAATTTAAACTCCGTGGGATTGATGAGATGGTTAATTGTTTGATTTAATTACTGTTAATGAGGATGAGAAATTCTTTGCTTCTTTTGACTCTCCTTGGATCAGATTCCCATAGAGGATCATGTTGATACTTGTGAAGAAGAAGAAGTTAAGAAAAAAAAGAGATGAGACAAGGTGATTATTTCCATGGTTAAAAGTAATTTCTTTTTCTTTTCTACCTTTTTTCTTATCTATTTCTACTTCTACTGTCGCCCTCTTTTAAAACCATTGGTAAATATTAATTGTCTATTAATGAGAGAATAATAATTTACCTGTGATTTGAATTGTTTCCGAAAAGTAAAAGCCAACCAATTGTCTCGATCAATCCAAGGGAAGAAATGATTAAATGAACGTTTCAATTACCAAGAAAAAGATTGTACCATTTTCTCATTATGGTTAGCTGATTGTTTCAAGGTTTTCCATTGATTAAGTCATGTAGTTAAGGTCTGTGGATTTAACTAATTGAAATTGAAAAGGATCAATGAACAATTAAACATTTAAGAGACAAAGGAAATAGAAAGTAACAAATTTGAATGTTTACCTGGTGAGAGATTAGAATCTGGTTGGGTAACCAGAAATTCATGAGAATATTGAAAATTTTCATCACGGAATTAGAAATGTTATCCTTTTAAGATTCTCCATTTATCCTTGATTGTAGAAATGATGTAATTAAATTGCGATGATGTGATAAAAAGATTAACAAATTGATTAACAAAAAGTAAACAATTTTGAATGATAAATGAAAACAAGAAAAACACCAAACCAGTTGAATGTTTTACTTTTTCCCATTCAAAGAAAACCTTGAAGGAAACAGCATAATAATCACATATATTGAATACTACAAATTGTTAATTAACATGAAACAATAAACAACAATTAAAATTGATTAGAATACAATTAAAAGAAAAAAGAAAAACTTGTCAATCTATTCGTTGGGGAAAATTAAGTTAATAGAAAAAAAAGAAAATGCTCTTAAAATAGAACAGAAAGAAAAGGCTATTCTCACAGCTCATTTTCTTTTTCCTCTTAACCCAAACAAGTGAAAACTTCCCAATTATTATTTAGTTAATTACGAATCTAATTTTGTACAATTAACTGTCAACTTTTTCTTTAATCTCCATAAACATTTGATTAAACATTGAAGTCTCTTTTTAATTGTCACCACCAATAAGCTCCAACAATTAACTAACAACCAACTTTTTAATTGTTTAACGTTTTCATAATTTAATTTGTTTCTGTTTACTTTCAACATTAACCCTCTTGTTATTGTCTTGATTGTGTTTATTTATATGACCATAAGTGATTAAATAAATTACCCGAGGTAATTTTGTTTACTCAATTAATTGAAAATCAAGCATCTGTTGATTTTATTCAGTTAATTCACCGAGTAATTAACTCCATCGCAACAAGAAAAAGGTAACATCTCATTTGAAGCTTTTTTTTTTATTCAGCTTTCAACTCATTTGGTGTTGTTATTTTCAACTCACAATTTAGTTAATTTAATATTCATATTAACATCCAAATTTAATGACAGTTAATTGTTGATATTCCAGTTACCTGGTTTGTAGTTAATCAACTTTTTCTGATCAATACCAGTTTCAAAAGGATAATGTCATCAACCATTGTTGACCCTGCGTTCAAAGTGATACCCACTCAGCAGACATTTTTTCTGGTCTGGAGAATCGAGGTAATTGTAACAATTTATCTTAATTGTAATGAAACAAAATTCTAAATTGATAATATTTCAACACTCTAATTAATGTTCTCTAAATTGACTCCAGAAATTACAGGTAATTCCAGTACCTGAGGAACAATATGGAACTTTCTATAATGGCGATTCTTACATAATTATCAGTGTATGTAAACAAATTCTGTTGATTTTTTTTCTTCATTTAATTATGATTAATATTTTTTCTTCAAATTGTTCTATAATTAGAATTGATTATTGGATAGAAAAACTTTCATCTATCATCGCAATCAATTTCCATCATAAAGATAACAAACAGATAATTATTGGTTCTGTTGATCGTTTTTATTATTTTGTGTATTCTATTTGTAATAATTTCTCTTGTTTATTATTATTATTATCGTTCTGAAATTGAATCTCAGGGAACTGATGGTAAAGAGGTTGGTGGAGTTTCCCGAATGAAACCTCGAGAGGTTAAAGAGGGAACTCTTGAGATCCATATTCATTTCTGGTTAGGCTCGAAAACGTCTCAAGATGAGGCCGCTGTTGCCGCTTATAAAACCGTTGAACTTGATGATCACCTTGGTGGTTTTCCTATTCAACATCGTGAGGTTGAAGGTCATGAATCGAAACGTTTCCTGGCCTATTTCCGTCGAGGTTTAACCATCTTGGAGGGTGGAGTTGCTTCCGGTTTGAATCATGTTGAAAAGGCCAATAAACCAAGACTTTTCCATGTTAAAGGTAAACGTATTCCAATTGTTCGTGAGGTAACACCGATATCTTGGTCTTCCATGAATCATGGTGATGTATTCATTTTGGATTCGGTGGTAAAAGTTTTCCTTTGGAATGGTAATAAAGCCAATTACATGGAGAAAATTCAAGGAGCCAAAATTGGTCAACAATTACGCTCTCAACATGGTCCTGAGTGTAATGGACTTGTCATCATGGAGGATGGAAGTGAAAGAGAATCAACTTCCGCTGATGAGATTGTTGAATTTGAAAAGTATCTGCCATTAGCAGATAAACAGGATTCTCTTGGAGATGAACAATCAATCAGTGATCAACAGGTTGAGGAAAAAATTGAGAAAGGATCACTTAAATTGTACAAAGTTTCTGACGAAAGTGGTTCACTTAAGATCACTTTAATCAATTCAAGTCCATTGGCCAAAGATGATCTAGACTCTCAGGTAATTGAAACCATAACATTTTCATGGTGATAATGTTTTCTGGTTGACAGAATCAATTTAAATTTCCTGTCAACAAACAAATTTAATTAGTTGATTTTTTGCCTTTGTTAATATCACTCAACATCCATATTACATATTGTCACTGGTTGATATATTGAGACTAAATTTATCCATTTCCTGCTCTTTAATTGTCCTCCAATTGTTTTAATTGTTAATTAGTGATGACTGATTTCCTGTAGATATTTAATTGTGTTCCAAGTGAAGAAAAAAAACAATTAGCAAATCATTTCAACAATCAAGGTTCTAAAACAAATATATGATTGAAATTAGAGTCGAAACGGGAAAGAGAAACCATCAACAATTAGAATTGATTAATTTTTCTGCTATAATTGATTTTAGAATTTTTAATTTTCGCTAATCATTTGTTAATTGTTGATATTTTTTCTTCAGGATTGTTTCATTATCGACAATGGTACCGATGGAATTTGGGTTTGGATTGGAAAAGGAGCTTCGGCAAAGGAGCGAATCGAATCCATGAGAAACGCCCAAGGGTTTATCGTAAAAAAAGGTTATCCTCATCATATTTGTGTCACTCGAATTATAGACGGCGGTGAACCAATTGAATTTAAATGTTTATTCAAATCTTGGAAAGAATCAAATTCGACCGTTGGTTTGGGTAAAACTTATTCCGCCGGTGGAAAAGTGGTCACTCTAAAAGATTTGGAGAAACTTATGCCTAAGAATAAGTTAGATGTTCGAAAACTTTATGATAATCCAAGTTTAGCGGCGGAAACTCAAATGTTAGACGATGGATCAGGTGAGAAAGATATTTATCGGATTAGTTCATTCGATCGGGTTCCAGTTGACCCAGCGGACTATGGAAACTTTTACTCTGGCGATTGTTACATTATTGTTTACACCAGTGTTCCTGGATCTGGATCACGGCCTGTCAATGTCATCTATTACTGGATTGGTAATGAATCGTCGGTCAATGAACGTGGCACAGCCGCTGTGATGACCGTTCAATTGGATGATGAGCGTTTCGGTGGTGCCGCAGTGCAAGTTCGTGTTGTAGAGGGTAAAGAACCACCTCATTTTACTGCTCTATTTGCCGGTAAAATGATTATCTACAAGGGAAACGCTAAAAGTGGAGGCCGATCAGAAAAGGGTTCAACTGTAGACCCGACAAAGGAGAAGTGTATACTTCAAGTTCGAGGGACAAATAAATATGTTAATCGGGCAGTAGAAGTTGATTGTGAAGCCAGATCACTTAATTCAAACGATGTTTTCATCTTGTTTACCTCAAGTACCATATATATTTGGGCAGGTAAAGGAAGTACCGGAGATGAACGGGAAATGGCCAGAATATGTGCTAAACGAGTTGAAGGTAAGTAAAAAGGTAAAAAACAACTATTCGTTTAAAAGATAAAAAAAATTCCATTTTCGTTCCATTATCTATGTTCAGATGGTCGAGAAGTTATTCTGGTCTCCGAAGGTCAAGAAAAATCAGATTTCTGGGAAGCGATCGGTGGACAGCAACCATATTCCCAAGAAAAAGGGTTAGAATTAAGTGAACCTGTTCATCCGATTCGATTATTCCAGTGTTCCAATTCAAAGGGTTACTTTTACGTGGATGAAATTGTTGACTTTAATCAAAGTGATCTGATTGAAGAAGATGTCATGTTACTGGACACTTGGGATACCATTTTGGTCTGGATTGGATCTAAAAGTAATCCACTTGAACGGGAAAGAACAATTGAAATGGTTGAAGAATATTTAAAAGCCGATCCAAGTGAACGTGACCTGGAAACACCGATCATCATTGTCAAACAAGGTTCAGAGCCACCAAATTTCACCGGTTTCTTTGGCTCTTGGGATCGTAACTATTGGTCATCTCTTGCAACCTCCAATCCAAACGTTTCTTTTGACCAGACAAATTTCAACGAAATGACCTCAACCGGTAATATTGTCTCACCTTGCATGGCCGTTGATTTCAGTAGCAGTGCTAAATATCCTTTATCAACCCTTAGAGTTAGAGATGCATTGGAATTACCTGCTGATGTTGATCCCACCAAGAAAGAGGTCTGACTTTGACTCTTTTCCCCACCCTCATCCACTCCTTTACTACTCATCTTCCTTTCATTTAAATCTTGTCAACAAAGTATTTCAATCAACATTATCATAGTTAAAGTTAAATCATCAACAATTAGGAATCTCTATTCAAAACAATCCTCATTATTACATGTCAATCATTTTCTAAATACCTTTAATCATGATAATAATTTTCAATTCATTCAGATTAATTATTTCTGTCACCTACTAATTGTAATTCACTAATATAGTTAATCATGATAATCGATTAACATGATTTACTGATATTTCACATGAGTCTTATACTTAGCATCCTTTTATTTTGGCTTTGCTTTTATTAACCTATTCTAATAATTGTTATATTACAATCATCATCATCATCATCATAATTAATGATTAATTGTTTATTGACTTTGAGATGATTATCTAATTAATAATTATATTTGTTTCTTCCAATTGCAGGTATATCTAACTAATGAAGAGTTTAATCAAGTCTTTGGAATGGCTTATCAAGAGTTTCAATCTCTACCAAGATGGAAGCAAATTGATTTAAAGAAAAGAGTTGGACTATTTTAATTGGGATTATAAATAATCGGTTAATTATTAATCACATGATTAAAGACTTGATCATTTTACTAATACTTTTAACGAAAGGGGTTAAAATATCTCTTTCAATTAACAACTTGACTTAATTATCACTTGATAATTTGCATATTACTTATATATATAATATACTTAAAATCATTAATGAAATTAATCAACATCTCTGAGAGATAATTAGCAACAATTAAAGTGCATTGAAAAAAAGAAACGAGTAATTTGATTTCCACAACAATTAACTTCATCTTATCAATTTTCGTTATAACTAAACCATTTTCTTTCACTATTTTTACCTAACTATGAATTTGATTAGCAAATTCAACCATGATCATGGCACATAAAATGTCATTAACTTTCATGATAAATGATGATGATTATGGTGGCGGAAAATGTTGATGTAATTAAGAAAATAACAGATGCATCAAGCTGAATCCACATGGAAGATAATCAATTCCATTGTTTATCCCATTACAATAGATTAACAAAGATAATCTCTTCTTCTCAAGAGAAGATCACTGATTAAGGTATTAAATTGTAGAATCACAATTAAAGATGATAATTGTCACATATTATCACGGAAGAAGATGAAAAAACAAAGAGATTTCACTGATTGAGAGAGAAATTGGTAATAAAAAGATGGAGGAGATAATAGAAAAACTGACTCTAAAGAGAATAGAAAATGTTGAATAATAATGATTGGTGTTCAGGGGAAAAACAGAAAATGATGATAATTAACAGGAGAAGATGATGATGATGATGATGATGATGATTGACGAAAGAAAAGCCTGAATAAAGAGACAGAGAAAATGATAAAAACAACAGGATGATGAGAGAGAAAAAAAGAAAATAATTTCACCTGGAAAATGGATCATATTGTTTTCCATGTTTCTCACTTTCTCTTGAGGTTTCTAGTTACATGTTGTTAATTAAAAACAGAGAGAGAGAGAGAAAAAAAAATTAACACTAATTGGTGACTTTTAGATTAATTGAGTAACAATTAAGATGAACAATTAACAAGATTAAAAGAGAAGAAGAGACAAAGAGATTATTACTCACCGGTTGAAACTCTTTTCTTTTTTGTTCTTTTTCAAGTTTTGTTCTATTCTTTTTTAATTTTTTTTTTGTTCTTTTCTCTTTTTTTTTATTTGCTTTTCTTTCCAATGACATCACCTTCTTGTTCATCTTTCCAATCTCCAATTACCACCAATGGATCGTCAAGTTTAGTCTGGGAAGATATTCCATTGGACAGTGAATGTGTTGTCAACCAGGATGACAAATCAACAAAAAGAAATGTTAATTGTTATGTTAATTATGATGAGGTAAACAACAATTGGAATCGTAATAATCATTTTGTTAAAGATGAAAATGATCTTGATGATGATGATGATGAAGATGATGATGATACTTTATATTTTGAAGAATCAGCAAGTGAATATCGGACACCACCAGGATCACCTAAATTATTTTATTCCAGTGATGAGACAATAAATAAATCACTTTATCAACATAGTGACTCTTTTCATGGACAATCATCATTACCTTTGGGCAATCATTTCCGTTCCAATTCAATTGGTGGTTGTAATGAGTCACTTAAATTATCTTACCGGAAAAAGGGAAGAACCGGATCTTTGGTTGATCAATTATTGAATGATATACATTTTACTTTAAGGAAAACTGACCATAGACGGACAAGTCGCTGTTCGGACACAAGTAGCCTTTCACCTCCTGATTTTACCTACAGATTACCACATATAAGGAAAGCAAATCTACTCGCCAAAGGTAAGTGATTTTCATGATTATATTTCAATTCCAATTCCAATGAAACAATCAACATGTTCCAACTTCATGATGAATATCACATTTGTCTTTTCACTTTCCATGGAAAAAGTTAACCTGGAAATATGTTTGCTTGTGTTTTTTTACTTCTATCAAGTAACCTAAATATCAATGATCATCTATCCAAATCCAAATTAGTCTATTGTTTACAATCAGTTGATTGTCTTTGTCATTGTTAATATAATTAATTCATTTTCTCTCTCTCTCTCTCCCTTTACATGTTTCTTAATTAGATATTAGTGAACTACAAGTGCTACTCAGTACATTGGAATGTGATATTAAAAGGATGAATTCTATTCTACTTCATCATTTAAAGAAAAAAGATCGACTCCATTTTCAACGTGGACAACTTTTCGATATAATTACTGCCGCTCTTCAGGCCATCTCACCAAAACGACGTAATTATCTTTCCCTTGAATCATATTAATTGGAGAAGCAAATGATTTTAATTTGTTTGACTGTTTCTAGTATTTACTTTATGATTAACTTTTTCTGTTACTATTAATTTAATTTCAATGTGTATGAATACACAAAGTAATTAACAAAAAATTACAGTTCTCATGTCAATGATGATGATGATGACATTTACATGATGATTAGTATCACATTTACATTCAGTAAAAGTGTTGAAGGGTTGGATACGGCAATAAATACTAAGAGAAGGTGAGTTCGGTTAGATTTAGGCTTTCCCCTCTACATTTGTTTTGTGTTTGGGCACGACCTACTTTGCTTCAATTAATTTGAAACACACTTAATCAATTAACTCACTTTGAAGGTGATAAAGACACTTATTCAATTTAAACATCAAGTTTATATTTTATTGAACAAAATAAGAAAGATGATAAAACGGAGAAGTCAAGACTAAACTGGTCAAGACAAGGGTTGGGGTGAGACTCCTTCTAAGAGGAGGATTGATTGGCTTTTTATAGCAAAGACCAATGTAAAGACAAAAGAGGAAATGGAAATGATAAAGGCAAAGGCTTAAAGTTGCCAAAGGGGAAAGTAAAAAGAAGATGATAAATAGTTGAGCTATGGCTTGAAGGTGATTCTCACGGTCAAGATCACTTAGAAAGAGTGACTTCCAGTTAATCTGAATAATGAGCTCAAGGGTTTAGTAAAAGAAAAGAATTAGTAAAATTTTAGAAATAAAGAAAATTCAAAATTGGGGGATTAACATAGAGATTAAATGAGTCTAATTAGAGTAGAATTGATTTCAAGGTTTTAATCTTGAGAATCACAATAAAAGGGCTGAGGAGGCTAATTTACTACCCAACACATCTACTCCTTTTGATTAAGATATCTCTTCAGAACTTTGATTGGGATTCTTGAAGATGATACTTTGGAATCTGATTTGGTATCAGGGTTAGAGATGAGCAGAACACTTTCACTTGTTGATGCGTATTTGAGCAGGTTATCCATGGCTCGGTCGAAATCAATTTCAAGCGAATCTTCATCAGGTTCATTCTCTGATGGTTCTTTTTCCATGTTAATTGTGGATAGAGTCTCATTTGGTGAGTCTACATCAGGATCTTGGTCGATCTCTTTAGGTGATTCCTTTTCTTTTCTTTGATTGGAGATTCAACAGTTTCAGTTGTTGAATTGATGATGAGATTTTGATCTCAATTGGAGGTTCTTCTTGATTCTTTTGAGGTTCAACAATTTCAATTGTTGTGTCAACTTGATTTAAAGTTGATGATGAGGTGGCAACAATTTGTTGACTTGTTTCCTGGATTGATTCAGGTTCGTTTTCCTCTCTAATGTCCATTAGGGCTGGTGGTTGATAATTGGCTTGTTTAAGCAAAGTTTCATCAGGTTTTACACAATTAGAATTGTAACCTGGATCATCTCGATTATTGAAATGACCATAATGGTTCCAATTATTAGGCCAAGACATTTCTCCGGATTCTACCTTTTTAGTGTAGAGATACAATAAAGCGGAGATTTTAGCATTACCACATGAACTGGTAACATTTTGATAATGAATACCATCACAAAGATCATCAGCTTGTTGCTCGATGTCCTTCCAGAAGAGGAGATAAAGTTGCATGGTGGTTATCGCTTCAAGAGCAGGCGAGTGGGCATCATTTGGTATGGTGTAGCCATGAAAAACCAAGAAAGCAATTAAGCTTAGGTTAATTGGGGAACTTTTGTATGGAGAGAAGAAACTTGTTAGGTCTCTCATTTTATGTTGGAGAAATGCGATTTCTGAGTTTTCTAATCCCAGGGCATTAAGCTGGTTGTAGATTCCGGCTCCAACGATTATATCGGCTACGATGAGATATTTTAAAACTTGATCTCGGGCGCTTCTGAGGGCTTTAGCGTGTTTAACATCGCTATGTTTAAGGCCATGAAAGTGGGTGTCGATTTTTTCAATGTTGTGGTTCTTAACGAACGTTTCGTAGACCACTTCTAAGTTGGCATCAACCATGATGATCCAACAGGGGCGAGGTATTAATTTACCTTGTTCATAAACTCGGACACAGGCCATTGACAAACAAAAGGTTGTCGTTTTCTTTGGGAACTCAACTGCAGCGGCTTTGATAGCTTCTTGATGCTTCTCGTGAAGAGGAGGTAAAATGGCTGCTGGCCGGCGTCGAAAGGCTTCAGTTAGTCGACGACGTTTTCTTTCAGTTTCTTCACTGAAACGGCGTTGAGGTCTTTCATCTTTGATTTCCGAACCAGGGGTTAAGATACTTGGAAATCCTTTAGTTAACTCGATAGCAGCATGACGTTCATTTTCTGGTAACCTATTAAATGGGTTGATTCTGAACCAGGGTAAATTTGTTTCGGATACGTCAGAGGCGAGACTTGTTAGTGAACAAATCGAGGAGGTTGAGTCTGATCGGGATGAATTCGATTGATAGGAACGGAATTTACGGTGACTGTAGTTCTTTTGGTAGTATTTCAACCATTCAGTTGATTCTCGTAACAGAAAACCAGGAATTGATCTCCACTTGAAAGTGTGAGGTCGAGGTAAAATTGATGGGTTCGGCTTTGAACCGACTGTTGGTGTAAATCCGACATCTTGTAGAAATTTTTCTCCTTCATAAAGAGGATAAGTCGGGTCATTGGTTCTGACTGTATTTTCCCAGCGTTGCAGAGAAAGGTCGGTGTGGCGACGAATTGATATTGGACCAAGTTGAGGGTCCTCAGGATTTTCATCTCTTTGTTGAATTAAACAGGCCCAGACTTTGAATTTATCTTGCCAGTATTCGGGGATTGAAAGAGATTTTGGAGCTCCTTTGATATGAGCTGGAAGGTAGTTACCTAATTTACGAGGGATGAGGGCGAGTTCATTTTTAACTGACCCATGACGAAATTTGGTCTTAACACTAAAGTTAAGATGGTGAACGATGTAACCACGGCGGCAAAGTCTTGCATGATCAGGAAATTTGACAACAGAAAGTTGTTCGTGACACATTGATCGGTTACAGATTAACCTACATTCAGAGTAGAGGTTGAAAGATGATGAACAAGTAATTTGTTCAATCGATGGGTATGGTTTATCATTGTAGACTCGTGTTAAACAGTCTTGATAAATGCACAAAAATTGATCCTTTTGGGTAACTGGTTCCAAATTGATTTTGTGAATTAATTTCTTTAACCATAGGGCACAAAGATAACAGTACCAATTTTTACATTGAACACAGGCCATTGGCTTGACACAAATGCTTTCACAAAATAGACAAATAAATTGTTCAATATCATCAGCATTTTCGATGATGATGTTAGATGAAGGTAGGCCACGAGGTAAATCAGAATAATCAATTTCATTGATGATGTTATCGGAATCGATAACATTTAACTTTAGTTTCTCCTTTATAAATCGGATGAAAACATTTAAGTTTTCCTTGTTGACTTTCTCTTCTTCGAGATAAGTTTGTCGGGCGCTTTCAAAAGCTTGTAAGGAGACATGTTCTGGTATTGGACCAGGAGGTGGACATGGGAAAACTCCATATGGAAAAAGTTCGGGTGAATTGTAAATTGTCTTTGGACGAACACCACTTGATTGGGGCATTTCTATTTCTTTCTCACTTCCAGGTGAGTAATGATTGTTGTCGTCACTTCTTTTACTTTGAATTGAAGAATCACTTTGATTCGAAGGCGACTTGGATCGGGCGAAGGTAACTTTTGAATTGTTAACTTTGGATCGGGAACTCGACTCAATCGACGAAGCTCGATCTTGGTCATTAGATCCAATTGGCGATGAGGTGTGGCGATTAAGGCCAATTTCTTCCCAATTTGAAGACGAAGAATGATGTGAGAAGGAATGAATTGAACTGTTGCTTTCATTATCACTGATTGATGAGGATGATGAATTATCGTCCATTACTGTTGAGTTAAATTCAACACTTAAACAAGAAACACTTTTGTAAATTTTTAGCTTAGAATAACTAATCAATTTAGTTGGTTGAACACAATTTGTAAGGTTAATTAGAAGACAAGTGAACGAGGTGAAGGCCAAACGTGAACTGGTACTAACAATGGTAGTTGTGACGTTTTTTATTCTCGGGGTTTCCAAGGTAACGAAAGAGTTTGAATTAATCTCGTGATTGCAATGCCAATTAAAGCTTAACGGCTTTAGGTTTAACTTTTGACCAATTACTTGGCTATAAATAGCGTTAATTAAACCAATGAGTTGTTGGTTGAAGTAATTAATTTGATCAGCGTCAGTTGATTTTTCAAATTTGTTTTGATAAAAATAATCATTAGCAAAATGAAATTTGTTTGGCTCGTTAATTATCAATATTTGATTAATTGATTGTACGGGTTTCACTTTGGATCGAGTAACAATTTGTTCATTGTCAATATCATTATCAGGATTAATAGGGATTATGTTCTGATTAGATTGGGAGATAATTGTATCTGCATGTTTCTTTTTCTTTTCTCTAACTTGTTTGTTAGGAAAATTCAAATTTTCAAAGTTTGTGATTCTATTTGAATTAGAATCTTTCTCAATATCAATTGAGTTTGGAATGGAAAAAGGTTCGTTTTTCTCATTAAGAGGTATTTCTAGTTCGTCTTCGTTTTCTACTTTATCTGGTTGACTTAACCAATCTGGTGATTCAACATCGAAAAATTGTTGAATAATTCCCTTAACCTTTTCACTAGGTTGTCCAGGGTATACTTTTGTTCTGTTTAGATTAACACTGAATAATTCAATTGTATCAGGATTTAGTAATAGAAGAGAACCTTTTTTGATTCCATAAACAATGTAAGGACCATTATAAATTTGGTTTAGCTTTTTAGTAACATCGGAAGTAGTTCCTTCGTTTTTTACTAATGCTAAGTCTCCTACTTTGAAAGGTGACGGGTTTTCATGTTTTCGGGTTATCATGAGGTAATGGTCTTGTTGAGCTACGAGTCTTGCATGAGCTAGTCTTCGTGCTTCAATTAC